CCAGGGACCACCGCTAAAATAATTGAACCTTGTTGTGCTTTGGTTCCTGCTGCACTGTGACCTGTTTTTATCCTCTTTGATACCCAAGTGATTTTTGTTCTTGGTCTCCTTTTCTATAAGGATCTTATGAGGAAGGAGAATCTATGATTTCCAAATTGCAAAAAGCCAACATCACCGGAGCATGATCCAAGATTAAAAGACAACACAGAGATACAACAGGTACATCATGGATCCTGGTGGTGTGAGACATGGAAGGAGCAGTGCCAGCAGAATTCAAATGAGATCATGGTTCCCAGCATTATACTTTACATGGATGGGATACTATCTTTGGATGTCCAGGGTAATTTGAGCCTGACACCATTGAACATGACACTGGGTATTTTCAACTTGAGTAAAGAGTATGCATCGAGAACCGTGACACAGAAATGCATGACCATCTGTKTGGAAAATACCAGGCAAGGGGACAGGCACTGCAAGTGTGATGTGGCAAATATATGCTACCTGTCATTTCAGTACAGACAACAATTATGGAAACCCTCAGACTTTGACTTCTTACCTGGTGGAACACCAGCCTAGAAAAAGGAGAATTGCAGGTGGGTTTTGCATCACTCAATACACAATGCATTTCACAAACTTAACTTTGGAGCAACATCCACCTAGCTTCGCCAGGGGAATGCCTCCATGTGCACCAGCTAGGTTTTGCACAAAGAGCAGGGGAGTCTTTCAAGGAACAAATCTCCAGAAGGATCACCAACATTCCATTTGAACCAGAATTCAAAGACAGTCCCAAACAGTGTCATTCAATTGGGTTACTAGGGAAGGATTATGGAGCTTTACTCTCTCGCCAGTTGGATCAGGATTTTCCAAGAACAAAATTTGGAACTGACATTCTAAACAACAAAAGAAAGGATGGCCATGACTTTGCTGGCACTTTAATCTCCACTTTGCTTGCCCTAGTAATTTCCAAACATGGAGGTAAACTTATAAGATAGACAACAATWTGTCAATCCAAACAGAGGGTTATTGAAACTGCTATGTCTAGATTTAATCTAAGGCAAGGCATTGAAAACAAAGACTTTCAGTTCAGATAGGGTGAAAAGTTCTGCATAAAGTTTGGACCAGACAGAACCACCCCAACAATGGATTAGACTGCTAGTGGACTGCTAGTGGTAACAAAGAAAATCCTCATTTTCCACAGCCAGTTCTTGCATACTGCTGTAAGACAATTATGCCATTGCTGAGGGATATGGCTTGTGTGTATGGGTGCACAGAACACAAAAGATATTATAATTCCAGGGACAGCCACCATCTCTTTTGATCCCACCCRTCCTTTTGGAGTAACACTGGCCAGCAGAGTGGAATATGGATGAACTGGGTGGCATTTTGGGTGATGGATCACAATGACAATGAGATTACTGTCCTGGGACAAGTGATGTGCTTTCTGAAGCTGAAACAAGGGGACTCCACACCTGCTGGTAGTGCCAGGKGGGTTATGCTGTTGTGCAACATTTGTCTTCAGGGGAGAATTTGATGGCCATAGCTTTGAACTGTATGACACAGAGACAATAGTGTCCAGCAAACTTGCTGTGGTAGTACCAGACTTAGAACCAGACCGGGAGAAGGAACCTACAGGGTGGTTTGTTGTCCAGAGCCGTGAAGAATGGCAACTATTTTTGGAGAAGAAACTGTCCCCAGACAGGAACCCAGGGGAACACTCTGACGATGACTCTGGCTGTGACTTGGACCCCAATGAAATGGAAGGAGAGGAGTGGAGGGACGGGGAGGATACAAAAAATGATGATTCTTCTGATTGTGACAATGATGACTCTAACAAGTCAAGGGAGAGCAGTCAGGGATAAATTTCTGGTTGTGAGGGAGACAACTCCTGAAAATGCTTCTCACCTTCAGAACAGAGAGCTTCACCAAACACCTTCACATTTTCAGTAAACGCAAGACATGCCCAGCCCAGGAGAAGGGAATCAGATAAGAAGGCTTCCTCAAACAAGGATTTAATCTTATCAACAGGCAGTGACATTGGAACTATGGAGTTGGTTGGTGCCCTCTGTGGAAGGGCAGGGGGGTTCTTGCGTTGGTTTGACATGTTTTGTGAATTGTGGCTGAATCAAATTTAAAAACACAGTAATTCTTTTGTCAATTTGATGCAAATTGAGTAACATGGGCTGCTTGCCCAAGGAAAAGGAGGGACTGGAGACCTCCATGGTGGTGGTGGTGTGAGATGCACTGTCTCCAGCCACCACCCACCATGATCAACTGATTAAAGTGATAGTGTGATAACAAGGTTTCCATAAAAACTAGGACAACCAATACCAAAGCTTATTGTTTTCAAAAACAAAATTTTTGGCAGTACTGGTGTACTGACGGTTTGATGGAATGGGAGGGGCAACAACAACATGTGTTTTACAGATGAKAAGAAAATGAAAGAAACTGATATTTAAAACAGGTGGCCGTTAAAGACAGACGTTGGAAAAACTGGGAGTGATCTACAAATCAACAAGAATCATGTATCCCAAAGCATTCACAACCACCGTCTGCAACCAATCTCACTTGCATTATGACCAGACACAAGCCATCGGGATTGCTGTTTGAGCAAATGTGACCATCACAACATAAATAGAAGGGGTTTGACATGTGATTTTTTTTAAGGGGTGAGTATTCTGGAAAAAAATGTCGTGACAGCATGCGAGAGGTGCGATCACTTTTTGTGATGCAACAACAACAACAACAACAACAACAACAACAATTCATGATTGTTTTGGTGATGTGGTTATGGCTGTGGCTGTGATGTTCTTTCTATAACCATCACTTCAGTACTAGTAGTAACAATAGTAATACTAGTAGTAGTAATACTAGTACTAGCACCAGTAATAGTACTACTACTACTAGTAGTAGTAGTACTTCTGTGTCTGCATGATGTACTACTACTACTTTGTAGAAGTACTGCACAGTCATTGGTAGAACTCACCTGTCAATAATAGTTAACAACTAGAGGATGGCTGTTCAGAAAGGTCATAATGGACACTCAATATGTAAAAGAGGAAGTCAATTGGATTTCAACCTTACACTCATGATCATACCTTTGGTATATATTATAGGTATACGTCAGTAACGAAACCTTTGATTTTTATTTTTTATCGTCCATTGATTTCTTTTCCATCAAAACAACTACCGTACGTACTGGATCAGACGAACCTTTCGATCACACATCAAACATGCATATGCTCACAAACGGTACCGTGCAATTGTTGATCACTTTTCTCTAGACCACTGAACTTCAAACTTACAAACCGGCTCGAGAAGTCTTTCCTTTTCTTTGGTTCAAAGAAGCGCTAAAGGCTCTGTTTAAAAATGAAAAACCTAGTGCTACTGGGAGAAATTAGGAAGAAACTGGACCAGGCCTCTGCTCCCGCCTCGGAAGCAGAAGATATTGTGAGCCTCTGCGAAGTTTTGCCCCACAACTATGAATCCGAGTCATCGACGGTTGTCTTGACAGAAAATGGAATAGTAACAAAGGTCACGGAGGATGGAGATGTTCTGTGGACGTGCAACATCGAAGAAGCCACGGAGGATGTTGGCGGTGGCTGGTTTGATGTATCCTTTGTCGATCCAGAACTGGTTTGCTTGTCGCGGCGCGGTGCGATTGTGACCTTGGATCCTACAACGGGAGAAGCAGAACTCGTCGGTGTGTTCGACCAAGGCCTGGAGGCTGCAGCGTGGAGTCCGGACAAGGAGGTTCTCCTCATGGTGACTTCTATCGAAGAGGACGAAGACGAAGACACCGATCAAAACAAAGATCCCGAGATCAATTCTCATCTCATGACAATGAATTCTAGTTTCGAGGTGCTGGCCGAAATCAGGATACCAAAGTATGTACCCTCGTCGACATCGCCGGAGTCGAAGATATCGGTGGCGTGGAGGCCCGACGGTAGCCTGTGTGCCGTAAGCAGTGTCGACGCCGAGGATTCGATGCGAAATGTTCGTATCTACAAGCGGGAAACACTAGAAGTTCATGCGATCGGACGATCGGAAGATGCAAGCGGCGCACTGGTGAAAAATCTCCAAAACGCTAGTATTGGTTGGGCCGGTACGGGCTGCTCCCAGCTCTTGGCGGCTGTCCAAAGAAAGGGGAAAAAGACCCAGCAAGTCGTTTTCTTTGAATCGAATGGTTTGCGGCACAGAGAGTTTGTGCTTCGTGAAGCTCCGTCTACAGCCGTCTCATCGCTAAATTGGAATTCGACGTCTGATATACTAGCTGTTAGTCTTCGGGAAGAAGACGGATCGGAAAAAGTTCAGCTATGGCATCGATGCAACTACCATTGGTACCTAAAACAAGAGCTCAGGTTTTGCAGTCGTCAATTGCGGCTGGTAAGGTTTAGCAAAGAAAATCCGCACGAATTGTTGATTCTATTGTCCAGTTTGGAATGGAGAAAATACGAAGTCAGGTGGGATCCGAGCACTGTCCTGACTTTTGAAGAGAAGAGTATGGCATTTGTGGTGGATGGTTCCTCTTTGAATTTAACTGCTTTCCAGAAAGCGCTGATCCCACCACCCATGTGTGCCAACAGTTATGTAATGGATTTCCCAATCACCGACATTGCCTTTTGTAAGGAACATCATCGTCTTGGTACCTCTTTGGTCCGTATTTCAAATGGTGATCTTGTCCTCCTCGAACACACGAGAGGGACAGTATCCTCTTTCAGTCAAACGAAGGTTCTGTGGGGTAATACAAAAGACATTGATCACTATTCTCTCCGTTCCTTCGTTATAATCGGGGCTGAAGGAAACAACCTTCATCTTGTGGCATTTCAGTCAGCTTCATGTAATGAAAGAAACGACAAAATTGTAGAAATTACCGTAACTGGCTTAGACACCCAGGAGCCTAGATCGGATGTTGTCGGTAGCTACTTCCTCGAAGGTCGAGTGCAGCGTGCAGTCCAGTGGTCAGATGCGATGGATGGCTGCATCCTTCAGTTGCATGATGGATCGCTGGTTGAATACGATAGGTCCAGACACACCAGAGTCATGCCATCTGATATGGAGCCACTGTTAGAGTTGTGTCCCTGGATAAGTGCAATCAAGGATGTTACTCCTTTCTGTGACTCGGAGTATAGCAGGTCAGGGTTTGTATTTGGCCTATCATCAAAATCCCGGCTTTATTTGAATGATGTAATGCTTGCAGATTCCGCGTCATCTTTTTTCCTGACGTTGAACCATGAGTTCTTGAGCTATGTCACAACCGGATCCAGATGTCAAACTCGCTTCTTGCCATTGAAAGAAGTTCACGCCTTTGACGCTCTTATGGGACCTGAGCAAAATTACGTACTAGAGGGCTATGAGCCTCGCAATGTAGAACAAGGTGCTCGAGTTGTCGCTATCTTGCCTCAGCAACCACAAATGATACTTCAAATGCCCAGGGGAAATCTTGAGAGCATTTATCCCAGAGCACTTGTCCTCCAATTTCTGATGTCGAAGATTACTGCCGGGGCATATGYCGAGGCTTTCCGGATGATGAGAAAACATAAGGTAGATCTAAATTTGATTGTTGATCTGCACCCGAAAGACTTTCTAGGAAGGGGAATCGCATCGTTTGTGAAGAAGGTCGACACCATAGATTATTTGAATCTATTCATCTCCACACTCCAGAACTACGATGTAACGCAAGCAAGGTTTCCGGTTCCAACTTGGATTCAAAGTTCGGACGAGAAAGTTAAGGAATCTGAGTCTTTCGACTTTTCAACAAAAGTCAATAGMATATGTAGGAAGGCCCGTTCTGTGATGATCGACATCGAGATGGCAGGGGAGAAACCGAATGGATACTATCTATTGCCAGTTCTTTCAACGTTTGCAAAAGAGAACCCACCCAAACTAGACCAAGCTCTGAGCCTAATTAAGGACAATGCACTAMGATTGAATAMGACCAAGCCATCCGCGAATCCCCTCTTCTCAGAAACCGCCCAAAATTCGATCAAATATCTCGCGTTTCTCGCCGAGTACGAACTTCTTTTCGAAACGGCGTTGGGCATGTATGACTTTGAAATAGCAAGAGCAGTTGCACGAAATTCCCAAATGGATCCAAAGGTTTACCTCCCACTGCTCAAGCGATTTAACACCCTCCCCATGTATTTTTCTAGGCACGAAGTCGACATGCGCCTGAAGAGATACGACTTGGCTTTAAAGAATTTATACGAGTCAAATGCCAGGAACGAGACACTGGATTGCTTTCCTCAATACGAAGTTTTGGAAGGCAATTCGTTCGAAGCTTGTATGAAACTGATTAACGAGCGCAAGCTTCACAAATTAGGGCTTGAGTTGTTTTCGTCGGATACCGAGAAAACAAAAATTGTGTTGATGGCACTTGGGAAGAGCCTCATGGGAGAAAGCCGCCCCTCAACTGCTCTGGCTGTGTACCTATCGACAGAACCTCCCGACATTGAAGGAGCGATGAATGCTGCGAGAAGCGCGCATGACTGGAAGACCTATTTTTCTCTCCTCGAATCCAAAGACAACGAGGAACCCAAAGACCAAGACGAGTTCCGAATCGAACGGCGTAGACAAACTGCCAGAGAGATTGCCAACGAGATCAAAGCTTCGGCCTTTTCTCCGCAAACTGTGCGACAAGCTAACTTGGATGCGTCTCGGTTGCTGTTGGACTACGGAGATGACTTGATTGGGGCGGTTGATTGTTTAACAACTGCACAGAGCTGGTCAGAAGCTTACCGAGTCGCCACCCTTCATTCCAGAAAGGACTTGATGAAACGATGCGTGGATAGCTCAATAGCCTTTGCTCACATGTCTATAGATAATTTTATTGATCGAGTCGAAGAATTCAATAAAACAAATCTAAAATACTTCGAGGTTCTAAAGCTACGGAAACAAAATGTGCTCCTGCAAGGTCCAGAGCCAGCGGGATCGGTTGGAGATGAAACCGGGAGTCTTTTTTCTTTGGCTTCCAATGCCTCGAACACGAGCCTGCGGAGTTCCGCGAGCACCTCGAGTACGTCTAGTGTGGGCAGCAATGTTTCGAGTGTGATCAGTATCAAGACGGCCAACACGTTTTCGATGACCGGTGGGAAGGATGGAGATCGCCATCGATCGAAATTCAACAAAGGAAAGAAGAAGAAGAAACAGGGCAGAAAGAAGAAACCCCGAAGAAAACCAGGAAGTGTAGAAGAACTCCAAGGATTGGTAGGTACCCTAAAGTCGTCCTGTCCAGACTCGGACTATAGTGCTACAATCACTGGAACAATTCAGTTTCTGGTGATCGTCCAAAACCTTGCACTGGCCAAAGAACTTTTCGACGCCTACAACCGCCTGCAAGAATCCATTGAAAAGTCTCAATCAGAGCGGCTGGAAAACGTAGCAAAGGATAAGAAGGAAGCAGAAGGGTTGACTCGATCTCACGGCGTGGAACACGATTTGAATCACATTCTGATCGATCTTCCTATAGAGAAGGAAGTCGATGCATTGGCGTGTGCTCCACTCGCTTCGAGTATATCCGACTTCTTTGATTTCCTGCCTCACTAGAGCACTTCCGATCGACTTTACTTRGTGCACACAATTCTAGAGGATACATTCAATGTTGCAAAAAATAGATTCTATGATTACTCCTTTGCCGGTGCAAGTAGGCCTTTTATTCGGACCTTTTCCTCTCGTACGTACGTGAGATCCAGAAGCCCCTTCGGCGGGTCCACAAGAATCATCTGGTTCTCCAAATCGATCTTGGTCACGATTTCGGGAACCAGTGGAACGAGCAGAAGATCCTGGGGGKCTCCCGCTCGCACCGCTTCGCCGTCGCTTGACTTCCGCGTGACTCCGATTTCGATCTGGTCGTGGAGCAACCCCGGGATGGCGCACATTTCCTCCGCCAACACCACACCCAAAATCGTTCCGACGAGAACTTGTTCTCCCTCTTCGTCTTCGCTCGCCGGCGTCCTGTAGACAGACAACCCGATCAACTCGGACAGAACAATGTCGTCTTCTTCCCGCTYGACGGTGTCTTGCTGGGATGCGAAATACAGGGTCGATCCCTTGAGCGCCTGGGCCGCCGTGCGGTCGTAGTAGCCCTGCAGTTGGATCAGGAACTGGTCGTCGCCCAGAAACTTTCCGGACGCCAGCGTAATCTTGCGCGGGGCTCGTTTCCGGGCGGCCTTCATGTGCAGGGGCATCCCGGCCCTGGTCAGCCGCTCGGGAAAGTCGGTGCACCCCTGTACCTTGACCCATCCGTGCACTCCGTGTGGTGCCACAATCGATCCAATTTCTACAAACCCAAAGGTCATCGGATCGTACGGATCGATGTCCTTGTTGTTTGGAAATTCAAGGGTTTTTGTGGCGGCAACGGGCGGCGGTGGAAGCTCCTCGCGTTCCTTCTGCTTCTGTTGCTTTTCTGTTTCGATCGATTTTAGTTTTTGTTCCGATTCTCGGACGAGAGCCTCAAAGGGATCCAGCTCGTTCTTTTCTGCCTTGGAAAACTTGGCGTACTTGTTTTTCTTCTTCTTCCTTTTCTTGGTAGGTTCCGTCGTTTCGAAGGACTCTGCGGTGCCCCCCTTTTTGATTCGGCGGGCGTGCAGAAGGGAGGTTTGGTGCGAACGAAACGACGACCACGACGACGAATGCAAAGAATTCCAGCTGCTCCTGCCTTCGAACTGCAAAGATCCCAGTCGGGGACGATGTGCGACAAAAGCAGATGTTCTCCAAGGTGCCAAGAATAGCAGTGGAACGAGAAACAATACGATCTTGGCAGAGCTGTATCGATCTCGAGCTGCCGCAATCATGCCTCTATTCGTTGTTGCGTATGTACGGTAGGAATGGTTGGTTTCAATGTGTTTGTGATGTCTCCACGATCGTTTCGCTCTCTCCTATTTTCCTCTTCTTTTTTATGTTAGTTAACAGAGTGCTTTTAGTCTTGGTTTTCTTTTTGGTCTCTAATTTTGCGTGCTGCAAGTTTTTCTTTGACCTGGTTTCAGTTGGTCAACATCATCATCGTTGATCATTTTTTTCCTCGTTGATCGATGAATGATGGTTGATCTGATGAAGATGGATGATGATGAAAGGGAAGTATCGCGCGCAGATATTTCTTTTCGCGCGATTAACACTAAGTCAGAACCAGAGCTGTAAGAGCACGGGTACTAGGATAACTGGATAACTTGGATGACTTGGATAACTTGGCTGGATAACTTGCACGAGAAATTCAAAATTTGAAAAAAAATAGAATCAAAACTTCAAAACTTCGGAGAAATTGGGGGTCAAAGCAACTTGCGATTGCGTCGATCCAGAGAGATTGAAGAGGTCTTAGTATTGAACCCTAGAATTGGGTCTCGACAGCAGCAGTAGCAGAAGTCCCTCTCTCCTCGATTATTCTAAATACCGCCATGGTCGATCCGGATGCCGCCGGTTCCGGCAAGAAAATCCTCGCCATTCTTTCCGGGTCGAAGGTTACGGTATGGGATTTGCCACCGTCGCCGATCCTTGGTCGCGAGAATTCTTCAGACGCCGACCCGGGCGTTCGTTCGTTTGATCCGTACCCACAGTCCGAAGACGCGATGCCGATCTCTAGCCTCGCCTGGAACCACAACCAAATGGTAATCGCTACCTCCTCCGGTATCCCGACCGACGAATTTGCCCATGACAATGTTGTCCTGCTTTCTTCCCAGAGCGGACAGAAGCTGGATTCCTTTCAGCACGACTGGGGGTGGAAACAAAAACGGAAATTCGCCCTTCAGCAAGAGCAGCAGTGGCAAGAGAGCAGCACACAAGGGAGCATCGTAAACAGCATCAGCTTCGGTGGGAAAAGCCGTTACCTGTGCATAGGTGACGAAAGCGGAGCCGTCTGTTTGTGGGACCTGAAGAAAAAGGTGAGGGTGCGTCAGTTTTTTCACAACCCGATCGGTGGTGCAGGGGACAACGGTGGAAAGTGTAACTTCGCTGGCTTTTCTTCCCTTCAGGTGTCGCTCGACCCGACGGATACCTATGTGATGAGTTTGTCGCCGAGGGCGATGTATCAATACAATCTCCGTGACGGCCAACTGTTGGGAAGCCTAGAAGTTCCAAAAGACGACGACAGCAAAGACAAGCAAGGCACATGTCTTTTTACCGTATTTGCGATTTCCAATCTCGAACCCAATATCTGCGCCATTGGAACCAGTGGCGGCAACATCTATTTGTACGACATTTCTGCTCCCCATGGCTTAGATCAAACGTCGACGCCACACGCGAAGATAATCCGACGACACAACGGGAGGGTGACCGGGTTGGTGTTTTCACCGGAAAATCCAAACACTTTTTTAAGCAGTGGAACCGACGGGATTGTGTATGTACACAACAAATCGAACGGAACGAGGCACAAAGTTTGCAGTGCCCCAGATACCAACAACCCCATTCAGACACTGAGCCTACATGCAGACGGTGTGACGTGCGCCATCGGCTGCCGATCGGGGGACGTATATGTTTATGACCTTCAATATATCATCAAGGGGGGAGACATGCCAGCACCGTTGCTAGCGACTCATCAATCTAGCGATCCGATCAATTCGCTGGTTTTTGCTCCTCCGCCAAAAGCAAAGGACCCGCAGAAGCCAAAATCGGGCATTCCGTCCGAGCAGCACAACGAAGAAAAAGTAACGCAACAAAAAGAACAACAGCAGCAACAACAACAACAACAAGATGAAAAACGAACCAAACAACAAGAGAATTTTTTCTCCAACGGTAGCAAACCACCATCTGTGAAGGCTAGCGCTGCTGACACGACGGACAAGACGCCGAAGAGTGCATCGAAAATATCTTCCGCATCTGCGACGGAGAAGATCAAATTACCGCTGTCTTCGCCGAAGAAAACACCGCCGTTCCTATTCCACAAAAACCTAGACATTCCAACATCGCCCAAACGCAAGAAAAGTATGGTAAGAGCGATCAATGTCGTGGTGTACTTGTGTTTTGGTTGTTTCAGTCAATGTTGTCTGGAAATGTTTTGTTGCAGTAGCCCATTTTTGCATTTATCTTGCGGGTGAATAGCAATTGGTGGAAAATCCTCACTCGATGGCCACTTGAAACGTATCCTTTGTCCTCTTTTTGCACCGTCCACGCGATGAAAATAGACCGATGAAGTTCGAGAAGTGGTGCGGGAAGAGGTAGAAAATTTGCAGGATGAAATGGAAGAGCAATTTCGAAATCTCCACATCGACGTGATAAATCAATTCCATCGGCAATCTCAAGAATTCGAAGCAATACTCTCGAAACACATGGCAGTCCTGGAGCGATTGAGCAACGAAAACCAACTGCTCCGCGAAGAGAACGAGCGTTTTCGTCGAGGCGAAGAGGGGTAGGGGATCATTTGGCAAAATAGAATTGTGCGGTTTGCTTAAACCGTTGCTGAGAAGTGAAGAAAGTAGCGTCCTTTTTCCATTGAGAAGAGAAAAACTTTGCCGGTGAAAACAGAATCGATGATTGACATGGGAGTTCCTTAATATTTAATGATTCTAGGTCAATTTTTATTTTTGTTTAAAAGTGTAGGGGTTTAAATTTTGTTTGTGAAATAGTTTCATTGATASTGCTGACAAAAGTGCAAAGAAGTGCATCCACAACATCGGTGGTGCCTTGGTGTATTTCGGAGTTTAACTTGGTGCAGCACTTTGATCTACCTCAACGTTGATATCTTCCAAGATCATATCATCCAAGGGTTGCCCGGGAGCTACAAGAGGCAAGCACGGTGTCCGCCGAATACGTACGTGGAACAAGACGGGCTCGTCGGGATAGTCAAAAAGGAATTCACGCATCTTCTCCTCGAGTTCGTCCTCGCTTTCGGCAATCATGCTCCTGATTCCGAAAGCCGATGCAAGGGTCTGGTAGTCGGGGTTCTTGTTTCGGACGGCAAGTTTTCGGTCGTTGTGGAAAAGACGTTGCCAGTATTCAACCATCATCTGGCTCTCGTTGTCGAGAAGCAAAATCTTGATGGGGATGCCCTGCTCTGCCACGGTCTTGAGCTCCGTGAATGTCATGTTAAACGATCCATCTCCATCCACGGAAATACAGATTTTTTTGTCGTTTGCCAGCTTCGCTCCAATACAGTAACCAAGCGATACTCCCATTGTACCGAGGGATCCACTGCTCAGCATTTGTCTCGGTTGTGTCCACGTGATTAGCTGTGCAGCAACCATTTGGTGGATGCCGACACCAGTTGTAAAAATAGCATCGTCAATTCTATCAGCTTTCAGGAGCTCTTGATCCATTACTTTGATGACGCTTTGAGCGGATAGTGGTTTTTTGATAGCAGTTTTTTCGACTCCATTTTCGTCGGCCATTGTGATTGTTTCTGGTTCGAACTTGGGAATAGTGATAGGATACTTGGCTTCTAGTTCGTTCTTTCTTTCGATCCACTCCGAGGTTTCGGGAACCAAGTCTTCTTCTTGGGATAGGGCCTTGTTCATTGTCCTCAAGAAGTTCTTACCTGTAGAATGTACAAAAAAGTTCKGTTCGATCTGTTTGGCTTTTTCTGTCAGACGCACGTCAACGTGGATGATACCTCCCACACCCAGCTCTGCTGCTTTTCTCGCACCTGGGACGAAATCGCTCATTCTTCCGGTGATACGGTCATCGAATCGGGAACCCACATTGATAATTAGATCTGCTTCCTGCACCATAAAATTCGGTGTTGGGTGGCCGTGCATACCAACGAAATTCAGAGCTAGGTCGTGTCTTTCGTCGAAGCATCCAAGTGCGTGCAGGGTGGTACAAACTGGAATCTGCAGCTTTTCGGCAAACTCCTTGAGCTCTTCGGCACTATCGTTGCAACCTTGTCCGGCGATAATAATTGGTTTCTTTGCTCGCTTGATAAATTTAAGGATGTCATCCGTAATTTCAGCGTTCACCTCCAAATCACCTTCCTTGGTGATGGGGTTCGGTTCTCCGGTTAGGGCATTTGTGGTCCAGAAAATTTTGTTGCTAACATGATGGTCGGCGTTGAATGCGTCCGTGGTGCTTGAGATGGGAACCAAGTCATTCTGGTCATTGATTTCGAAAGACAGTCCCTTTTCTTCGAAGCCAAGTCGAATCGCCTTAAAGGCTTCTCCTGTATCTCGTTGAGCAGTGAACATGCTTGCTACTCCCATCGCGTCGTCGTGCTTCTTGTCGGGGATCTTGGATTCAACATACTCATCGATCATTTCGGATGTGAGGATTTGGTTCTGTAAATCTTTTGGCAAATCAATAAACACGGGGCCGGGGCGGCCATTCGTAGCCACGTAAAAGGCGTAATCCATGACAAAGGGAAGCTCTGCGGCTGACTTGATCTGGTAACTGAATTTGGTGCAGGGCTCAGCGATTTGGACAGCGGGAGCCGATTGGAAAGCATCTGCGGGAGCCGTAGTGGCTGCCTGTCCACACAAAACAACCATGGGCACTCCATCGCACATACCATCTTGAATGGGTGTGACCAAGTTGGTAACACCCGGTCCCGATGTAGCAACCACGACACCTACGGGCTTGTGCTCGCCGTTGATGGGGTACGACTTCGCATAACCTTCTGCAATGTGTCCTGAGGATGACTCGTTTGAATTCGTGATCCATCGGATCGGTTCTGCTCCGAGTTCGGCGTGTCGTGGATTATCGGGATGGAATTGATCCAAGAGGGGAAGGACGGCGCCACCCGAATATCCATTGACAACGTCCACACCGTGATCGAGAAGACTTTTGTAGACAACGGCTGCGCCAGAAATACCCTCGAACTTCTTCATGTAGTTTTTGATATCCGATTTTCCAGACGCGAGCAGTTCTGCTTCGATTGCTTTGGGTGATTTAGATTTGGAAGACCCAGGGGCCTTCATCAGCTCCTCGATATCGTTGGCGAGAGCACCATTTCTGTCCAAGGATTGGAAGATGGCTTCTTCTTGAGCTTTAGTGCTGCTATACAGCGATGTCTGTTGAGTGGCAAAAGCCTTTGTCGCGGGAGTGAATGCACTAGTTGTGCTGACCCCAAGGACAAAAAGGAGGGCAACTTGTGGGACCTTCATTATGCTTATACGAGGATGTATTTAAATATCTGCTTCTTATTTACTGGAGTTCACCGTGATTATTTGGTATGCTAGCCACTTCTTTGATGCAATCCTATTTCATGCAATGTCGTCGACTCGGCCTGGCGTTTTGGTATTGCTTGTGCTATTGAATTCACTCGATGTTATTTCGCAAGGTCGTATCGATGGGTATCGACTGATTAATAGCGATGCTCTCCGTGGAAGCTTAATGGGATGAACGCGGAACGAAAGAATTGATTGAATCTGAATGACAGGGCAGACTCGTCCGAAATGCATCAACAGTACGTCGTACGGGGGAAAACACACGATTTTGAAAGGAAATCGCCCGATGGATGGTTTCAAGTTGCGGCTGAGAGAGCATCGGTCTTACGTAGTCGATGCTACGGATAGTTTACGTAACATGTGGTAGCACCTACTTCGAAGTAGTTGTCACGGAAACAGACATACCGATTGATGATCGGACGATTTCTACGTAATTGCAGTCATCGGTCCGTCTGTCGTCCAGTTCCTGCGAAAAATTTGGCCAATCATCGATCCCAGCATTCTTCGGCATTTAAAAAGGTTCAATGTGAAATCGCAGACGTTGACGTAGATGTGGTGGCGAACATCAAGGATTGAAACGTGCGCTTCAAAAACTTCCTCCGCACCGTGGGGTACGTTGCCTGTTTTTTTTGTTTCGAGAAGAATGCCCCTAGACTTCGAAGTCTCGTTTGTACACTACGGTACTGTACAATACGGTGTCGGTTAAGAGTACGAATACCGTACTCGTCAGAATGAAAACCTACCGTACCTTAGTGTACATTACGATCAACGTAGAGCAGTGCCAGATTTCCTGTGATGTTTTTCTCATCGAAAACCCAGGTTGGGGATGTTGTCCAATACAAGATCCAAAAGGATGATCAAAGGCAATACTGGTAGATTCCAAAAGAGATGCATGCGATGAGAAGAGAGATATCAATTTTATCCAATGCTTTCATTGTTTTCATTGTATCTAAGCGTCGGAAGGAAGACTCGCATATGATCGATGCCAAAGATACTGTGACTTAGTATTCGCGACTTCAGTCAAAATCGGGGAAGATTATGGTGACAGGACGAAAAAAGACCATATTTCATAGTTCAGATGTTCGCGGGTGACAAACAATGTGCTTCATTGCCGAATTTTGTGGTGGTTCATGTACATCAAATCGTTCCACACCATCATAGAATAGGAACAATCGACGGCATCAACCGCAAGGGTGCATCCCTCCATTTTGTGGATCGGATCGAATCTATGCGAATCTATGACGTCTCGGACACGAATCAATGAATGCTCACACAATCATTAAGATAGTACCAACTCTTGATGTAGCGCTACGGAAGTTTGCACCTCTGAAAGGTTTGAGACTTCGTGCCGCGCACGGGATTCACTAAAGGATTTGCGCTGCATGAGAGCTCTTTTCATTCGTTCTTTGCGACAACCAAGGCCTACGAACGAAAGAATCCGTAGATTGAACTGGCTGAGACCTGACTCGAACGAAACGTGGATCGGAACAGACATTTACAGGCAAAAAAGGAATTGATCTTGAAGGCAATTTCTTTCTTTCTCCGTTGGAGATTCCTACAGCGATGAACATCATCTGCGATGATCGAAACAAACTTCATAACCTAGCGCTTGGTATGAGGAAACACACATACACACGCAAGCAAAGTCCGCTGTTGCTCCTCCGGGGAATAGCTGGTTTGCATGCTCAATTCATGATGGAAATGTTGGATACAGAGTGCGTCACATAAGTTAAAAAAAGTTGATAGAAATGATGCACTCCGTAGATGTTGAGAAAGCATGGATAGCAAAAGACTCATGGAATAGACTTAGCTGCGTCGTTTAGAGAGAAATGTACCAACTGAACTTTTTAATTGTTTCTCAGGGTAGGTGCATATCGCTCAAAGCGCGGTTCTCTGGTTTCCTTTGGTACTTGTTTACCAAAGAATGGAGAATAATGATACAATTACGCAATCGAAGCATCTTCCAGCGCTGGTGCTATACGGTTGTAGAAATAAGAATTACCATTGCATATTTGCTGCTATTTGTTAGATAAGTAATGCTGCAAAAGCAGACAATAAGAATGCTTCATTCTGGCGAATAATCTCATACAATAAGTACAAAGTACCATAGCTCAGCGAGCAATCACGTTTCAGATGACAAGGAGTGGAAGCTTCCAACCAAGCTCAACTCATTTCTCCTCTCCCGATATACGACTTAATTCCGTTTTTCTGGTCTCATGTGTTCTCTGAGATACCTGCAAGACCAATGACTAAAACAAGTGTACTCAAATTTTGAACAAAGATAACGGTTTTTATGGTTTGATTCGAAGTAATATCTTATGATGAATTAACATGCGATTGCTACAAATGACTTCCGACAGGAAAAGACTCCGCCAAGGATATCGATTCGCCGGTTGGTCAAACGGTTCCATTTCTATTTTGTTCTGTTTTCAAATTGTTCTCTCCCCTTGAAACATAATCGCTGCTTGATCCAGTGACATAAAAATTTTATGTGAATCTAAGCCGACTTTCGTGCATAATACAGTCAAACCTGATTGTTGTTTTTGTTGTTGGTGTTGTAGTTGTAGTTTTCGTTGTAAAGCAGCACGGATGAAATCTTAACGGTCGCCGAAACGCGCTAGGGCCCGCCCGTGCTCTTCTTTGTTGCTGAGAAACAGCTCGATGTAGCGATTGCCCATCATTTTACGATGAAGATCCATAGCACGTTTTGAATCCTCGCCAGTCTCGAATTGAACGTAGGCTTCGCCGGTGGCCCGTCCGTCACTTCTATAAGTCAATACGATAGAATCAGAAACTGTGTTGTACTCCTCAAAAAACACATAGATGTCTTCCTTCGTGGCACTGAAGGGCAATCCACGCATACGAAGGAAACCAGTGTGCTCTCCGATCTGAATTCCTCCTCCAGTTCTTTTCACAATCACTCCGGGAGGATTCATGCGTCCGGTATTGCTTCTTCCACTCATTGAACCTCCGCCTATGGATCCGCCGCCGCCGCCACGCCGCGAACCACTATCGCTTCTTCCACCACCGTGTCCTCCCAAGGAGGATTGACTAGGATAACCGGAAGGAATCATTCCAAACAATTCTGTCCCTTTCGTATCCTTATGATGATGATGGTGTTCTTCCCCTAAATGGATATCGTCGCTAGTGCGCACTATTGGCCCCCCTTGAGTTTCTTGCCATTGTTGCTGTAGCCACAAGATAATAAATGATGAAAGAAAATCCAAGTTACAAATGTACGTTAGATACAAGAAACTAAAGAGCGAATGTGGTGTGAAAGAGAAATGATTAAGCAGATACACAGCAAGAAAAACACTTACTGTAGCAATAGCCGAATAATAATCCGAGCGCGATCCCGGAGTGATTGCAACAAAACTTCTACCGATTGTTTGACGGTCACTACCACGAAAAGTGTAGTAGAGATAGATCGGTTGGTCATTATAGACGCAAGAAATACAAATCAAGGAGAGACGTGAGAAACAGAGATTTGAGGTTAAAGTAAAACGGCGAAAGACTTGTAAAATTCGTCCCTTTGATTCTACTGTTTTGTCCGACTTACCGCTGCAGCGCCATCTGATAGTCCATTGGATTAGCGAAGATTACAAATGCTTCGCCTTGTCCAATTAAGACAACGTCAATAACTACTAACCCCTGAAAGAGGATCAAGATATCCTCCAAAGTTGCATCGAAAGGCAAGTTCCGCAGTCTGGCGCAAGGAAAGGGTCTGTAGGCATTAATGATTGATATGACCAAATTTGCGCAGAAGAAAAGGCGAAGGAATTGATTACACGGTTTCGTTGTGAGTCTATGATCTTCAGCGAGAGGAGGTCGATCGTAAAAGAATATATCATGGTTCTTGCATGCCTTTCGATGCAAATTTCACTCATTAGTTACTCATTTCTACCTTCTTCTTCCCTCGCTATATCTTTGCGATGAAGAGCACGGCAACCACTACTAGCACTTACCCTAGAACAGCCTCCAGCGGATCTGTGCTGCCTCCTAGGCCGGGTATTCCCGGCGGTAAGGGTACCCCCTCCATAGATTGTTGCAGGGGTTGGTGCGGGTACTCGTACCTGCAACAAGGATAATGAAGCCCCAGGCAAACAAAGAAAAAAGTTTGGGTGGGTGTGGTGTTAATTAATATTGTTCGTATTGAGTTAGCATGCCGTACGGTACGAGAACTCGTACTGTTCAGTAGTTTGGGATGCCTCAAATTGATCATAGAGCAACAGCACGAGAAACATCAGCAGCAAGCCTCAGCCTCAAAATCCCCCGTACTGCACTGCCACGCTCTTACGCCGGCCTGCAAAACAGGCGTTGATTGAATGGATATCGCTAGAAAAGTATCGATCGTGGATGAAGTGGAGGGAGTTTTCTGGCGTTGCGCGATTTTGGGTTATATTTTACCCCTTTTAAAACGACGTCCCCCCAAAYATGTTGCGGCTCTCAAAGGAACGAACAATATTTTTGAGAACGAACGCGGTAAAGGGTACCGTGTGGATGYGACTTTTCGGGGACGATGGGATTTTTAAAAAAATGTTTCGTTTCGCATGCCGATTCTGTTGTTCACGGCGGTATGAAACAGGCAAACCCTTGAGGATCCCAAAACCCATCAAGCGAGTCTATGGAGAGATACACAACGATAGATCACGACATGGATTGCCACCCCATAGCAATGGGTACGAGTTCTCATCAGTCTGTATGTACGACGTACACGAGAAGGAAAGAAGAGACATCTGCAACCAAAGAAACAACCCCAGCTTCGTTCATCGAATTCAATGGACAATACATTCGTACCTTTGATGCGGCTCCAATTGATGCATCATCGTGATATGAGCTGCCCATGACGTGTCGACGTAGCCATAGGCGACAGGAGGGTTTTCGAACAGGAATTGTGGCTCGCGCCTTTCTTCCAGGTTGCCGCCCTGCTGCTCTTGGTGCTGCCCGTGCTGGTTCTGGTTCATCTTGCGTGTTTTTTGTGATTTAAACCTTGCAGGCTTGGGTGATTTATCAGAATAAGTGTGAGAGCCTTAAAAATAACGTAGTACTTTTGCAACTGGTACCGTTTCTACGGTGAACATTGCACAAACTGTTTCACACAAAGGGGCTGGGAGTTTGTGACAGCACATTTTCGTTACTACAGGTTTCCACGCATTCTAATTTCTGAAAAATGTGCGCACGGCACCGCACGGCTTTTAACAAGAGGATTTCTACCCGGGCTATTTCGGGGGTAGATGATACGCCCTCAAAAACGGTGAACGAAGGAAAGACTTTAGTGGTTGTCAAAACCTCAACAAAAACAAATTACTACAGTAGTTTTTCGGTGTGTACGAGTTTCTGGTTTTGCGAAGAAATTTATTACTACCGTACTACTTGTACTTTCTAAATTGTTCAGAAATCACTTTCTGTACATGGTTTGGTTGAAAAATGTCTGYTGTTAAAGAAAACTGAATAGATACCAGTTGCAGAAAATATTTTTCAACAACATAGCTTCATTTTAGACGATAGTTTTCAAGATGAACTTTTTGCCGTCTTTCTCTGCGGCCTCGAAGCCCGACTGAGAACTGACAACTGCACACGATGCATCTTTCATATTCTTCAAGCGGTTACCAAAAGCTTCGAAGTCTTCAGGTTTGGTGTCAATAATTTGATCTCGCTGCCTTTGACGGGTCTCGGGGCTCTCGTTGACCAACCATCTCTGGAAGGAGACGAAACCTTTTGTGTCAGGGCTGAGCGATCCGTCGATTTCGCCGATCGTCCCGATGATCGCTTGCGACAGCATGTCGGGATCATTTTTCATTTGTTCTGCTGCCGAAAGAACTGCATCTCCTGCTGCATCATAAATGTCAAGTGTCTTCGATAGGTTGGGATCCCGGTAACTCAAGTAAGAAAAGAAACCAGAAAATGGAGAAAATGTACAGAAACCACCATATGCTCCACCCATCACTCTTACGTGATCCCAAAGATACTATAGAAATTTTGTCATCAGAGAATAAGTGTGAGGAATGGTGTCTTGAAGGACATGCAAAAACTCCTGGACGATTAGTGCACTAATGCTTACTCCAGTTTTCAAAAACTTCGAAACAACTTGAGCTGATCCACTTGATTCTTCATCATTGTCATACAAAAGTCCACTTTTTCCAACATATGAAACTTGAGTGGGTAAAACGAATCCCTCGTCTTTGATTGGTACTAACTCATTCATTAGCTTCTTGATGGGGGCAACCCAAGGATGCTCATCCTTGTAAAAGTTGGGAAGTTTTTCGCCATCGCTCTTTCCTGGCAAATCAGTCAAGAATTGATCTACCGATGGTTGAACTTTTTCGAGAACAACTTTGTCACCAGTAATATCCAAAACCATACCATCCCTGCAAATATTTTCATTCAAAATGGTGCTTCTCATGTTCTCTAGCCGTGCCAACAAAGACGGCCAGTCGTTCTGCGCCTGATCCAATAGCGAGCGGACCGTATCCAGTTGTGCGATGCCGCCCATGACTTCGTCAATGTATCCCCCGACTCGGTATCTTGCCTTCATTCTCGTGTTGATGGCTTGGTGCCCACTGGTTTTGATTCAAAAAGAAGAAAATGTATTTAGCAATACGCGAACACAGATGATAATCGATGACATGAATAAACGATTTCTTACCCTGCTCCGATACCAGCCTCCATTCCTGCCTTCGTTTCCTTGAGCATCTCGACAACACGAGACTGTGAGTCGAAGTTTGCATCAGTCAAGACCGTCTTCATCAAAGCAAACAACTCGCCAACATTGTCACTTGTTGCCTTTCCTCTTACAAGTAGTTTTGACTGAAGGTGGTTGCCATCGATAACAGTTTTTTGGCTCGAACCTTCAGGGTGCACTGCTGTTGTAAGGGTAGTCACACCCAAACCGCCTGTGTAGGTACCAATACGACGCGATAGAGCAACTTGGTCGTATTCCCCTGCACCAGTTTCCATCATCATTCTTGTCATCAATGGTAGTAGTGGAATGTCGTCAACTGGAAGCGCCGACAAATCAACTGCGAGGTTGACGTATGCGATTCCGGAAGTGGAACCAAGTTCGTGTCGCAACACAGTGATACCTGTATCATTTTCGTTTTTGGTTTCCTCAATTGGATATTCAGTAACTTCGCGTTTGAGATCTTCGATTTCCAAGGCAGGAATCGTAGCACGGTCCTCTGGAGAATCTTCAGCCGCTTGAAGTTCTTTCAGCTTTTTGGTCGTCTCAATTACTTTCTCAATTTCGGCATCATTCATTGATTCCTTGATATTCTTCAGCTTGTCCTCTTCCTCCTTCAAAAGTTCACTTTCGTAGGTTTTCGATGGCTTCATCTCGATGGTTGTTCGGTGGGAGTTCTTGATAAACATTTTCTCGACCATGTCTTGGAAAACTTTTGAACCGGAATCCGCAATCTTTTCCTTCAGTTCAGCCAGTGGCTTCTCGAACTTGAGCGCTTCAGTAGGCGACTCATCGTAAAGCCACTTTGACATAGCTCCAAGCATAAAACTCAAACCCTTCGGGTATGATCCCGTGTTAAATTCTCGAAGCGAGAATTCAATTGTATTCATCGACGAGGCAATGTCATCAGCTTCGAATCCTTCCTTAGCGACCTTTTCAAGAGTTTCGATAATGAGGTTTTCGAGCTTTGGTACATCCTCACGTTTGACTCCCTTCATACCAATGGAGAATGTCGCTTGAAGCAGCTCATCCGAAAGGCCTCCGCCAGTGATCGCCTCTCCAAAACCACTTTCCATAAGAGATTTGCGAAGAATCGACGACGAGGTCCCCATGAGAAGGTGATCCAAAATACCGATCGTCAGCTCATCAAAGGACGACATAGGTTCATCATTCAACAACCAGTTGATGTTCATCATGTGGGTTTCGGGTTGGTCTTCTCCAATAGGATACGGGTGCGTTTCCTTCTTAGGTTCGGTGTACTTCTTCTTCTGCCATTCGATAACACTTCCTGGTTTGCTTTCCGGTGAGAAATCGAATTCGTCGAGATACGAGTCCATGATCTCCAATCGGGCCTTAACATCGTCATCACCCGAAAAATAAATACGCGAATTGGTTGGATGGTAGAATTTCTTGTGGAAGTCAGCAAATTGTTCAAAAGAAAGATCGGGAATAACTCGTGGGTCGCCACCACTGTCTACTCCGTACGTTGTGTCCGGATACAAGGATCTTTGAGATTCGCGATTCAAAAGTGAATCTGGGGATGAGTAAACACCCTTCATTTCGTTGAAGACCACACCTTTGTAGATAAGAGGATCCTCCTTGTCATCGAGTTCTAAGTGCCAACCTTCCTGGGCATGTACCATAGGATCAGAAATTGCTCGCGGATGGAAAACGGCATCGGCATACACTGAAAAAGAGTTAGATTACGACAGGGTTCCAGATGGATGCTATCCAAAATTACAGCGAACCCCAAAACCGTCTGCTTCTCACTCACCAGAAATGAGATTGTAGAAATCTTTATTGTTCTGAGATGCCACGACGTAGCAAGTGCGATCAGGATACGTAAACGCATTCAAAAATGTTTGAAGACTCCCTGCCAACAATTGAACAAAAGGATCTTTCGTTGTATACTTTCTGCTTCCGCAAAGGACTGAATGCTCGAGAATGTGGGGTACGCCAGTGGAATCCTCGGCTTCAGTTTCGAAAAATTAGCAATCCAAAACGAGTAAAGTTGAGATCAATGTTTCATTGCAGTCAAACTAAGCCAATGTATTTAGAATCCGAAATCGACTTACGCGGAGTGCGGAAAGTGATACCAAAGACCTTGTTGTCGTCATCCGTCGATACACTCAGCAACTCAGCGCCAGATTTCTTGTGGCGATACAAAGTGGCTGCGGCCCCGTACTCTTCGATAAAATCCTCTTGCAAAATTTCGTATGCGGGGTGGTTAACAATCATCTTCTCTTTGAGATCTGTGCCTCCATCCAAGACACTACTCATTTGCAATTTCATTGAGGCCGCCGATGTACGCGGGCAAAACGCATGTCGGACACCATTTCCTCCAAAAGCTTTGGAAGCCGCGGCGAATGAGCGAGTGGAAAGCGATGTAGCGAAGGAAAATGCTGTTACAACAGCAGGCCCTCTACGTGCCAGAATAAAGCTAGCTTGTGCAAACATGGCAACAGCCAAGACACTCTTGAACCCGAGTGTTGTTACTCTTTTCAACATTTGAAAAAAGAGAAATGAAAATAATTATAGGCACGCGAATTATTTTATGAGGCCGACAGGTGGCGTCGGGAATTGTGGATCAATCACGAAGATCATTTTTCTTGAAAGAAAGAAATTGACGCGGTACGGTATCGATGTCGATGGATGTAAAAAATATTGACACGTCGAAGAAAAGGTGGCGGCACTTGATTCTTCTTTAGTCTTAGATTGATTAAATTGACTAGTTAGATTGCTTTTTCGAACACAAAAACAGTTTTGTGATTCGCACGGAAGAATCTGCCGTCGAAGAAGTGTAGAAGTACTCAACCTCGATCTCACCCAACCCAGTGAGTGATGCATGCCTGAAAATTACTGTACTTCCCAAACTGATAACATTTTGCTTTTCCTCATCATCACAATCCAAGTGCTTTCCGCACCCAAATAACATCTTCTCCTCTCCCCATGCGTTGATGGCCAACATGGTTCCCCCTAGTAAGCTCAAGGTTTTCTGTCAAGAAAAGTGTGAGAACATCATGATGTTCCACCACCAGGGAAAAGGGCCATGAGTTTCGTTTTGGAGCATCAGCACAACAAAATAGTACATGCACAATTTTGTTTTGGTTCATGCAGGAAACTGAAAACAGCTCTGCCCCAACAAAAGTGAAAATCACGAGAGACCACAACATTCTATAAGTTGCTCAGAGGAAGCTGTACAAAAGTTTGTCTGGTTGCTGGTCTTCGAATGCATCTTTAGCACGGACGCAGCGTTGAGGTATTTTCCAAAGTCGATTGACATGCAGTAGGCATTGTTCATTTTGTTGGTCAAGTCAGGATGGACGTGATGATCAAGGAAGATGACGTCAATTTACTCAATTTTAGGGTAGAAAGAACGGTTACCTTGCTGTGGTGACCTTTTGTCGCTTCTGGTGATAGTCATGTCGAAAAGTTGGTTTGAAGTTTGGAAGTATTAGTGGAGAAGACATTTGGGAATAAAATATGTTTTGAATTGGATCAAAATATATTTTATGGAGCGTTTGTTGCAGAGCAATAATTTTGTTTTGGTGTTAAAACTATCGGTTTTCATGAGAAGCTTGAAAAGTTGTTACCAGAGGGAAGTTTTATGATGGCAACGTGTGTTTGTCTCGCACCAAAGTGAGATGGTCCTGAGTGTGGGAATTAAAAATTTGAGTGTGGGATTTATTTTTAATGCGCAAGTGGGAGTTGAAAAAAATAAGAGTGCAATTGTTAATGCCRAATGTATTCCAGAAAACAAGAGTGTGTGTCTTGTTAGAAGATTTTAATTTCAAAACAAWGAGTATTTGGCATCGACAATGGCAAGTTTGTTGAAACAGATGTTTTGTTTGTGTCTCGCAATGGGTGTCAATAATGTTGATTTGTGTCAGACATTGCAATTGTATTGCAATGACAATTTGTTGTTCAAAGATGTGTGAACAAAAGGTTTGGTAGAGTCATGTGATGAGGAGAGAGCACACCTTTACTAAAAAAGATCACCACCATAGTGGTGATAATTTTTATTGGAAGGGTGTCATAACCTGTGGGAGTGACTATCTAATAGTGATGTAAATTGCTGTGTGCTAAAAGAAAAGTGAGTCAATGCTCTTATCAASGATCAACAAACTATGAAATCTATGACCAATCAGAGTGAAGATCAAGTGATGTGTGAATCAAATGAGTCAAGTCACCCATGCAAATGAATGAACTGAGTCATGCCAATTGTATGGATCCATAGGATCAAGTGAGTCATATATGTAGAGTGTGTATGAATCATAGGTACGTGTCATATGTATGTGTCATAGATATGAATCATACCCATGGTCTGATATCCTACGGACAGCAACCTGGAGCGCTGCTGGTAGTAGCCCACTCATAAGAACCCAACAAAGGTTTTGGAGGAATGTTACAAAGTTGCTCCCAAACTACAAAGTTATTGTTTCAAAGCACAACTTATTGGCTGGGGCTTAAGCAATGACGTTGGTCGCAAACAAATCTCYATTAGGTCACACCTTCCAACATGCATTATATTGTATTCTTACCAATGTCTCTTTAACAAAGGAGGAGAATCTCTCCTTCCCCCAATCACAAAAACTACTACCTTTCCCTGTTGTGACCCTGAACTGACTGATGACACTCTCATTTGCAAACTMCATCACGGGGAGTGGTGGACAGAAACATGGAAGGAGGAGAAGTGTGTCCCAATTAACAACAAGATGATTTTTTTACATGGGTGGTACTGTAATTGATAGGCACAGTAGCACAACCCTATGCCCACTCGTCATGATGCTTGGGATATTCAGTCACCTCATGCATTCCACCAAACTCGACACATGGAAACAATATATTTTCACCCCAAGCAAAAAGCAATCAGTCAGTAGACAATGTCAATAACCTCCATGATGGTTTACAAGCCGCCTTCTCTTCATTCAGAGAATCATCATGCTAGTCCTCCCATAATATTTGGTGGCACAATAGTCCATGGAATGGGAAGCCTTACAATGTCAAAACAAATTTTGCGGTAGCATTTTTCATTGGTGACACCAAGAAGCAGCATGACAAGCTCTGTGGCCATTGTACTTCTGTGAATACAAAAATGGTATGCAGACATTGCAACTGTCCCCACCCCCTTCTTGGAATCAATGCAAAGGTTAATGTGTTGAATGCCTCAGTTTCAAAAGAGTTGGAAACAATGAAGTCATCACTGGGAAGGAATGTGACACCAACATGTCTGATAATAATACCAACATTGACACCAAAGAAGTGTCCGTGGAACAAGAAAAGGCAAAGAATACACAACATCAATAACAGTGTAGATTTCTCTCCCTAAGGTTGTGGCATCCTTTAGATTTCATTCAGTCAACAGTGCCTGAAGACATGTCCCTGGAACAACATTGTCAATACCTCTCCCACCATTGCATCCAATGCCCAAATGCCTTCTATGACCTTGACTTTGGCGTGAATTTGCACAGTATCCACTTTCTTGCCCGGGGGAGAGGCTTCATATGCACTACTTAGGCTGTGTCAAAAGAGCAGGGGAAACCTTCCGTGATGGGTTTCTAAGAAAATCAAAAAAGCTCCTGGACAGTATGGATGAAATAGCCAGCCATTCTGACTCATCACTTCAGAGGCAGTCAGACTGTGACTTTCCCTTGACTATTTTTGTCAAGTCCGTCCACATCAAAAAGAAGGAGGGCCACCACTTCAGCAGCAGCATGTAATCACTGCAAATTGTCTACTTATTGCTGAAGGAACGTTGTGAGCTTCTGAGGTTTTGCCAAGACAAAGACCAGATTGGTGGATGTATATATGCGCTGGAATGTACATTGGGCATGGAAGGGTTCCTCAAACTGTCTGGTACCCAAAGGGATGTTTTGGAACTGAATCAATAGTCAACAAAGACACAGCCAACAAAGACGCCCTCAACCAAAATTTGGAAGATGGTTTCAGGTATCCAAAAGGAATGTTCTGAGCTTCAAATCTACACAAGATGGTCATTCACTTCAACAACAACATTGACAAATATCTGGCAAGGAGGGATGGTATGGGAAATAATCTTACAAAGAACCACATGTATTTCCATCTCTCACAATACATCAGGCCATTTGGTCCTCCTTCTAGATGGACTCCTCTAGGAATGAGAGTAACCACAAGACTGAAGATAAAGTCCCAGCTAAAAGAACATCTCAAATATCTCACTCACTGATCAAACAAACTGTCAAGTATCATATTGAATGCTGCAAAATAGACTGACTCCACCTTGAGTTCAACATGAAGGATCAACTAACAATTCTCTGATCTCCTAAACCAAAAGGTGGATCTTTGTTCACAATTGGCAAAAGTGATGATACCATTTACTATACATGAGATGGGATACAAAGGATAATCAAAAGAGAAGTCTCCCTTGCCTTTCAATGGAGATGATAAATTTTGTCCAAATCACATGCTAGAAGCTGTCTCCACCAAGGAACTCAAAGGTTTCAATGAACACAAGTGAATAGACTCTGAAACAAACAAAAAACTTTTATTCCAAGCACACCCTTCCTTCAAGACTGATTCCAGGCAAGAATGCAATATTTGGCTTGACTGGGCATATTTTTCATTGCATGTCCCAAACAGAAGGGGCATTTATCAGTTGGATGAAGACAGTAGCCCTCTTCTCAAGCAGTATCCATGCCAGATATTGTGTTTTCTCAACATGGAATGACCAATTGGTAATCACTCAGTCAGGGGCTTTGATCTTCGCGGCAAATGTTATTACACAGCCATTGCTGTTTTCTGGAAGAACAAGAAATAACAAGCAACCAAAAGAATTCTAATGGAAAACCTCGCTCTTTTGTTAAGAAGGGTAGGTTACACCATGGTTTGCACATTGTTCTGTGTTTAAGCATTCACTCTGAAGTCACCACTGTTTGCAATGTTGGAACACAAGAAAAAATTCTTTGTTATTTGCAGTGGGGGGGATGGCTGACTAATTTCACTGAAATCATGCTGGGTATGAATGGTCAGAATGTAAAAGAAATCATWGCAGATGGTCACAACCAGAGTACCTGACTTTCTTATCCCTTAATAGGAGTGTACGCCTATAGGCGTACTTAAGGCCTTTTCTAGCCAATCAGAAGTATACTTTAATTTGCTCTACTGACAATATATACGCCATGTTTGTAATCTACATTAAATTTTGGGATTGTATGTACTATCCCTGGGCAGCCATACTCTTGCAAGAGGTCTGGTGGGGAGCTTGTAACAGTATGGAACAGCTGGTGAATATCTAAAGGCCTACAAAAAACTACTAACTGTAACAGCAATAATTGCAAACTCACCATGGTAATCCCCCCTCCCTCCCTACAGACCTTCTTTTTGGAAACAAAGTAGATGGAACTATCCCTCTACCCTAGGGCAATGAAGCTGTGGAAGAAGCGCAGATTGAATTGACTGGAAATAAAGGAATAAAGGACTGGTCTTGTAATTTGGTGTTGACAACCAAAAACAGTCTCACAAGCCACTAAAATAAATGCGCCTTCCTTGAATCAAGATAAACAGACACAGGAAAAAAAGATTGCAAYAGAACCCAATTGAGATAGTGTCTCCAAGGGACAAAGGTAGTGTAAATGCTTCCTTTTAAAGCCAAATACAAGCTATCTGCATCATAAAAACCATGGGAGTTTGTTGACAGCTTTATTCCCTTTGAAAGCAGCAAGAAGAAAGGAGATGGCTTCAGCTTTGACAACCTATGCAAGTGGACAAACTGCAAGGCAGCAATGGCTGGAATTGGTTCCAAGGTGTACAAAGGTGAATGGAAACCATCCACAGCAACTGAGTCAAGGCAACACATTGGTCTTTATTTGTTGCAGGGGCTCTTTCCATCACCAAGAGTGGAGTACAAGTTTGATTGTTAGCAGAAGGACAGGATTGCAGGTAATGACTTTGTATATGAATCATTCAATGCCAATGCCCGGCAACGACACAAGCATTTCAAAGGATTCCTTGCTTGTTGCAATCCTCTAATTCATTCTCCTAGCAGAGGTCTTTATCCTAATTTGAAGGTGTGGCCACTCATTAAGTGGATGAACCAGCAATGTCCACAAGCTTGGGACCTTGGTAAGTCAGTGGCACTGGATGAAATGACAATGAGGTTYATAGGCCATCATTGGGACAAGCTGCTGATCACATACAAGGCAGAAGGTGATGGATTCCAAGCTGATCCCCTCTGCAACAATGGATATTGCTACCAAGTGTACATGAGAAATGGTCCTGCACCAGTAAAGTATCTTTGGCAAGGTCTGTCTCCTCTTCACTCACAAGTGATGTGATGACATTATTTTCTTCTAGTTCAGGAGGTTAAATATAAAATTAAGATTTTTTTAAAACTCAGCAGCATTCTGCAGGGATGCTTGTAACCATGAAAAGAAAGTGCTTTGCCATGGTGTTGCAAGGAAGAATGGCAGAGGAATACCAGATTCTTGTGTCTTCCAAGAAGGACAAATCCACCCTGTTGCTCAGCGAGCAGTTTGAGGTATACTAGTGAAGGCAACAATATTAAAAGGGGATCCAGACTGTCCAAATCTTATCATTGCTTAAAGTGTCTAGTGTGATACTAAACCAGTACACTACTACTAGTATTTGAGCATGGTATGATAATAAATTGAATGGGTACTGAAGGAAAAGATGGTGCACTACAATGTTGACGCCAATGAAGTTGAAGCTCTGCAATTCTTGAGACTCAATCAGATTGATATTTACAATCATGGAATGGGGGATGCTGATATTGCTGATCAGCTAAGATGTGTTTATCAAGTGTTTATCAAATGGATAGATGGGTAAGGAATAGGAAATGGTGGTGGTCTATGCTCTTCTGGTCTCTACTAGGTGTGCTGTTAACCAATGCATACAAGGTGTATCTTACTAACCTCMTGTGCAAGGAAGAAGGTACTATTGAACCAATGGTGTACAAAGAGCAATACCAATTTTGTAAGGCAGTAGCAGAATACTGGATTAATCCTGAGAAGGTTGCAAGTGAGGTACAAGCTCATAGCAGTACTGCAAGTGCTTCTAATAAATCTATGCAAAGAAAGAGGGTGTTTCAATTTGATGATCTCTTGCCTGCAACAATGTCAACAGTTTGGTTATTGTTGCCTGGTGGAACCACAACATGTCAAATGTTGACACCAGACTTGGTATCCATGAAACAGAGGATCAAGAATAGCTCTTCCAGGAAGCAAAAGAGGAAATAAAGTAGTAATAGTATTAACATTATCAATAACAGTAGTATTTTTGTCTGTTATGTAGTAATTTTGTGTAGCCCTAGTACTAATTTCTATGTACTAGGACTAGTATAAAATTTAGTATGCATAGACGTACTTCTGTACTCCTATTAAGGGATAGGTTTTGTTTGTCAACATGCAAGCTTCAACCATTTTTTTCATTATTTTTCTATCATATCTGGGTAGTAGAAAAACCAAGAACACCATTCTCACTATTGATGGATTCCCAGGCTTTCAATATTACAGGCTGTGCTATGGCGCATAACACAATTCATTGCCATTAAACAATTCTGAGAAATTTGGGTTATCTCAACGACTGCCCCTTGGCAATTTTTTTATCACACTAGGGTAGTAGAGAAATCAAGAACGCCTTTCTCACTATTGATGGATCCCCAGTCTTTGCAATATTGCTGTGGATCAGAATGCTATTCATTGTCATGGAACAACTCCTTTTGCAAGACAGTTTGGTCATCTCCACAACAGCTAGTACTTGGTACTGTAACAGTTTCAAAACTAAAAAAATTCACTGGCAGTCCCTCATCTGAAAGTATAGCTAGTAGTCCATTGTCAATACTAGCCAATTTTTCCTGTCCATTGACAGATATACTGCATTGTGCACTCTGTTCATGAAGCCACCAACACTAATTTATCACCAACAGCCTAACAGATTGAGTGAGTTGACACCATTCCTTTTTTGCTGGGTAGGTCAATTTCAATTTATGYAGGTTGCTGGTGTCAGACTTGGGTCCCAAGAACCCATAATTGTTGCAGCATGCTTTGCTACTGGTGGGTATGTTCTAATCAAGGTATCCACAGAGCATGGACCATAATAGGATACCAAGTGCCCATGCATATCCATTATTCCAAACTTCTTTCAGCACCCCACCAGCCTTGTTGTCCAGGGACTTTACAAAAGCTACTACCCTCAGCCAGATTGGCCTTCCCTTTACTACTTTCTTGAACTATCACAAGCTGCTGTCAAGGTGTATTTGCACCATGTCTTTTAGTCCACTTCCATCCAGATTATCATATTACCCCGGCAGAGAAAAAATGTATGATCCAGTTGTACATTTTGAATCTGATATTCATACACAACTATCGTTATATTCCACTACTAATAAGCCCCAATTCCCCCATATGGCTAGAATCCTCTCTTAATTCTCTTTCTAATCGTGTGCATAACATTGTTAATCCTTTTCATGTGTGCTGTGCAGTCCAAGAATGTAAAAATTTGACCAACTTATGATGCAATCATCATGTAAGGATATTCCACTCAAACTGGACACTCCATCAGACACAGGGTGGATAGTCTATAGCACAGTAAATTCAGTTAGAAAGCACAAATAATTTGATATACTTCTAAGATATGATTAGGGGAAACCTTTTCATGTGTACTGTGCAGGCCCACCTACACTAGGTAGTACCTACAAGAAAAAGTGATTTTTGTAATTATGCTGTATCTTCGGTTTGCAAGAATACACCACCACCACTGAAGAGTAGTCTGTTTTGGACCCCTTGGGTTCTTCTTGTCAAAGACAGTCATTTCTGACCCTTAGTTTTGAATAGAATTCTCATAATTCTACTAGTAGTAGTACTATTATTTGACCCACTAGTACTACTAGTAGTAGGTGATCCTTAAAACATCAATGAGCAGAGAAGAAGAACTACCATTTCTTTTCTTATTTTTATTGCTTGGGGAGGAGGAGGAGGAGGAGGAGGAGGAGGAGGAGGAGACCATTACAAGAGTAACAACAGCATGTGTATAAGTTTGTTGTACATCAAATAATATTGCTTCTATGCTTCAAAAAGTGCACAAGACGTGGTACTAATACTAGTTGAATAACAGTATCTCCTTTATTATGATGGTACCACCAGCATCTTCTACTGCTGTGCAAGTTGTACTGCTGAAGAACGAAATTCACCCATAATTGTTCTCGTCTGGATATGAAAAAGCAATCTATTTTTTTGTTGTTGTAACTGATGTAATTCTATATTTGAATAATTTTATTGATGCTGTTCGTTACAGTATTCAGCAGAAACGAAAGCAGTTTTTGTTACATGATGCTGTCATCCATTCCATAAATTTTTTTCCCTCTCTTGTTTCACCGACAAGAAAGGTTTTTTTTGTTTTGTTGTCTTGACATATTTTTCTGGGTTTTCTATTTTTTCTTCTTTTTCTTTTGTTTTTGATCTGATTTGCCTCTCAAATGAAATTGAATTCTGTCGCATTGATTGAAACATCAATTTTCGCTGTAGACAGAATAGGGATAAACAGGAGCTGTGATTGGTGTTATCGCTCTTGTTGCTTTCGYTGTTTTGTACCGTTTGCCGTCATTAGCAGCAAAAGCGATTCCAGTCCTTTAAACGTTGTCTCGTGATTTAGAGGATTCATGTATGAGATGAAACAGCCAGAAGCAGCACCAATACAGATACCACTTTTACGCAAGGCAAGAAGTAGAGATCGAGAATATGTTTCTCGTTCCTCTTGCGCTGGCACAACTATTTCAGGAGCCAAACACCTGTGGTGCACCTTGTTTTCCTTGCTGGCGAGACAGTTCGTCTCTATAGTTGGCCATCGTTTCCATCGCGCAAGATACAGCAATGTTGGTGGCTTTTTTTGATCCAACTCGCGACGATGTTGTACTGAGCTGTTTTTTGTTGCTTGAGGCTGTGCCTGCACGCTTCGTGTACTTGTTGGAAACCTTTCCCGTAGAAGAAGAAGAACTGCTGATCTGCTGCTTCATCCGCTCAGCTGCGGCGCTTGCTGCTTGTGCCTTCTTCAACATTTTCAGCTTCTTTCGTCGTTTTTTGTTTGAAGTTCGACTGATGGAGACAGAATTGGAGACATGCTTGTTTTTGTTGCTGTCCTTCGTCGAATACTCATCTTCCTGTTTTGAAAATAGTAAACCAGATCCTGTTTGCTTCGCCGATGGATCAAACTCTTTCGGCAACGCGGTTAAGAATATGATTGTTCTGCCCGTAGTGCTAACGGCAGTCGGGTTGTAAGCTGCGGGGTTGGGAGTTTTCTCTAATGATTCCGTAAATAATTCCTGCGGAGAATCCTGGGTGGCGATGTCAGTTGGGGTAATTAGTTCGTCGGAGGAAACGGATTCGTTAGATTCTTTTTCCTCTCCGACGGGCATTGCACCCACAACGCTACTCTCCTCGGGATCTGTAATACGAATCAATTTTGCAGCCTCGTGCGCCTCATCGAGATCCTTCATAAGGGCAGAAGGGACAGTAAGAACCGACTCCTTCAAGTCCGTCGTAGGAGATGAGGAGTCATTAGACAACAACGAGGCATTGTCGTTGCTTTCTTGTTCGTTGTAAGTGTTAGAAAGTATAGAACAAACGTCTTCGCAGTAGTCATAGGAGTCACCGTCGTCTTCGTCATCGGTGATTCTGCCTTCTAAATCTCGTTCGATGAAGACAAAATCGAAATCACCACTGTCGTCGATATCGACAACTGCTGGCGTTGGTTCGTGGAAAACATAATTAGAAGTCAACATCGTCGAATATAAGGCGTTGGGAGCGTGTTGGCGAAGACTTCTAATCTGTGTAGACGTTGCAGATTCGCGTTTGAGAAAGTATGATGAAAATACGAAATCAATCTAATGGGAATAACAAATATGCAAGTGCTATTGCTAGGGGGACGTTGGTGTTGACGTTGACGTTGACGTTGAGGTGAGAGCAGATGACCCTCGCCAACGACGGAAAGCGTTCGGAAGAGGAGACAGAAAAATTAGATTTTTCCGAAAAAATCATACAGCTGACTGTATGACATCACAGTATCTAAATATACCCTTGTGATTGGAAGATTCGCTCTTAAATTCCTTCAATTCCATGATCGTTCTTTCTTTTTTGGCGCAAGCGTGGTAAAGTGGATGATTCGTGTTGCACTTCGAAGCGCTTCACAAATTCTGAGAATTTTGATTCATGAAATTCTGATCTGTAGGTGTCGTGACTCCTCATGACCCGGTGGTATTTATCTCCAACGCTCGTTCGCCAAAAGGGGACATGACTGCTCGTTGCGACCAATTCAAATCAAGCAGGTCCGCTTTTCAGTCACGTACTCCTAAGAATGACTGAAGAATCGAAAAAGAACGTCTGCATCATCATCATAGTCGTCACMGTGATCGTCATYATCGTCACAGTCGTCTATCAATCAAGCATACATCAACAAACATCATCATTTTCATCTTCTCTTCATACGGTACCGGGGACGTTCGGTATCGACGATTTTACCAAGCAAGTCCACAACTAGCCCCATCGTGGTAATGAATCTAGTAGTAGGCACCACTCAAGACACTACTTAGACCAATTTGAACAGTCCTGCAAGTCCCATAAAAAAAATATGAAATTCAATACCCAGGGGGGGGGAGGGCTGGTGGGAGAATTCAAAAAAAGTCTGGTGGTAGTGTGGCATATATTTTGGTAGCATTTCTGGTGGTAGCAATCTGGTAGCATTTCTGGTCACAATCTGGTAGCAATTTTAGCTACAATCTGGTAGTGATTATGGTAAAGTATGCGTTTGATTTCATCTTTCTTTTCTGATTACTGATCCCGATTGATGGATGCTTCAGTCGAGGGTCTCCCCCATACTAGCCTCTGTCTGCTTCTACAGCTTCTTCCTCTGGATAGAGTAATGTACCAAGCCCTTCATAAAATATAGTGTTATCATTCTTGCTTGCTTTGAATGGACCATTTACCCAAACAATGAAGCCTGTCTTCAAGCAAACAGCCACTTTATCATAGTACTTCACGCCTAGCAGTAGCCCATTGGACTTCTGGTGTGAGTACATGGCTGGCTCAAAAGACCACGGTTCATAAACAGGACAGTCAGTTCCATCAACATTTATGGAGCAGTTGAACTGGGCTACTCCATTCAGTCCACCAAATCTAGTACTGTCTAATTGGTCCGTTGCTACAGTTCAAGGCTTGTTACTAAATTGACAATCGAAGAGAGTTATCAATTGATACCACATATAGGGTCTAAGAGTGAGTGGAAGGGCTTCAAATAGAGCTATTCCCATGGTTATTTGCTTTCAACCAAGTTTTTTGATAGATTGAAAGAACAGATTAGTGTGCTGGATCAGCATTCTGGACCAAAATCTGCAGTCCCACCTTGATATGATGTGTTCTACAGCGCTTTCTACAGAGTTTGGTACTACACACCTTCGATTTTRCTCTTTTGCTGAGCAGTTGGATCAGCATGATCAGCATGCTGCTGGTCTACTGGTCTGCCAGCCTATATGTAGCCAATTTTGGGTACTTGTACTAGGCCCCAGTAGGATTTTGAAGTGTGATAGAAACTTGCATTGCTAAATTGTATTCAATCCCACAGCATTGCTCATATTTGGATTGTCATTGTCCTCTTTCTTCTATATATACTAAATAGTATTCATCACAAATATATCTTATATATGGATCCCACAGCATTGCTCTGACTTTATATATATCCATATTTAATGAATATCCTGCAGGCGCACAAGTTCAATCACGGATCTTAAATTGCTCCTGTTGCTCAGCTTTTCACTGTTCCTTTTCAACCTTCATGCAATAGCTTGAGTTAATTTTTATAAAGCAAATCACCCCAACCATAACACTCTTCTTGCTTCAACAAGCAAGACTGGAGCCAGCAAGATGGAAGAAGCAAGAAGGACTACAATGATGGTTTCAAGAATGAACCAAACAATCCACTGTAGCTTGGAGCTGAGTGCTCATCTAAGAGAGGTCCTGCTCAAAATAATACATAGATAAATTGCAGAAGAAGTAGCTGAAGCTGTTATCGTAGACAAGAAACAACAACAAGAAGAAGAAGTGAACACCTCCTCTTACAATTCCTATCCATCCCCTCCGGAATCCAAACCAGAAGAGGAACAATAGACCACCATGCCATCATCAAGAACTCCCTCTGGGGCCAGGAAGAAAGCTCCCTCYTCCAAAGCTAGGAAGAAGTCCTCCTCTGCTCCTGATGCAATCTGTACTAGCATGGATCATGCCCCCCTGAAGATTGACTCTGCATCCTGGCATCTTCTTGGTGCAGTTCCAGTCAGGCCCCTTGCCAGACCAATGCTTCCTACCCATTGGGAGCAATGGGATGAAGGGATTTGATATGTGGTTGGCTTCTGCAAGATTGTCATGTCATGTCATGTCTTTATCCCACCACTGAGCTAGACAATATTCAGCTTAGTTAGGTTGATAAGAGACACTTCAAGATCCAAATCAAGTGGCCACCACTGTTAAACTACTGCTGTTTGTCAGAKATGGATAAAGACGCAAACAAAAACCTCATCTTTCCAAGACGCCGTGCCTCTAAGATTGGGTTTGGAAAGAATACAAAAACTTCAAAGTGAGGCACGATCTATGTAAATTTTTTTCGTTTGATTTGACCATTGTCGAAAGTGTCTTTGACTTGCAATGTGCTGATGTGTTGTCTTTAACACACGAAAACGCTGAAAGTAATCACTATGCTCAAAATATGTATAGAATTGATTGTTATGTGTGTTAAAAATAAATTATAATCTTATTCAGCATCTAAAGTGTCGACACACTGCTCATGTGTTAATCCGTGTTGAAGGAAGTGTTGAGCACTTCAGATTATTCCTGTTCCCTGTAGATCCAACTAGTACTTGTTGATCAACAGGCCTTCTTGGAGTTCTGCTCTTGCGATATTCTTGATGCTTGGTACTCTGATACCTTGTKTAGATGTAGGTTTGTACCCTATACGTAGGTCCAGTTCCAGGGGCTCGTCACAACTGGCCTTCTGGTACTGTACTATACTCGTTACATCAGTTCAAATTTATACGGATTGGTGGTTTTCAAATTGGTTCCGTTGTAGTTGTGTAGTATCCGCATAAACGATTCAGAAATATGATGACAAAAATGGGCTGTTACCGGGTCGCAATTGGAATCGTAATCGTTTGAACATTCCTTGCGTGCCAAAATGTTTTTCCTCTGTAGTATTCCGGCATAATGCTCCGATCCGTTGTATGCCATTACACGCTGCTCAGGATTGTCTTCCCAGAATGGGTCATCTACGCCGAATTCGTTATTGGACAAATAGTAGTGATTCACAAAATAGCCAATGACCCAATCGGCGTGAAGGCAAAAACCTCCGTTGGTTCGTTTATTTTCAATCCTATCGGCGGTAGTCTTKTTTGTCATTGTAGTTTTCCAGTGTTTTTCAGCATCGACGTACTTCCAGTTGGTCACGTATTGGTACATGAGATCGGCCACGCTCATGCCAGGTTGAAAAAGGAATGCTTCCCCAATCGAATCTTCCTTGAGTTTTGCGCAAGCAAGTCGCTCAAACTCGTCCTGAGTTAGTTCACGGTAATTCAGCGTTTTTAGGGATTGCTTCGTTTCCGGGTCCAGGAGAGGATCGTCGTTGGCATCACTAATATTGCAATCCTGAATGGGATGTACGAATCGTTCGATGCTTCGTTTGGTAAAAATGGTCCCAAAGCCRCCCCAGGGAAAAGTGAAGTTGTGTTCAAAGACTCGCCATCGGACGCGGCAACCAGCGATCACTAATGTTTGGTTGAAAGGATACATTGATGGAAGGAATCCCAAGCTCCCGTCATGTCCAGCAATATTGTCCATGTTGAGGTAAGTGTCGGCATCCAACAACACCAAATAGTCGGGCATTGGAACAGAACTATTGCTGTTGGTAATTCGGTTTGTGCCTGTATCGGACGAAGAAAAGGTTGTGTAGTCGCTGGTGCTTGGAATCGCAGTGCTGGCGTATTCCTTCAAGACTTTGTATAACGACTCCGCCGGCCGCTTGAAGGCGCACATCCATCCTCTAGCTCTGTCTTCCTTCTTCGCGAGCCAATTTGCACTCGCAAACTGGGATCGAAACCGCATTAATTCAAAGTGATCGGTGTGCTGCGACCGACAAAACCGCGAGACGAAGGCTATGCTGTCGGTGGAAAGAAGTTTGTGACAATGTTTTTCGTGGTCGTCCGACTCGGTAAATTTTCGGAAGCTTCGAACAGAAGGATGGCTTCCAAATGTCTCGGCTTGGGCGGCCATGTTCTTTGCCTCGCCATGGGATCCCACCGAGATTATATCGATGGTGGGTATTAGTTGCTGCTGCTGTTCTCGTCCTTGTTCATCCCTGCTCGATGTACAATTGGCGTTAGGAGGACAGCGTGTTCTTTTCATTGGTTCGTTCGTTGTCGATGGCGACATAGCCGTTGCCTTTGCTATTGTGGGAGATTCATGCCCATCCGAAGACGCTCTGTCGGAAGCAAAGGCCTCACTAAGACTGGGTGAATCAAAGTCATAGTCGCTTTTTATGGTTGTACCAGACAAAAAAAACTGAGATGATTCGAATGGATATTCTTTCAAAAGGTTTTTGTTGACCACAAAAGATAACGTGATGCATTGCAAGAGCAAAAAGAAGACCCCTAAAAAAGTTTTCCAACCTCTCTGYCGTTCCTTTTTTTTCCAGAGTTCACTCTTTCTGGCGCGTTTGAGGTGGATCATTAGTCTACTCTCTTGATAGTGATTGCCTGTTGGTATTCACTTTGGTTGTGATGATGGTTAGATGAGCTGAGGTAGGTCCTTTGTCTTAAGTCGATACGTGTAAACGTACAGGGGTCATATTTTAGAGGTAACCGTTGAGCAGCTCAACATTTCCATGTAGTACCAGTTAATCGGTAATAAAATGCGTTGACCGTAAGAACYCTACCGCGCTCTACTTGAAAAAAAGTAATTTTACTCCAAGGGATTGGTTGCGGCCGCCGCCTTGGTTTTTTTTTGAAGGATGGCGGCGGCCAAAAAACTTACTACGGTGCAAAAACTAGGTTATTGCTAGTAGTAGAATGACTTGTTGTCACAATAAATAATGACTGAATGTTTAAGTTAAAAATGAAATAATTTTTACTTGTATTTTGGTAAAGGTACTAATTTATTTGCAAAAATTAATATACCGGGGTTTGTACAAATCTACACTAAAAAAAATATCTTTTTGTTTCCTCGGTAAGTCCACCACCACCAGGCAGGGCTGTAAGAATTCTTCAAAGTTAGTGGCTACGCGCACTAAAGATAGAGATAGTGAAGTGCAGTGCACTGTAGCCAATTTACCCAAAAAATTTTACTAGTAAGAATCACGTTTAATTTTGTTAATTTTGAAGCCCAGTATTTAGTACTGATCCTACAYCATAGATCTACTACTATTCAGTCACTTTTTCCACCACCACAAAGAGCCCAATAAGGTAAAATAAGCTGCCTAAACACAACAGCTCCGGAAAGGCCTCTAGTAATGAGATCACCTTTGGGGATATGCTCGGTCATAGTGTTAAGAAGAGTGTGCTGTGTCATTGTTACACRATTAGGGACCAGGGGGGAGCCAGTTCTCCATTAACAGCTGGTATGGCCAAATTTGGCCAGTGGAGACCGCTGGCTACTGGTTAGAAAATAGGCCAGAACTCTATCAAAAAACAACTTTAGACCACCAGACTAAGCGCCCAGACCAAGTTGATACAATTACTTAAGGATCCAGGTCATTGGGACACCAAAGGATGCTCTAGCAGCTTAGAACTAGTCAGCCAAAGTTACAGTAGTGATGTGGCCCAAAATCATTAATTCTAGGTGTAATTTTATTACCGATTAACTGGTACTCACGGGTGCTTGGGCCCTCCGGTACCCACGCACGCGCACATCCCCCTTTTTGAATTCCTCCCCTAGAAAAACGTGGGTTATTTTTGGTGAAAAATAACCCACGTTTTAGAATCATGGGTTATTTCTTCATGGGAAGAATAACCCACAATGTGTGTTTTTTTAAATTTTAAAAATAACCCACAAAAGAACCCAGGAACCCACAAATAACCCACGAATTTACAGTCATCTGGGTTGATGGAGAACCAAGGATGTTAAGTATTTTAGTCATTAACCATATTTAATCACTGTTTTTAATTTTTGGAAAAAGGCCCAGCAGGTTTGTGTTTTTTTTGTGGGTTATTCATGGGTTATTTCATAGGTTATTTGTGGGTTACCCCAGGAACCCAGGAACACACGTTTTAAAACATGGGTTATTACATGCGAAAAATAACCCGCGTTTTAGAATCATGGGTTATTACATGTGAAAAATAACCCACGTTTTAGAAACGTGGGTTATTTTATTTGAAAAAAAACCCCACGAAATCATACCCCCGATATTAGATTTCAAAGGGGGGACGTGCGCTCGTTGGTTCTGGAGGGCCCTGCGCAATTACAAAAAACTAACACTAACAAAGACTAGTTATTTTTTGCTTTAGTACACGCACCTCAACAAAATACAAACCAAGCAGACTGAATTTTGTAACCAAACCCTTCCTTAAGGAGAGCCCATATTTTCTTCAGGATAACACTAGTAGTGTGGTTACAAAAAAAAGGGTCTGGTTACAAAAACAGGCGCACTGGTTCCCTTCTTGTGCACGCTTCTTGTAACCAGTGGTTAAAAACTGGGCTAGACTGACTACTCAAAAATTAAAAAAGTACAGTAGTATTTTTGATAAAGTTGCAAGTGCTTGAAGGTTGGATACTAGTTTTACTAGTATGATTATGCAGTACCAGTCATTTCGAAGTAAAATGCGTTAACAGTAAAATTCTACCAGGGCCTACAGACCTCAATGTCATTCTACTCCAACAGAAAAAAATATTACTAGTAGTAAAATCACGGTTAATTTTGAAGCCAAATATTCTAGTACTGGTTCTACACAGATCTACTAGTTTTTGGTCACTTTTTCCACTACAAACAGCTCCTCAATGAGGTAAAATAAGCTAGTAACAAACACAACAGCTCTGGAAATGCAAGGCTTCTTGTAATGAGATCCCCTCCTTTGGGGAAAAGCTTCTAAATAGTATTGGGAACAGCCCCATGTGTCATTGTTACATGATTAGGGGCCTGGGGGAGTCGATTCACCATTAACAGCTGGTATGGCCAAAATTGGCCAGATTACAACACTGCCTGGTGCTGGTTAGAAAATAGGCCAGATCTTTATCAAAAAACAACTTTAGACCACCACCACCAAACTAAGAAGCTCCCAGACCAAGATGATACAATTACTTAGTGATCCAGATCATTGGGATGCTTAAGGATGCTCTGGCGGCTTATAATTGGTCTGCCAAAGGTATACTACTACTAGTGAAAATCACGGTTTAATTTTGGCTGTAATTTTATATCAAAATTATTCTAACTCGTACTTCTAAAAGTGAGATTTACTAAACAATCCTGGGGTGAATTTTTGGAAATTTGGACCACACGTGGAATATGAAATTTCGATTCGATGCGCTCCCCTCTAAATTATGACCCCTGCGTACGTACCGTGCTGTACAGAACTATTTTTCCTAGTATTCATGATTGAATTTAGTCCCGAATCGCTAAAGATTTATATATTATACGTGCATGATTATCTTCAGTGTAATTTGTTCCGCCAAAAGGTGCTCACAATTTTGCCTTGTGAATAACTTGTACTTTGCCTTAAAAAGTGGTTTCAAGGTATCAACAATAAACGAAGATTTCCACCCTGTGAAACCAATAACGAAGATGCTTCGACTGAATTACACTGAATAGGAAAGAAGATCTTCAAATATAACAATTCTATTCTATATATATTGGGAGAATGAATCTCTGTGGTGGTATTAGTGGTGTGTCGGACCATGAGTTGATTCTGCGCGTTCCAGATGAAGAATTCAACATGAAAAAAAAAAGGTCGACCACATCAACAAACAGCAGCAGGCAATCGAATCGCTCATCACGTGGTAGTCGTACAATGTCTTCGGGTCAATCTTCATTTTCTCAATCAGCAAAAGTAAACCCAGTTTCCAGAGATGATTACGAGGAATTTAGAAGTCGCCAACGAGGTCACTCTTCACGTGAAATAAAATCTTCCTCGATTTTGTCGAAAAAACTGGAATCGGGCTTTAACTTGGTGAGTGTCGATTTGATTGAAATCGATACAAAAATTGTAGATCACATTTCGATGTTTGCTTTTTCTGCCACTGCTTGCTAACAGTTTTCCCGTATGAATACGTAATCGACAAAAGACATGGATCAATGGCGGAGTCAAAACACAAAAAGTAAATCTTTCAGCAAATTCCGATAAATCGTACATCCGCATTCGCATGCGGTCGAGAAATGACGAAGATGACGAAAACGACGGATCGAAGATCAACCAAAGAGATTTGAGAATCAAAGTCCGTCACATTGCAAGAGTCAGAAGTGTAAAGGAATTCCCCTCGGAACACAGGAAGGATGGCAGCAATTCTACCCAGAACACATACTTTGTTATCAAAATGAAACAGTCTGCCGATCAACAAGGCAACAAATTTAAATTCTTAGCACAATCTCTGGCAGAACGAGATACAATCGTGCTGGCTATCAAAAGTCTTCTTCATGATCAGGGAAAAAATTCACATGCCAGCCGCAATTCAAGAGACCAAAATGCTGAATCTAAGATTCGATCGGAAGACGTCAATGTCAATGCATTCAAAGCATTGAACATATCCGAGCAATCAAAGGAAGAAATTAGAGACCAAGAATCAGCTTATAGTGATGAGTTTTTTGACAGTCGTGACGAAGTTTGTCACGATCGCGAAGACGATTCAGAGAGGGATACTCTCGACAGATTCGATCCGTACTCCATGGACAAGAAGTCTTTCACGAGAGGAAAGTCCCGAGATGACTTGTACGATACTCAAAACCACAGGACAGTCCGGAACAGCAGTTGTAGGATATCAACGAAGAAGGATCATACTGACAAGCACAGACGGCACTCGGTTGCTACTAATGGAAGATATGGCAACCATAGATCCTATTCACTTTCTAGATCCCATTCCCGATCTAGATCGCAGTCCCGATCCCGATCCCCAAGAACTTTAGAGCGTCGTAGAACAACAGATAGACACGGGAACAAAGATGTTACTTTTTATGATTCGCTTGTCATCGTCGAAGATGAAGATATGGTCACSCTTGCAGCTAATTGCACAAGCAAGGCAACTGGAATGGCAAATTTAGCAGCAGGTTGCTCTCAACAGACGAGTGGGCCATGGTGTACAGATGATGTATGTTCAGCAACACTGAAGGACTTCACTGATTCTATGACTGGAATCTTTGAGTTAAAACACAACTACAATATGAATGAAATGAACGGTACCAATGAAGGTCAAAGAGCTGTTGCAGAGGAATACCTTTCAGGATTCTTGAGTAATAATTCGAACATGGGCGAGCTGTTATCGGTTCGAGATCTCTGGAAAGTTGCCGCCTTTAATAAACATGCTACCGGAAAAGAACTGAAGAGGCTCCACAACAGAGCGAGAAACGCTGAGGGTAAAGCAAGACGTATCAAACAATTGAGAAAACAGATGACTTTTGAAGGCGCTGACGCGGATAACACAGCACATTTGCTACAAATTAGTTCCTTTGACGATGCGACCAGAAAAGGAAATTCAGAGGATGACAGCGGCCGTTTGTTCTATGATAGCGACCCTGAAGATGCTAGACATTGTAACAAAAAAAGAGGACCTAGAGTAGCTGCGGCTCTCTTTGAAGAGTCATCGTCCGAGTCGAAAGTGCAACGAAGAGAAGTCTTAGATATCCTAGACAACAGTCGTTTTGGATTGGGGCGCAAATGGAGGCGTGTGGGACAAGAAGTTCTCTTCGATATCATTGAGGTAAGATAAGAGAGGATCTTGCAGCATAATGCTCATTTTGGGTCATCACATTTGTTTTGAATAAAATAATATCTAACCATTGAAATTGTGTAATCTCTCTCCATCACTCCTTATAGGCAACTAAGAACGAAAAACTCACTCTTTTGTGGCACCCGACTCACACTGAAGAAAACAATAACATGCCACCTGTATGTGTCAAGTTATGGGTGGAATCAGGGGTATATCTTGCAGATGGTACTTTTTTACTACCAAAGCTGACCTGGCTACCTGCCTACGAAAGCAACCTCAACATTCGTCAATTGAATGTCTCTGAGAAGAGCCCGGGATCACTCGAACTCCTGGATGTATGCAGAGTCAGAGAATGCGAGTCGATTGATCGCAGATTGCATCCATTTGGATGTGTCGACCGAAGTTTCACGATACAAACCCAAAACGGAAGGTATTTATTCGAGACGCAATCAAAACAAGAGAGAGCTCGAGTAGTGAACGGTCTCAAACTGGTTATTGCTCGTCTTGCATCTTTATTAATGCTTCGAGATCTGCGAGCCGTAGACGAGTTCTTCGGTGGAAATTCAGTTCCGGGTGAAGCTCCAGCCTGGGCTAGGGGTGAAACTCCTGCCCAGTTTCCTACCTCATAATGTACTACTGGCTGCAACATAGAGATAAACCGATGTTCGACCTAAAATAGACACATTACGCAAATGATATAAATTCATTATCTACACTTTTGTACGGCCTGCAGGTTGCATTCCATTCTCATTTTCTTTCGTCTAAAATTCGAATCATTAGTCAACTCGAGCTGTAATGGTATATATCTTATGAAGGAAATGACCACATCGTCATCTCTTATAGACTGATTGGTTCATCAGTATTCTAATATTGTAACTTTTTCATGCTACCGAAGCCTCTTTCTACATTTTGTTCTTCTTCATCGCCCTCGCTTTCACTCTCATTGTCATCACGCTGAATGTTTGGGACAAGCTTTCGCATGGACATGATTCCGATCGGGGCACGATTAGTATCAGAATAATCGCTCATGACACTCATGGGTGTCGCCATATCGTCGGGATTAGATTCACTTCCCATCTTAGGTGGCGTCGTCTTTACAGCAATACCATATACGGCAAGAGGCCCTTGCTTCTTCTTGTTCATGTCTTCTTTCGAAGGGCTTTCGTCGTCACCACTGTCAGTTTCAGCTGTCGGTTTGGATTCAATATTCATTGTCATTCGCGTGAACTCTTCCTCTCGGTCAAGAAGGGCCTTTACCTTCTTTCGAAGAACCAACCATCCTCCTCCTACCCAAATCAGAATAGCTGACATACCGAAAAGAGTAATAGAAAGAAGTGTTGTCACGAACGAGAGTGTTCTTTTCTTCGATTCCTTTGCATTTGCCAACTCGCTGTATGACGACATCCTTGTGAGGTCGGTTGCCATAGGGATTGATTCACTGACCTGGTCAAAAGAAATTAGTTCGACAGATGCATCTGCATTGACAACCTGATCAAGGTAAATCAAAGAAGAGTCGGTGTTATTTCTATTCACGAGGAATGTAAGAAGGGCTGCCAGATCGGCAATTCCCACTTCACCGTAATGAATGACATCCACTTCGGAATTTAGTGAGATTTCATTTCCATTCAATTGTTGCGTCTTTACATTGACAGATACATCGATCATACTATCCTGCTCTTCAASAAATCGGAGCGATTCATCGTTAGTCAGCAACTCCTGCAAATACAAGGCTGCCGATTCCTCAATGTGGTAGATATCATCTGCAGAAAATTCATTTTCTGACGCAAATTGAATTTCCATCAAAGCCGGAGTTTTGTATATCTGTTGTTCGTTCAACGGCGGTAAATAAAATAAATTAGATTTGTTCTAACAAGTAGAGTCAACGTACTCCCCCCCCCCACGACGTATCAGGCGTCTTCAGAGAAGAACTTACGGACAAGAGTGGAGCGCTTTCAGCTGCAACAGCGGCGTCGACGATGACCCCAAAAAGAATGGCAACGACGAAAAAGAATGCGGAGTACATGATGTTACTACTTATTTTTTCTTTCTTCCTTGTCAAAGGCGATTCACAATTTGAGAAAGAAGAGTTCAGATTTACTATTATTTTATGGCATTGATAGCTTGACATCGAAAAGACTACAGTACTACGTTCTTTTTGTTGGGGATAAATGTTTTCGTTCAAAAAGTTGAGAGAGGACTAGTTCCAACAATTTAAAAATCCTCACACCGTACGAAATGTACGCGTTCTTCAAACGTATTCATAACGGATTTTCCTTGCAGGCTCGTTGGGAATCAGTCCCGTTTGTACAATTGGGTCACGTAGAAAGGCATCAAACAACGACCACAAATCTTTTGATATTTTGAGAATTACCAATTACCAAGAGCGTTTCGCATCTTGCGATTGTTGATGATTTCATGATGGTTTCTGTTTCCTTCTTTCAAACAACGGACAGGTACGAATAGTACAGTACTCATACGTACGAACTCATTAGGCACGAGAAGGAAATAGCATAGCTAGTTTTTTCGACACAAACCCATCTCTTCAGATGTATGGGATGCTCCGATAAATGCAGCGTACACGATGACGAATAGTAATAACATCAACAATCAGTTTGCGAGGTTTGTATCGACGTCTCCCCTGTCGTCGATACCTCACGATCCTTCCGTTACGTTGGCCTCAAATTGCGTTCGAGATTTCTTTGGACCGACAGTTCAGCTGGTGGCAGATGCTTTAATGTCGAGGAGTGGAGGTTCGACCTTGGCACAAATAATAGCATTGATCGAAACCAAGGCCTACATCAGTGGAGAACGGTCTAATGAACGCCAGAAGATTATGCGGTTGGCCAAGATGAGGTCATCCACGATCAACACAATGAACAGTAACGGAGATCCTCCCTCCCCTGCATCTGTGAGGGCATCACTTCTAACCCTGATCCAGCATTCGATTGTAAACGTAAAGAAACGTACCAGATCCTTCACTACTAGCAAGAAAAGCAAACATGCTGTTACCAGACACAAGTCAACGTACTTGTACGAAATAGACATTGATAGAGCACGAATCTTTCCCCGCTATCCTCAATTTGTTGAGTACATTAAGAAACAACAAGACGAGACTGCAGCCATATTGGTAGAAGAAATGCTTGTACAGGGTCGAGTCAGAACAGTTCAAGCAATTACTCTTACTGTCGAGCAAATTCAGAAGCAGCAGGAAGATGACAAAGGAGAGACGTCTTCGAGTAGATCGGATCATCGTTACACTAGTCGCCAAGCGGTGTTGGAAAGCTTTCTCCGACTGGCACGGAACGGGTATATAGAAGAGGTATCCAAGGTGAAAGAAATGAAAGAGGACGACGACGAAGGCGAAACTGAATTTGAAAGACCAGTAGTGACAGCAAATTCCAACGATGATGGTTTTGACCACGACGAAGATCCTACGGTTGTCTCATTACTCCGTACAGGTCCTTACAAAAATTTGCCCTCAAAGGCCATTTGGAGGATCAACACGGATATGTTTCACGAACAGATGCGGGCAGTAAGACTGGGTTGGCTGGTAGCCGAAAGGTACAACCACAAAATTCAGTCGTCTGGATCCATTGTCTCCGCAGCTCTTAAATTGGCTGCTCACAATCGATTTGGCAATACAAACTTGAAGTCAAGTAGCAACAACGCTAACAACTCTCATGGAAATTCTTCCATAGGAGCAATAGACTTCGAGTCTATCCACAACTTCACAGTCGAGAAGATTCCGCGTTTTCTGCCTAAAACGATTGTCCAGAATCTCGAGAAAAAGGAGGGGGGTGTAATTGACAATATTTATAAGGCCTTGGTAGAGTTGACACAGGAATCCAACCCAGTTGTAGTAGAACAAGTTGAAGTGGCTCCGGGGCAACCTGGGCAGTGCAAGTTTCAAATACAGACTCGAAGATTAGTGGAATACTTAAGAGATCGCATTGTGCATCAAGTAAGTTCAAAGTTGCGGTTTATCAGCATTTACATCATTAATATGTATTCACTGCTGACTCTCCGTCTCCCTCCCCTTTTTATTGCAACGACCCTCAAGATTGTTTGGGATACACATGGTGAAATAGCTGCTCGAATCTGTTCTATTCTGAGATCAAATGGATATATGGAGTCAGATCAAGTAAGTCGCGATATCGTTTTTGTGAATGCTTAATTGCTGTGAGGGTCTAGTCCTAACTATTTTCAAATTTTCCTTTTTTGGATTAAGATTGCTGCAGCATCGATGAATCCGGCCAAGGATACCCTAGAATTACTCTATTGCTTGTACAGAGATAATTACATTGACCTTTTCAATATCAATCAGGGCAAACAGCACAATGTTTCCAGCATGATTTATTTGTGGGGTTATTCTCGGCATCGGTGTACTCGTACTGCAGCAGATAATGTCTGCAAAGCGTTATGCAATATGCGATTAAGGCGACAACACGAAGTAGAAGTTGGAAGTAATTGGATTGAACGGGAAAAAGAAGCCGACGCTACGGATGAAAACGACAACGAAGCAGACAAACTAATGAAAGCTAGATTCTGGCAAGGCTTGGAACGATTGGACAACGCAGCGATTCAACTCGATGAAACTTTGATAATTTTGAAAGACTATTAGTGACTAAACTTAGCTGTATCTAGTTTAGTTCAGCCTTGAAATTAGGATTCTTGTGAGCCCATATCATGTATGTCTGCTATTTAAGGTGGAGGCCACTGCCACACACTCTTGTTAGTTTGAGTATTAAAGAAGTACCAACGTTTTTGACTCTTGGACCAAACACACATCCAACCAGGCGGTAAGTTTACATTTGGTTTGACATCAGGTGTTTGCAAATCCAGGCTAGTTTCTTGTGCGGGAGGGGGGCGCCTCGTCTGTTGTGATGGCTTGGCTGGAGGTGGCGGTGCTGCTGATTTTGTTGGTGGAGGAGGTTTCGGCAAACTAGATATCCCTTGATTTGGAGGAGGAGGCGGTCGTTTCAAATTCGAAGTCCCAGATGGCGGTGGCGGAGGAGGTGGTCGAGGGACTTTCTTCGACGGAGGTCCTTTAGGTGGCGGCGGCGGTGGATTGGCCGAAGATTGACGACGAGGGGGAGGGGGGGGAGGAGGTGGATGCGGAGGCGCTGTGGTTTGTTTTTCATCCTTAGTCCTATCAGTTTTCGTACGTACCTGAGGTATCCCCGCTGATCTGGTATCAGTTTGTTTCCCTGGCAGCTTTTCCGAGGAAATTTTCTGCCTTTTCGTTTGTGGTTTATCATCATATATCTCTTCACTCCTCGAAGCAGATTTCCGTGGACTGCTTTTCGAGATGGGCTTTCCGGCGAACACAGCTTCCCCTTCACCCTCTGACTCAGAAAATGTGTCATGTGGAGGCGAAGTGGGAGGGGTCAAAGGTCCTCCAGGATGGTCTTCTTCAACCCCTTTTTTAGGCCGTTGGCTAAGAAATTGTTCAGGAATTAAAGAATTTGCCCGTTTGTCCTTGTATGCTAAGGAAACGAAGAACAAACATGGAGATACGTTAGAAATCGAAACGCCTTAGTCCACAGTATTCTTTCTTATTTCTTGTCTTACGATTTCCGAAATTGACGAATAGTCTCGACCGTATACGATTTTGAACGGAGTCAACGAAACTTCCTGTCCTCTCGTCGAAAAATGCAATTGGCATCGCATCGTCATCGACRGACCAAACAGGAGCACCATTTTGTGAAGTGGTAGCTGACACCCCGGTTGCATCGTTTGAACCATAACCGACAACCGGTGCGCGTGACCACAATAGTCGTTCTCTATAATCCCCCATTTTGGATGTAGTTGTTGCATTCAATTCAGACACACCAACTCCTGCAAATGAAAGCAAGGATTCCTTGGACTTATCTTGTCTCGCCAAACAGCGCTGTGCATTGCTACCGTCGTTGTTCACGCCTTCAACATGCAGCCCTCGCACCGACACTCCAGACCCACCAAAAATCCATCTCCTTCTTGATTCATAATATGCCATGAGACAGCTACTAGGTAAATCACCAAGCGCATCCATCGCGTTCTCACTCAATTTATTAGTCTCAGCAGCAATCTCACCATCTCTTACGGTTGAAGACGTTGTAGAATTCGTTGCTGATGGTATTCTCCAGGGAGCTGGCATTTGTCGCAACGCTGCAAGATAACTTTCTACAGGACATCTAGGGTCATACCGACCATATTTGATCGTTGGTATGACATTTTTTGGACTCTCTATTGCTATATTTCCTCTGGACGATTGTTGTTGTTGTTGATGTTGTTGTTGTAAATGGTGATCGGTGCGGCTTGGTACGTCAAAGGTGGACACTCCTCTTCTTCGGAGCTCCACCTCTTGACGCTCTAGTCTCTCATTAGTGACTTTGGCCATTTGCTCTGCATTTCGGATTTTTTGCAAACAGATTTTAGAAAAACACTGTGACACGAGTACCCCTTCATTGGAATCATTATTCAAGAGTGAGTGCGCACTGAAAGGCAARACATTTCGAAGGCTTCGTTTCAGTGCATTTTGATAGTAAGGTGGCAATCGAAAGAGATAGGCTCTGAATTCGTTTCTCCAATTTTCGTCCAGATGAACTGTTCGAGATACTGCGGTAGCTTGTTTTTGTACTAAACCGCTCGGTGCAGACTCTTTATTATTTTCATTCATCAAAACATTCTTTTTCAGGGCACGGTGTTCCGCCTCTGCAGCCCTAACAAGCAGGGGAAGTAAAATATGAGGCTCTGGTGGCAGGAGAGTGAGTGTTGAAAATTGGGCTGTGGAAGAAGAAGAACCCATCATTTGTATTCGAGACGGCACGTGCAAGATTCCGATAGATAAAAAGTTTCCCTCCCCATCACTGAGAGTGGGTCTCCCTGCTCCTGCCACAAGGACTGGATAGTGCTCCAAATTATTGGAGTGGGTGGGCCCGTGGGCGCCTTTCCCCTCCAGTGAAATCCATTCACAAATATAAACATCCCGCTTTAAGAATCGTGCCTGATGATTGGCGAAGTTTCCAGAAGGTGATAGATACTTGAGATTTGCCACAACGAGCTGATCAAGCCGGGTCAATGCTTTCATTACAGAAGACGGTTCGAAGCATTTGGATCCAAGTCGCGATGGAAATCTCGAAAACAATAAGGATGGTTGAGCTGGTCGGGGTGGTAATGTGTCCAGCTTTTTGGTGGGAAAAAAGGATTCTGGGATGCACCAAACTGGTTGTTGAAACATAGGAATATCGTCCCCGAATGAACGCCCAGACACTGGTACCGACGACATTGATGTGTCGCCGTGGCTTATTGGTACGTAAAAAATCCCAGCTTTGTGTTTGGTTCCTGCTTTCCCTGTATTTACATCTGGTTCTAATGATTGAAAAGTCACCACTGGGCCGCCGTTTACAAATTTACCACCATCGAACGTGTTCAATGTATTCTGCTTCGGATGTTCCTGTGTGTGGGGTAKTAACGAGACGGGGTCCGGCACTGGCAATTGTTTTGGAAGTTTAGGAGCTATGAGGTTGACCAACAAATCAGAAACATTGGAAACTGAACCACTTCCTGACGTCGACGACCGCAACATCATGCAGCTTCCACCGGTCACCTCACATAGAGCTCGCAGATGGGGATGTATAGACTGAGTAGGTGAAGTGGATTCTCTGCCTCCCACTCCTAAGCAAAATATGCGCTGATCCCATCGGAAGGGTTCTTGATAAAAATCTCGTAGTAGTGTCGACGAATTAACTTTGAGGGTGCCTCCACCTTCTGATGGCGACGCCCGTAAACACGCGCCGTCCGTTATCATGATCAAGCACGCTGGTTGCAACGCGTGCGTAGATGCTCCGCCTACCGCAGGATTCAATATTGCTGAAGAAGGCAACCTTCCCATGCCAAAATTTTCGGTAGCTTTGAATTTTAAGCGATATCTAGACATCATTTGTAGGCCTGCCGACAAAGCCGCGTTTAGCCCTATTGCCCCACCTCCGTCCTCCGGAAATTTTTTTGGTCTTTGATTGGATCCCGCTGGTGATGGTGTCCATTCTGTCGCTTTTAGTCGCTTTAGCTCTCTCTGAAAGCTATCGATTCCATTGTGATGCTGATGCTGCAACGTCGATGCCGCTGGTGGGTSAACTGCTGAGTTCCCGCTGTTGCCGCCAGAGCCATGGGCGTTGTCTCCTGCCATCAGATTATTATTTCCTGCGTAATGATCGGCACCGAATCCCACTAACAATCTGCCCCCCGCTCCGCAAATTGCTACGCCAGGCTTCGTTGTGTGTTGTGCTGCAGTCGAAAGGAGTAAATAATCATCCTTCTGAGTGAATCCCAGGCCGATGTTTCGAAAAGACTCCTGGAGTTTCGGAGGCAATTGTTGCAGGTGGGAATTATGTTCGTGTACCCGTTTTTTTAGACGTCGAGTCAGCTCTTCCACGGCCATTTTTGCGAGATCTAATCTCGACATGCTATTGACATTTCCGTTAACACGATCGCTGGAACCATCGACGAGAGTTTTCCCCATCGATGGTGAAGTATCGACGATGAAGACAATAATCATTATGTTGCGATATTTTACCGTGGTATCTTGTATTGACGTGGGAAAAATAGCAGCCAATAGACTCCTTTTCCTTTCATACAGTAAATCTCTCCTGGAAATCGACAATGGTACCTAATCGCAATGGATGAACTGAAATTGAAGTTGATGCACCATCCGGAAGTTACTGTTACCGAAGATGATACCACACGTTGAGACGGTTGAGATGTTGGATAGTTTGAATGAAGCCGAAAAAATGTTCCATCTTACTGTACCGCATGAAAAACCATCAATGATAAAGTCCAACTTGTTCGTACCGACCCCCAAGAATGAATTTCTCTCTTTCTTTCACGAGTTGAATTCTTGAACCTCTCTCTGCAGACTCCAATACAAATCTGCACACATACCACAGAACAGTGCTGTGAAAAGCAACAGTTGCTGCGTGCACTACGTAGCTTTGCCAATGTTTTTTCACCCACACACAGAGTAACGCTGTTTTGTATCTTTCTCATTAAAAAGAAATCACAACAGAAGCAAGCGACAAATTGGGAACAACAAGAGGAGAATAAAGTTGGAACTGAATTGCTGCTGCACTCATAAACCAGGCTTTACTTGTAGTTTGAAACGAAATGAAAAATTTTGCATTGCATCTCACTGCAAAGAAGCATTGCATCAAGTGGAGGAAGAGACAAATGAAACAAAAAGAGAAACAAGAGGGAAGAACATGGATACTGTCATAATACCACCAGTGCATCCGGTTTGATTGCAACAACAAGAACGACAGATAGGTCAGCAAAAAAAAAACCCAAGAACATCGCCAACAGTTAACAAGAACACAACAACCACCACCAGAGAAACAAGCAGCCGGAATCTGTTTCTCCCTGCCACCATCATGACTGTCAACGATTGTATGGAGAAAGACGTGGAAATAGCCAAACATTTTCATTCATGTGACACGCCAGGCACTAGTAATTCCAAAGATGAAGAAAACCTTGGAGAGAAGAACAGAACTAAGATAATTGGTGACAATGCCTTTGTCTACAAGGGACAAACCTTCCAAAGCTTGATGTCATCAAACATGTGGTGGTCGATCCCACAATGGATGAGATTGCCGCAAACGCTTTCAAGTCCTCATCATTACTATCATCCATCCAACTCCCAGAGGGTTTGACAAGCATTGGTCATGGTGCATTTGAAGGATGCTTATCACTGACATCCATCCACCTCCCAGAGGGTTTGACAAGCATTGGTTATGGTGCATTGGAAGGATGCACTCAACTTCTCATTTTAACATTCCCTGGTGATGGAATAGACGATGTTGATCRTTTGGTTGTCAAAGGATGTCAAAAACTTCACACTGCATTGGTCTCACAAGGAACCACAGATCAAATGGAAGGTTCCACAGTTCAAACAACTTTTGACTTGCTAAAGAGACGTTTCAAAGACCTGCCATTGCACGAAACATGTTATAGCGCAAACATGCAAGAAGGTATTTCAGCTTCATTGGAGGAAAATGTTGGACACGCAAGCAAGATCGATGAGTTTCAACTTTCTCCACTGCATATTCTCTCTGCAAATATTAATGCAACCAAAGACATGATTCAACTTGTTGCGAGTAAATGTCCACATGTCATAGCAAGTTGTGACAATGTCCTTAGCATGCTCCCTCTCCATTTTGCAGCAATCAATCCTGGCAAGCATGCTCTTGACTTTATCCCCATTTTAATGGGAAAGAAAACATCAGAGAATGGAAATATGTTGTGTTCAATGCCAAACTGGGACTCTTAAGACACCAACTGTTCTTTCCATTCTCAACAATAATGAAAACAAGGAGATACATCGGCTCCTTTTCAAACACCAACCCTGCACCAAAGCACAGGTTGTAGAGCAAATCCACAAGAAAAGAGTGACGGAACTGGAAAGATGGTATGCAAGTGAAGTCGTCAATCAGCTTACATCAGAAAAGTTAAATGGTTCTCCCCACTACCAAAATGGTTAGGTACAATTTATTAGTTCCAAGCGTGACACTGATGATGATATCTGCACCTTTATTCGCAATCGCGCAGACCAGCAGCTACTCAGAGACCTTGGAAGTGCAAAGGGCAGTGAGGGCAGAGAGGCAATCGATGTTGCCGTACAAGATATCAAGGCGGCCTTCCACGAACGGCTTTTCTTTTTGGGTAGGTATGACATCAATAGTGGACCACCCATTCACAAGTCGGACACGTGCATTGTGGTTTGGGCATTTGATATGGATATGTGGTTTGGGCATTTGATATGGATAGCGAAAAGAACTACGAGAAAATGTTTGAAAATGCATGTTGTGGACAAACAGAAATGAGCAAGGGATCCTTCGACAGCTTGAAAGTTTTTTCGAACAGGTAAACCACGATTATGCAGGCCTCACTCACATCTTTGACAATGATGGAAAAGCATGTTGGACAACTGTTTGGGGTCCAGACAGAGAAATCCTTCTTCAAAAACGGCAATCAATACGCCACATAGCGGCAGAGCACAAATTGGATATGGAAGAATGGGAAAAGGAAAGGGAAAAGGAAAAGGAAAGGGAAAAGGAAAAGGAGAAAAGAACCACGAGGATGATAAGAAGGCGCTTCAAGACAATTTCGACGCACTAAGATCACAGCGTTGCCCTTGTTGGTGCTTCTGGCGCAAACAGGGACCGAGGGGATAGAGAGATGAGATAAAATAATGGTAGTAGTTCCAAAGAAATGGGAAACTGAAATGCGAAGCACGAAAAGAAGCTCGAGGACTAGCAGAAATGTATTGATTTGAAGATGAAAAAGGCAAGGAGGCGAAAGCTGCTGGTTACGGTATTATCCCGGCGAATTCCATTGCATCTTGAGGAGGAGGACGATCTATTTTTTCTTCTTTGATGCATTCTTCGTCTGTTATGAACCACTTCGTATCTTCTCCTTCGCCTTCCTCTACAACTTGTCTGGATTCCGGATGGGCGGTTCTTTTTGTTATTGGTGCTTTCAGAGTTACTTGTGGAAAACAATAATCATGTCACCTTGTGCCTATGGCATTGGAGCACGAATTGGAGATGATCCGCCGTAGTGCAGAGGAGCAAGCCAAATTGGATACGGGAGATGGTAAAAAGTAGGAAGAAGAAATCGAAACGCAAAAGCAAGAGATTACGAAAGTCGGGGACGAGATGGCGCTTCGAGAAAAATCGATAAACTGTAGAGTCAGGTAGTCACACTGAATGGAACAATAAATGAAAGTCTGTCTGGAAAATTTGATGTTTTTTTACAAGCTCCCATTGTCCGTTGTTTGTTTGTTGTGTTGTTGGTAGAAGTTTAATCGCTATCGCACTTTTTGCTGTCCATGTTGTTCTAGTAGCACCGCCGGTTTTTCTATTTCATTCAGCTTTCGCATACTTGCTTAACACAAAAGACTGTCTGCATGCAGGTACACCGCAAACAGGAGTGGGACTAGCATATTCCGCATTGTGCTGACCGTGCTATTGTATCCTGGCGCGTAGCATACTACACTAGTGCCCAGATAAAAGAAAATTGATGTGGTTTGGCAGCTTCGTTGAGGAGGATCAGGAGGAGCCCATGAAAGTGACGCCGCTTGGTTCCATTTGTGCCATCGTTTCTTTTCTTAAAGYATGTGTGAAAGGCTAGTTGCAAATCTTGTCGGATGCCATCTGGTGTTTATTTAGACGTAAAAAAAAGTACTTGGTGTTGCGATAGATGTTGGCAGTCGAAGCGGTAGTAGGAGCTCAAATGCTCTTGTGGATTAGATCCGAAGAACAAATCTCAAACCGGTCTGGAGCCTTCTAGGTGTGCACTGCGAAAGAATTCTATTGGCTGGTGGACTCAATACATTTTTAAAGATCATGAACTTCATCTTGTCCATGATGGTCTTTGTTTAGGGTCTGGTCATCCGTAACTGATTATTATGGTGTTGAATTCCATTCAAAAACTGTTTCAACTCATCAATGTTCTCAAACGAGCAATCATAAATGCTCCAACTCAGCCCTTTGAAAACGACACTGCACGAGGTCAGGTCGGTCCCTACAACTTCCAAATGGCCACCCCCAACGGATTCTAAGGTTTTCCCCCCGTTCCAATGCGGGATAGTACAATCGAGTTTCCACCCACTAGAAACCGTGCCGTGCCCACCTTCAATACCGAGATGCGACCGCGCCGTTGCTAGATCTCCGCTTGCAACGGCATCATCTACGAGATCGACTAGGCTTGCTACTTCGTAGGGGCGCTTCTCTCCAGAAAGCTTTCGACCCATGACATAGTTAAAGTGGTCTCCCACGAGAACAAACACCCCATCTTGTTGTTTGCACAACGATCCTTCCGATTGTTCGGTGGACGATTTTCGTTTCTCAGAGGGAGAAACTCTTAGCGCCAAACGAGGCGCTGGATTCCCGTTCGGAAGTCGATCCCATTGCTCAAAATAATAATGCTGCCCGTTGTTGTCCGTAGCGTACGAGAATTCCTTCCAGGAAGAAGTGTCCTCGTTGGCTTCGATCCACCACTTGTTCGGACGCGTTCGCGAAACACCGACGAAATTCCAGTCGATGAAATGGTGGCGAGTTGCAACGGGTCTATCTTTTTCGTGGTCAAGAACCGTGAAGCCAGCAAAAATATGTTGTCGAGCATAGAGGCGGAGCTCTCGGGGACCCAAGTCGTCCAGAGAAGTGGCCGTTGACGTGCGAAAAACCGTCTCTCTGGACCTGGGAACCCGAAAGTCGATGAAAAGATTGTTTGTTTGTATGTTGTAAACCCGTTCTTCCTTGTCGGAAGAATACTTCCAGCCCCCGCTGAACAAAGGACGATTCCACGCTCCAGCAACAGGGAGTTTCGCACTTTTTAGGTTGGGTTTAAATACAGCGTGCGTGTCCCCTTTCAGAAGGTGATAGTGTGGAAGATCTGTCTCCAGGAATGGAAATCCACGTTCTGCCGTATAAAAGCTTTCGGCTTTGCCACCACCCGACAGCACATGGCCTTGTTTCTTCGTCCATGCGAGATGCGTGTCTTCTTCTGTGTCATTCTCGGTTGACATGATGTGTCTCTTGGGATCTTCTCTTCTCTCCCACACCCTGAACTCAGATTGAATATTTTCGTAGTGTTTCGGCCACTACCTGGACGGGGAATAGGACGAGGATGATGGATTTTTGTTTTCTCAAATCCAGAACTCGAAACTCGGTCCGAAAAAGTGAGTTCAACAAGAACAGAACGTATTCTTTTGAGAGGTCCCTACGGGCTGCCTATGGTACTTCGGGTCTGTAGGCTAGGAGTACCGATAGTACCGGCCGGTAGTATCTTATGTAAAATCTCAGTGTGCGAACCGGTACCGTAATGTACCGTAGTACAGTACCTCGAAATCATTTCAGCGCATGTGCTAGTAGACGAACATACGGTACGAGTACAGTACTGTACGTACGTGCAAGTCACTTCCTTATTCCAACAGGCTCAATAAAAGAAATACCCCCCATACACTCCCGTCCAGTCCTTTCTTGTTTCTTAAAGTGCGTACGAGATATACTCGTAGAAGCGTATATTATGTACATTATCGTACATACCTTCGTTCCGGTCCTGTCCTTTCCGTCTCTTGTCTGTTGTCTTTATCTTGCCTTTGTGTGAACATAGTGGCGTGGCCCCCGGATGAAATGCAGTTCGTGCGCTACACGTACCATACCTCCGTTACCGGTACACTTGTACCGCCATGTAGAAATAACCGTACTTGTACCGTTTCGCACGAATAATTCTTGTTCTTATTCCGCGCCACCTGTTCAACCAAACACTACGAGTACGTATCGTACCGTATGAAACTCGTTCCGTGCTGAACAGACACTCACATCCCACATCACTGAAAACTTTCAGGAACAGACCTTCGACCGTGTATTCTAGCACCTGCGATCTTCTCGCAAGCTACGCTACGAGCACCCAATCGTACGAAGTACAGGTACGAAATTACTACTAGTAGTTCTTCACTTCTAGTAATAGAACGATACGAGTACTCATCATAGCCATACGTAATGTATCGTACTCACACGAACCGTCTCATCTCTCATCTATGCATCACGAGCATCAGTATCTTTGCCGTCGACCACGCCTCTGCCAGACAACCCAGAAGAGAGAGAAGCATAGACGCTTGCACGCATGACACTCCGAACACCATTTTGACTTTGCTTTGTGCCTGTACTCCCGAATGAGCTAGAAAAGGAAGCCAATCGCAACAACAAACCAAGTACGCATCGCATACCCCATCGCATCCAGCAAATCCGGCTCATCCGTCGCTGGAATAGCAGATAGGCAGTCAGTGCCGGTATTCGTTTGTGTGCTGGCCAATCCCCATCATCAAAATCACGAACAAAACAACACGATGGAGGACTTCTCACTTTCGTTCTCCTCGAAAAAGCGGCGGCGCAACCGGATGGGCAGAAATGCCTGCCACAGCGAAAGCCCACGAACCAGGAACCCCACGTCTGCCCTTCGGACCGCTTCCGCGATCCTCCTGGTGCTGGCGACGTCCAATGCTGTAACGAGGAGCAACGGGTTTGGTCCGGTGTCCTTGGTACAGCGGTCCGCGTCGGCTCTGTACTTTTCCGGTTCATTGAGAAAGGAATCGGCTTCCGGTGGTGGCGGGGAAGGCGACGAAGGCAAAAACCGCAACAACAACATAGAGGAGGGGATCCAGGACTTGTTTGCGACGCTGCCAACCGGAAACACCAACCATCGGAGTAAAAGCGCCAAACCGCAACGAAATCGGCCCGGGTCGGCGTCCAAAAACAACCGAAGAAACAGAAACAGAAACAGCAGCAAAAACCAGAACAACAAAAACAGCGATAGCAATAGCTCAGCTACTATAATAAAAGAAAGAAGCACAAACGGCAACATCAACAGCAACATTCCCATCTCTTCGCTGCTGCCTCCACCGATCGATGCAAAACCCAAAAGCCAGGGGACGAGGGCAGCGCGGGCGGAGGACGATAAGGTGTCCCAGGGCTTGTCGTCCTGGGAGGACTTTCTAGCAGGAGGAACGCCGGCATCCGCGGCGTCGGAACCACCCACCAAACCAAAGAACGAGGGGAAGGGCATGGATCTCAGAACCAAGAAGGGCAGCGATCGAAACGAAAGACAACCCGTCTCTGCCACAAACGCGGACCAAAACCCGAACGCCAAAAAAGACCTGCTGCCCTCCATCGCTGATTTGTTTCCGTCGGACATGTCCGCTTCGGGTGGTCGCAAGGCGCCCACTCCCAAGACCCCCGGCAGCAACAAAGACGGCAGCACCACTGCGTCTTCGGCGCCGGCCCTGGACGGTGTCCTGCCGGTCAGCGACCTGTTTTACAGGTCCGTTCAGTCGATGAGCGACGACGACGACGACGACGACGACGACGATCCCAACGGCGCTGGCGAAAGCGGGGATTCGTCCCGGCAGAGGGACGACGAAGAACTCCCCTTTTCGGCGGAACAATCCGATCAGCTTACTTCCTCGCTTAATAAAATCAAAATACGCCGCAACGGTGCGAAACCAAAACGCTTTGATTCCACCACGGCGAACGGCGCTGCCAACAGCAAGAGTAGCAGCAACAAATCGACCCGAAAGAAGCGAAAGCTGCAGCGCAGGGGAATGGAAATGCTGGTCGGGGGGGTTCCGATCAACGCCGATCCCCCCCAGCGGTACGTCGAGCTCGCCTATCGGCACGGSAACGACGTGGGCTGGAAGGACGCGATCACCACCAATTCCAGGGACTTTGGGCCGATGTACTACGGCCCGAGCGTCGGCAAGCTGTCCAGGGAAGAGCAGGGATTGTACTGCGAGTTTTTTGTAAACTCCACGCTCAAGTGGAACGTGTGCCCGAAAGACCTGAGGGCCCTTGCGAACAAGCACGAGAACGACAACCAGAGCGTCGCTCGCACCGACGCCCCCGGGGCCGAAGCCGGCCCGAGCCTCCGGGCCGAGAACTCGACCGGGATCGACGGATTGGGTCTGTCCTCCAACTCGACCGAGAGCACCATGAAGGACGCCCTGAGGAACCGGATGGTTGGATCGATGAAGGAAGCCTTTAGCCGGGCGTCTTCGCTGGGGGACGAGAAGGACCGAGAAGAAGACTCCCACGCGGGGCCGAGCGGCGAGCTGGTCTTCTCCATCGGTGTCTCCCGGGAGGAGCTCGAGGAGGCCAGCGGGGACGCCCAGACCGCGACGTCGGTCCTCGAGCGGGTCCTGGCCCGGAGCATCTCGACCTCGTCGCGGTGCACGGGCTTTGSCGTGGCCTTTGAGAAGCTCAAGCTTTCCGACCCCGGCGACGGGACCACTACGGTTTCCGCCGAGTTTGTCCTGACGATCGATCACCACGAGTCGATGGGGTTCGCGGAGGTCAAGAAGAAGTGCAACGAGATCAACTCGTCCCTGGCGCAGGCCATGGACGACGGCGACATGCAGCTCGCCATGGCGGCCGCCGCGAAACAGGAGGGGGCCTGGCCCGAGGACTTTCGAAACCGGATCGTCGAGGAGTTTCTCTTCGAGGACGACGACGGGGACGGCCCCCTGGACGAGACGGGCCCGCCGCCGCCGGAGCGGGGTGGGGGGGCCAAGCCGAACCTCGAGTCCACCATCGACTCGCTGCTGAGCGACCTGAACTACGAGGTCCAGGGCTTCCAGAACGAGGATCGGCGGGACGTCCCCTTTGGCATGCCGGGCAGCCCGGTCTACTCCAGCGACGACATTTTCCTGGGGGGCGGAAACGACGGGGTCTTTTGGAACTACGCGGGAGACAACGCCGACGGAGCCCCGTACAAGGGAAGCCTTGGGCTGCGCATGGTGGACGCCGTCGTCGAGAAGGCCAAGCAGCGGCACCCCCGGGTGATCGCCATCGGGGACGTCCACGGGTGCATCGACGAGCTCCAGGACCTCCTCCGGGAGTGCGACTACCGCCCGGGCGACCTGGTGGTCTTTCTGGGCGACCTGGTCAGCAAGGGACCGGACAGCATGGCGGTCGTCCAGATGGCGAGGGAGATCGGTGCGATCGGGGTCCGCGGGAACCACGACTTTGAGGTCGTCCGGTGGCACCAGGCGATCATGTCGGGCGTGGATCCGCCCGTGGTCGGTTCGGAGCACTTCCACATTGCCAACTGCCTGACCAAGGCCGACATGAAGTGGATGTACAGTCTGCCGTGGTACATCTCGAGCCCGGACCTGGGCGCCCTGTTCGTCCACGCGGGCTTTGTGTCCGGGATCCGCCTCGCCAAGCAAAACCCGCGGCTGATGATGAACATGAGGAGCATCCTCCCGGACGGGACCGTCACCTCGAAGTTTTTCAACAACTGGCCGTGGGCCAGGTTGTGGGACGGCCCCCAGACGGTCTTGTTCGGCCACGACGCGGACCGGGGCCTCCAGCAGTACGAGCACGCCATCGGCCTGGACACGGGGTGCGTGTACGGCGGGAGGCTGACCGCGTGCATCCTGCCGGAGAAACGGCTGGTCAGCGTCGGTGCGAGGCGGGAGTACTTCAAGTACCGCCGGAAGCACTACGACTGAGGACCGATCGGCGGCGCGGGGCGGCACGGCCCACACCGCATCGCACCGCACCGCACCGCACCGGACGAGGCAGGCGCACGGAAACAGCCAACGCCTTTCGTCGGTGCCTCCCGCTCGGTGGTCCCCGGATCCACGGGTCGCCAAACTTGTTTCTCCGGACCCACCCAAACAGAACGATCGGCAGCTCGCTTTGTTCCGAAAACCAACCCCCCTCCAACACGGTGGCCTCGGCCTTGGCGTTCGGATTCTTTCAAAAAGCAGTTGTAGTACGTACAGTACGTTTTGCTAGCATCACTGGAACATTATTTACTACAGTACGAGTACGTACAATACTTGTGATTCCTGTAGAGTATTGGCTTTCTTTTCCTTTTCCGTACCCCCTACGCACCATACGTTGCGTATCCTACGTACGTACTTATCGTACATGAACTATGAACCTCTTTTGATTCTATGAGAGATTTTAGATTTTGGATTTTGAGATTCCGTCGCTTCTTTCTAGACACAACGACCCCTACAGTCCGTACGACGTACGTGTACGAGTGACACCATACTAGCATCACCAGGTACGACTGCGACGTACCGTACAGTACCGTACTTTACGGTACGGAAAGCGTTAATGTTCGTACTGATTCGTGATCACAATACCGATACTATGAATATGATTGCCCGGTACAGTACTGTATGAGAATATGGTACGTACTGTACCATCCTACATACCGTACGGCACAGAACGATGCGGTACGAGAAACAAGAAGCGGAGACAAGCTCCGGTTCCGTTTTTTTGTGTTTTCAATCGAATCCTCACTCGTACTACAGCACAGGTACTTCTATTTGACAAGAGCCCATCCCAAGCGATTCTTCTCCGCCTGCCGCCCCATCGCAGGCTGCAACGACTGCCCACAACACAGCACAGCCCAACGCCACAATGGGAAGCGACGCCACCGAACCCGGCCTGCCCAGGCGGTGCATCTTCGACGAGTCCGACATGGAGGCCTTCCGGGCCTCCCCCACCCGGGCCGAGCTCCTGCGGTTCGCCGAGGCCCTGGGCGCGGCCTGCGCCTCCCCCCCCTCCGGCCCTTCGGACCCCCTCGCGGGCCTGCCCCCGGCGATGGCCTGCCTGCACGGGGCGCTGGAGGAGGCGGCCGGCTGGGTGGACGAGATCCCCCCCCTGGCCGCCCCCCCGGGAGGCCTGCGCTTCGGGAACCCCTCCTTTCGCGGCTGGCACGGCCGCCTCGAGGAGCGGTCGGGGGCGATCCTGGGGGCGATCCTGCGGACCGGGGACCGCCCCTCGGCGGAGGAGGCCCGCGCCAGGGGGAGGGACGCCGCAGCGGGGAGGCCGGYCAAGGGAGGAGGCGGCGGGAAGCACCGAGACGAGACGGACCTTCTGGTCCGCCAGGTGAAGCCCTACCTGCTGGGCTCCTTCGGGCACCCGGTCCGGCTGGACTACGGGACGGGCCACGAGTCCTCCTTTCTGGTCCTGCTGCTGGTCCTCTCCAAGGCGGGGTGCCTCGGGAGCCAGGCAGCGGCGGAAGCAACAGAAGCAGCAACCGAAGCAGAAGCAGCGACCGAATCCGCAACGACAGAAGCAACGACATCCAACAGCACTACCAACACCAACAGCACTACCACCACCAACAACAACACCTCCTCGCCGCGGCGGACCCTCCGGGCCGTCGCCCTGTCCCTCTTCGACCAGTACCTGAGGGTCACGCGCCGCCTGCAGACCGAGTACCGGCTGGAACCGGCCGGCAGCCACGGCGTCTGGGGCCTCGACGACTACCACTGCCTCCCCTTTTACCTCGGGGCCTGCCAGCTGGTGGGTGCCTGCGGTGCCTCGGTCGCCCCGCGGGAGCTCCACCTCCCGTCCTGCATCAACGACGGGCCCGTYCTGAGGGAGCACGGCGACGCCTACCTCTACCTGGGCTGCATCCGGTACGTCCAACGGCTCAAGGCGGGCGTCCCCTTCTTCGAGTCCTCCCCGATGCTCTACGACGTCTCGCAATCGATGCCCTCCTGGGACCGGGTGGCGAAGGGCCTCCTACGCCTCTACAAGGGGGAGGTCCTGGACAAGAGGGTGGTGGTCCAGCACTTTGTCTTTTCCGGCCTCTTTCCCTGCACCTGGACGCCCTCCCGGTCGGGGGAGGAGGCCCCGCCGACCGAGACCTTTCGGGGGGGCCTCCCCCAAGGGGCACCCCCCGGCGGGGTGGTTCCCACCCGCGCGCCGTGGGCCGGGCCGCGGTAGAATCGAACGCCGGGCCGATGGATGCCGCGGGCTGCCACGGCTCCCCGGAAGAACGACGGCCGGAACGATGCGGGACAGACAAAAACAATAGTGGAATACAGTACAATACTACAGCAATAGACTCTCCAGATTACACGCCTCTCTTTCCTATAGTGTTCTACAATTCCACCGTAGGGGGACCGGTCGCCCGCTCGCCCGCCCACTCGCCCGCTCCTTCCTTCCTTCCTCGGCTCAGTGCTTCTTTCCCTTCTTTTTCTTTTGGTTCTTCTTCTTGCGCCTCACCTCTTCCGCGGCCTCCTCGGCCTCGATCTCAAAGGCAATGGCCTCGGCCGCTTCTTCCTCCCGTTTCTTCTTCAGGTCGTCGACCATCTTGCTCCCGTGCTCCACGGCGGCCCTCATAAAATTGTTCAGGGCCAGGTCGCTCTGCTTCGTCAGCGTGTGGCCGGGCCCCAGGAGGACCGAAAACAGCCCAAAGGCCCGCTTCTCGTGCTCAAAGGCCTGCTTGAAGTCGCCCACGCCCGCCAGCACGAGGGCGGAGCTCTTGGAGATCATGGCCTCCAGCAGCCGGTCGCACGAGTCCTTGGCGGTGGCCTSCTGGTAGAACCGGAGGGCCGTCCGGAGGTCGTTCACCCCGTGGTAGACCGTTCCCGCCTTGTGGTAGGCGTTCGAGAGCTCCAGGTGGTTCCTTCCCCCGATCAGCTCCATGAGGTAGATCGCCGCCTTGATGTGCTTGGTGGCCCTCGACGGCTCGCCCGTGGCCAGGAGGAACTGGAACATCACAAAGTGCAGGTTGATCACGTCGGGGGAGTCAAAGCCGGAAATCTGMGTCTGGTACCCGAGGGCCTTGGAGGCGTTCTGGGCCGCGAGCCCGGGYTCTCCGGCATCGTACAGAATCGACGCGATGAGGTCGATGCACCGGACCACGCCCGGGTGGGCGGGGGTTTCCGAGACCCTCTGGTACAGGCCCGCCGCCTCCTGTGCCAGGTCGAGGGCCCTCGAGAGGAGCCGCTTGTTGTGGTACAGGTGGGCCTGCTCCAGGGTGGCCCTGGCGTCGGGGAGGGAGATGTGGAGGGGCGGGAGGCCCGTGGTGGGAACCACGCCGCASGCCACAAAGCCCTCGTTGTGGGCCGCCGCGTGCTTCATCAGCGGRACGACGTCCACCACGTCGAGCGCCGAGATCGGGTGCGAGGCCACGAGGGAGGATCCCCCGGAGGACCCCGGGGCGCTGCAGACGCACTTTGCGCCGATCTCGTAGGACCGCGCGACCAGGCGGATCCCGTTCCGCTGGCACACCCGGCGGAGGAGCGGCAGGAAGGGTGCCTTTCGGYTCGCCGRTCCYCGGTTGAAGATCGAGAGGCCGTACCGGAACCGGCGGCCGATTTCYTCCTCGATGTCGGACCAGACCTCGTGGCGGCTTCGGAGGGGAAAGGCCGAGGCGCCGGTTTGGAAGAGGSTCAGCCCGGCCAGGTCGTCCTCGTCCGGTTCCTCGGGACCGGCCTTTTCCGTTCTCTTCTCCGTCTGGGCAGCGGTTTCTTCGCCTTCCGAAACCAGGGCGCAGAGGAAGGATGCCACGATCTGGGACAGGCTGCCGATGTTGGCATAGTTGTTGACGCTCAGGTAGCGGTCGAGGACGTGCTTGGAAGCGCGGGCAACCATCTCGCATTCCAGTAGCTCGAGCCAGAACAGGGGCATCTTTCTCCGAGCCAGCTCCGAGACCTTGTTCTCCTTGTAGGCCTTGATCTGCTTTCGGTCTTTTTCTTCTTCGACCTGTGCGAGCGTTGCAAGACGGCCGAGATAACGGCAATTGATGCCTCGCTGGTGAATAAATTCGGTAAGGCTCTTTCCATCGTGTGGCACGGTATGAACGGTGCCCATCCGGATCTCGTTCGTCACACCGGGAATCACATCGTTCCAGAGATAAACCGAAGCTTCACGAACCATTTCTTCGTCTTTCTTGATCTGCTCCAGAGCGCCGTCATCGATCCCTTCCAGAGTAATAACATCGGGGAGAAACACGTTTACATTGAATCGCAACGAATTCAAATAAGCAAGATCATCTTCCGACATTTTCTTTCTCCCTGCCGAAGCGGTTTCTGCGGGCTTCTCGTCCTTCTTGTCGTTGTTGCCAGTTTCCTTGTCATTGTCTTCGCCCTTGTTCTGTTCCACCTTTTCATCGCTTGGGTTCTTTTTCTCGCCTTCGGCAGCAGCTTTTTCGTCCTCTTCGGCAGATGCCTTTTTCTCCTGGACATATCTKGCCATTTTGACCTGGGCAAAATGTGATACAAGCTCGTTTCGAAGTACAGCTAGAGTCCAYTCTTCGTCATCGAGGCTACTTGGGATCAATCCATCATCCGACGAACCTCCGTTTGCCCCCACTTCAGGGTCCCACTTCCCAGTCCCTCCCTGTTCTCTTGGTACCCAATTTGCATCACGAGGGGTTAGTCTTGTCATATCAAGCACATACTTTCGTTGATCACTGCCACGAATGCCCTTGGCTTCAAGTGGGGCGCACAAATCTATTGTGAGACTTTCATCTTCATCTCTCTTTTCGTCTTCATCCTTGCCATATTTGATGGAAAGGGGTTCGATCTTTGCATCTTCGATCTCCGCAAGGCGTTCTGCTGTCAACGGTTGTTTTGGCATCGGGCGCGTGGCTATCATCAGTCCCTTCCCGAGAGTTGTTTCAAACAAATCGTGYATTTCTTTGTCCCAAACTAGTGGGACTCCTGACTCAACAGCACCATAGAGCAACGTATGTGTCTTTTCTCCGCTCAAAATACCCGGCAAGATGCTTTGGCAGACAAACCTTGAACCAAGGTAATCAACCACAGCAGTTGCAAGAGTGTGGAGACCAGTACGTTCCATACGGTGGAGCGCCCCGAGGCAGTGGAGATCCCGAGAGGCCGAYTTTCGGGCGGCTTTGTCTCCTTTCGCAACTTTAAATGTTTCAAGACCAGCATCAACGGCGCGGGAAAAGAAAATATTATTGTGCAAAAACACTTGTGATCGYAACGGTTCGTTGGGGTTCATTGCTGTCACTTGGCCTTGACTGATTGCTTTCACTCCTAAAAGTACCGCTTCTCCAAAATCCGTTAAAACCTTGTTTAACACTCTAACACACAAGAGAAAATAGAAAAAATTCGGATTAGTCTCGTACATGCGGTAGTATTCCGACGACAAAGAATTGGAMACAATCATCTGCACTCCTTACCTAGCGCGTTCAATTCTCTCTAGTAAGTTATCCATTGGCATTTCACGAGCAACTTGAAGTTCTTCATTCCAGTCCCTAAGCGAGCCGTTGCGGATGTCTACACCAAATGAGTTCGATAAATCCTCTTCGGTCCTTGCAGAACTATAGGAGTGTTCGCAATTTCTATTCCAGGAATTTTCCGCCTCTTGTTCAACTCGAGGAACTGGGACGAGCCAGGAAGGAGTTTGAACCAGAGCATCGATCCCCTCTGATGCTGCCGCGACCGACGGTCGCTTGTACCCCGGAAAGTCTCCACGGATTGCAACGCGAAAGAATGAGTGAAATGGCCCATCTTCATTAATTTTTAGCATTAATTCGGCACGACTCTTCGCTGCAACGAGGGCATCGCTCCATGCATCAGAAAATGATTTGGAATATTGTAGCAAACAATCCAACAGCTCGTGAGAAAAACAAGATTTTTCTGCTGGAGAAGGGTCGAATTTGTAGTCTCCTCTATTCAATGAACATTGATTGACAAAGAAACCTAGGGGCGTGGCAGAGATACTGACAACTTCGCCRTCGGGTAAAGTCACCTCAAGGTAAGCAAGGTCACCCATGAACTGTCGAGATTGCGGTGGTGGGTGAAAGCCACTGAAACGAATGTGACAGGAAATTCTTGTTCGTTCCTCGATTTCGTTTAACAGAGGAATCACTCGTTTTATCAATTGATCTTTCGACTCCTCATCGGCCTTGTCGCCTTCTTCAGACGAGGTCTTTGAATTCTTCTTCTTTCCTTTTTTCTTGGACTTCGCTACGCCGCCACCGCCCATTYCCTTCTTATTAGCATCCGGACCGTCCAAGTAYAAAGACGGATCTTCACCGCAAGCATAGTAAAAGAAATTCTTCAGGTCGTTGCTGTCGGGGGACAAGGACTTCTCTGGTGAAAACACAGGCATATCTTTTGGAGGAACGGAAGGCGCATCTTTTTTCTTCTGGTTTGATCCCTTTTGCTGCTCTTCCTTATTGTTGGCAWCATTTTTCTCCTTTTTTTCAATGGCAAGCTCCGSTTGACTTTCTTTCACTTTCCCTTGTGTCGCGCTTGAAGCGTTGGTATCGCTTTCTTTCTCAGTTYCAGGCGACGGTGGCGACGACGAGTCTGGAGCTACGGCTTCACCRCTACTCTCATCCAGCGATGTCGAGTTTGGTGCATTCCCATCCAGCAGAGTCCTTAGTCGTGCAATATGATCTCGAATGAGTGCTATATCGTAYCGTTCCAACACAATTCGGAATCCAGAACCATCTTTCAATCCGTCATCACACAACAATGAAGTCAGATCTCCAAACTCGTCGAGGACCATGGCTTTCTCGGTATCCATTTTGTTTGTCGCAGTCACAGGATCCACCTCGTTTAAAAAAGACTTCACAATTTCCTTCGTTGAAATGACAGCATTTAATCCTGTGTAGGGGGAAGCAACRGGGCCTTGCTTTGACGACGAACCGCCTCTTTTGCCCAAAGAATCCGTAGCAGTATCATTCTCATCGCCCCTCTCCAGAACAAAACGGTAATTCGTCAGATGGGCATAGCCACAAATTTCCCCCAGAGCAGCTCGAATTGATGAAACAGGTTCTTCCGCTCGAATCGGAGGAAGCGGAACGGCATCGATCAAATCTTGCTTCCTGCGATCTTTGCYGCTTGTGTCCTTCTGCAAAGGAGGCAAGATTGCCAGGTTTTTAAACAATTGTTGACTAGGATCATCTTTGGCGCCGAYATCGTCTGTGTTCTGATTTTCTGCCTCTTGTCTGTCTATCGTTGGCATAACGGTRCTGTCTTCTCCATTCTTGGGTTCCGCCATCGTTGCGTATTTGAAACTGGCATGAAATATTACTGCAAAAAATCTTTTTGCCGAAAACAGATTGTGAGAAATTTTGCTTCGGAAAATGGGGTCGGAAATTTCAGAGGTGTTGACAGGGTCGGCCCAGGACACAAGTTTCTCTGCCATTAGCTGTGATCCAGTGAAACTGCAAATTGTGTGTCTCGAGACACTGAAACACCTGGACCGATAGCGGGGTCATACTGAATACGGACAGACAAAAATGAGTCAACGAAGGAGTAGTAAGTAATAATCAGAACAGCATCGAACGGTACGAACCGTACGACTGAACATGAGTCGAATGTCGAATGGGAGACGACAAAAAATAAAAATCTGAAGACCCTGTTCTTCCACCGCCTGCCCGTTGCTACCGTTCGCAGATTTGCAGGTTGTGGAATTTAGCGCAGCAGATGGTGGAACTCGTGAATGAACTTTTTTTCGAAACATTGTTCACCCATCAAAATCATTGTCAACAAAATGGATCGAACATTTCGGAAGTTCGAAACCCGAACCAAAAACGCAGTTTGTAGCCATCACATATCACCAGAGTATCACGGACGAAACAAAACAAATAGGCAACCCGTTTTTCGCCTTCAAAGGCAAAGTTTGATTTCCTAGCTGCGTCGCCAAAAACTTCATCAGCGACATCAAACTAGGGAACGATGACGAGCTGCGTTAGAGTCCTTTCCACCCAGACTCTGGACTCGTCACCTTCAATATTGTTGGTCGCTCCGAACGGGAAAAAAACCCTCGTCAATTGCGGCGAAGGTTGCCAGAGAATATTTTTGGAGTTTGGACAGAAGGTATCTACCATCGATCGGGTATGCCTCACTCATCTCGGGTACGAAACTATCGGGGGATTGCCCGGTATGATTCTGACGGCATCCGACGTCCTGAAACAGGCAACAGATCATGCGAAACAGGCAGCGGCGGTGAAGGTCAACAATAAGCAGCAAGAACAACACAAGAAGAAAGGGAGGAAAAGTGATGACGCATCGGATTCGTTGCCAATACAACCGGGCCTCAAACTTCTAGGTCCCGACGGCACGCATAGATTTTTTCGATCCCTGAGACATTTCATGAGACGAGAGTCGTTCAGGATAGACATTCAGGAAGGTGCTTATGTCGAAAGGGAGAGCCATGACAGTGCCATCAACACAAAAAAGAAAAAGAAGAAACACGATTCAAGCAACGAAGACTTTCAGGTTCAATCTATTGTAGCCTGTTTGAGAACCGATCCTTTTACGAATAAGTATACTTTTTCAAACGCTGACACCGAGTCCAATTTAGATTCTGTCGAAGACACCGCACTCTCTCCATCAAAAAAACGCCCTAAAATTACAGGCGATGAACACTCTACACCACCCGCACCACCAGTAGAAGTGGAAACACCAACACCGACAGAAAATCCATTGCGAAAAAGACTACAAAATGATCAAACCTCTCGCGAAATTTTGTCCTTTCTGTTCACTACGCCACCCATTCAAGGGAAGTTTTTGATCGAAAAGGCCAAAGCACTGGGCGTGCCAAAGGGTCCACTGTATGGACAATTGAAAGCTGGGAAAACCATAACTTTCACTTCTCCTCCGGACAATGGTGGCGAAAGCACGACGGTAACAGTAGAAAGTCATCAGGTGGTCGAACCTGGTAGTCCAGGGGTAGTTGTGGCCATTTTGTGCTATCCTAATTTTTCTGTTCTAGACCAGCTACGAACTTCCAAAGAACTCCAACAATTCAAATGCCAAACACAAGAGAAAAGCACAGTGATCGAAGATTCTGCTCAGAAGAAGAAACAGCCCAGTGAGAAATTCCCTATAATGGAACTAGTTGTTCATATGACTACAACAGACATCTTCAACTCTGAGTCTTGCGTTTCATGGAGGAAATCGTTCTTTGAAGGCAGCGTTCGCCACATGTTTCTTTGTGCCGAGACATCACACACAGCAAGCATGAATAGTGAGGAGAATCGAGGGTCAATGTCGGCCTTTCAATCGGCACATATAGGAGCATTCGTCAGATCACAGGTATGCTCTCATGTCTATAAAGCACCTACCGAGCTTGATGTTGCAAATGACAACAATACACCCAATAGTATTTCTTCTGAAGAAAATAAGTTTGTTCGGAAGGAAGAAAGAGAAACAAACGATGACGAGTTGTCCAGCGTAGCTATTGCCAAGCCACTCTTGGAATATGTCTTGCTCCCAAGGTCCAGGCGTGGCTTCTGTAACCATGACCTATTCTATCATAAGTGGAAAAGAATGCAAGAAGAAGCTCGGAATTTACTGGATTCATCTGGCTGCATTGATCGGGCAGAAAAAATATTAGATACAAACAATCTTTTAACCGAAGCAACTATGGTGAAAGATGCCAGTGGTCGTAGTAACATCGCCGGAGAAATTTTATTTACTGGTACTGGGTCTGCCATCCCGTGCAAACATCGAAATGTTTCTGGAATATACGTACGCATGGACAATGGCAATGCAATGTTGCTAGACGTTGGGGAGGGAACGATAGGACAACTATTGCGAGCGAAACAGAGAGAAGAAAGCCTATCAAACGTCGTAAAAGGTATCAAGGCGGTGTGGATATCGCACCCTCATGCAGATCATCACTTGGGAATCATTCGTTTGCTAGAAGAAAGGCAACGCCTTGTCTCGGACCACGATCCCTTGGTGCTGATTGCTCCTCGAAATATTTTGGGTTTTTTGCGAGAATACGAATCGGTGGAGTCGCGGATTGCGGATAGCTATATCTTTCTGGATTGCCAGGATCTCAAAACGGAAAGCGGTGGTAACTTTCATGGGGATGTAAATCACAATGCCGCCGCGTTGCAAAAGCTAGACCAAGACTTGGGAATTGTTTCCTGTACGGCAATTCCCGTAGCTCATTGTGCCAACTCATTTGCAGTGGTCTTTCGCGGTACATCCTTTGGGTCCTTGGCATATAGTGGAGACTGTCGTCCTAGTAGGAACTTTTCCAGGATTGCGTACGGTGCGGATCTTCTAATTCATGAGGCGACCTTTGCCGACGGAATGGAGGCAGATGCCGTTGTAAAGCGACATTGCACTGTGGGGGAAGCCCTGACTGTGGCGAAAGATATGAATGCCAAGACGATCATACTGACCCATTTCTCGCAGCGCTATCCCAAGATCCCTGTTCTTGCCGATGCCGATGATGCACAAACCAAAGAAGTTCCTGCTTGCACGGACGTAGATTCTTCGCTGTCTTCGTCGCACGATATGAACGTAATCCACGCTTTTGATTTCATGGCCATCACAGCTTCCAATATTCCTGTAGCATCCAAGATCACACCAGCATTACAGTTGTTGTACCCCGACAAGCCCGAAGACGCGAAGGAAAACAGTCCCGTGGAGATGTCCGATGCCCGAGCTGCTCTTGAGGTACCTGGTTTGTTTGCTCAGAGTGAACTTCTGTGACCAAATAGATTGTCCAATCTAGGCTAWGATGCAGATAAGTCGAGCTAGGAAAAGATGTTAAAAGTATTATGCTCGAATTCTCTACAGCTTGCTTAGCTTTGGTATGTTTGGAAATACMRCATCCTTCTTTTGGCTTGCTGCCATAAAGGACGCTGGAATATCCCCGGTCATGAGAGCGGATGTGTTGTGCGTCGCAATGTGCACCAAACCATCGGCGACGGTGTGATCCCTGCTGTACACCAGAGATCGTTTCGTCCCTACGACCGCGACGGGTGAATTTCTCGCAATGGTCTCGGCCAGTCCCAACGCATCTTCCATGAGCCGTTTGCTGATCCTCGACACAAATCCTATTCTCAGGGCTTCYCCGGCCGAAAAGATCTCCCCGGTGAGGCAAAGCTCTCGAACACGAGAATCGTTCCCCGTGATCTTTGGGAATCGCTGCAGCGTCCCCACGTCGGCCGCCAATCCGATCTTTACTTCCCGAACGGAAAACCTGGCCGTCTCGGAGCATATGCGAATGTCGCAAGCGGATGCAAGATCCACCCCGGCCCCGATGCAGCTCCCCTGGATCGCGGCGATCACCGGAACGGGGCATTCCTCAACGGCCGTGAAGCATCTCTGCATCTCGAGGATCTGGGGGTAGAAGCGAAGCCCCTGCCGGGCCACGTCGTGGGTCGAGGCACCGCCGCTCTGGTCGGCGAGGCCAAAGGCTTCGTCTGTGACGTCGATTCCGGCGGTGAAGGCCTTGGTGCCCGCGCCCGTCAAAACGATCGCCCGGCAGTCGTCCCCCGTTCGACCGAGGGCAGAAAACACCTCCCCGATCTCGCGCCACATGGCTGCCGAAATGGCGTTCCGTTTTCGAACCCTGTTCATAGCCACCACCACCACATGGGGATGGGATYCGGGGACCCACAGCTCGATGCAGGAAAACTGCTGCGAGAGAGGKTGCGGCCTTCGCCGATCATGCGAAAACGGCGCCATGGAATGCGTCGAAAACGGAGTCGAGCTTCAAYCTGCGTCTTGCGCCCTTCGCAATCGAGCTTGGCCCTCTTCGATCGACCAGCGCCTTCTTCCGTTCTTTGAAATTGCAGCGTGTCGTGGGCCTTCGGGTTCAATTTCTTCTACCGTAAAACACTTCGATCATTCGCATGTACTTTGTATCTGTTATCTGTTACAGTACTTTGTTGCGGGGGTTGTTTTTTGTTTTTTCAATTCTTCCAGAGATCATACCAGTACGTAGTACTACTCGTACGAATACGAGTACCAGTTACTCATAGCGTACTATCAATTCCGTCCACGAGCATGTCCGTACGGTATGAGTTGTACTTACTACAGGTTGTCGCAGTCTGATTTGTCAACSGAAGAACTCGTAACTCGTACCCCTTAATTCTAAGATCAGAGTACGAGTACTCGTACAGGACCTATCGGTACCGGTGCTGTGATTTTGCTACATATCTTGTTTTCCCCCTTTTCTGTTTACGTCATTGGAGTAGTTCCATACGTACTTGTTTTCCCCCTTTTCTGTTTACGTCATTGGAGTAGTTCCATACGTACGGTACTCGTACTCCTTTTACGACAGGTTACAAGGTAGCGGTTGTACGACGCGAACATGAGGGTGATGATACGATACATACAGGTACGACCACGTACGTAATACTCGTACTCGTACGGGCCCAGATTTTTTCTCCCAWAAAAACACAGCGAAAGGTCTACGAGTTCCCAAGTACAGTTCCTACTTKAGAGAACTTCGCGCTCGAAACGAGCATTTTGAAAACAACTCCGCTTTCTTTCGCTCGTGGATAGATTGTCTACCGGATAGTTCGGTACGTTGATCCGCCCGTTGGATTTCGACAATACGTTGTAGAATTACGTAGAGTCCTACGTAGCGTAGAGTTTCGTACTGAAAATAAGCACCCAACCGAGCGCGAGAGAGCGACACGAGCAACGCAAAATTGCTGCCAGAAAAATTTGGATAGTCTGCCTGTGCGGCACCGTACATTACTACTAGGGCACTCTCGTACAACACTACACGTACAAGGCAAGTGACCGCCGACATCGATTTTATCCAATTCTATATCTTATTCTTTTGAGATACTCGGCAACTGCAAGCACTTTATCGGTCCTTTCACCAAACCGCATCAGAAAGTTTGGTTGGTTGATAGGTTTGAATAAAGGCAACGCAGAAGAATTTYKAACCGTGTTGGAACGGCACCACGGATCTCGAATTCGACAAACAGGGTCTCGCGAAGTGCCCATCGATACTACTACGCCGAGAGCCAACGCCGTTCGCTTCGCGGGAAGAAAAACTCTGAATCGTGACTAAAACAGAGTTCGCCAGCACTGTGTGAGAATGGCGCAACCCCAAACGTTTCTCGCGAAACATCCTTTCCAGGGAGATGCTCGGCAAAGCCAGCTCTCCTTCCCGAAGGGAGCTACACTCAACGCGAGACCCGGTCAGACGGGTGCCTGGTGGTGGGGGTCGTACAATGGCAAGGAAGGCTGGTTCCCGCCGACGTACGTCCAGCCTATGGCTTCCCAGGGCATGGCTTCTCCGCAATCCGCTTCGTCCATGACGATGCAACAACGAATGCAGAGTGCCTCTTTCACCCCTTCGGTCAAGCAGCTACAGCAACAGCAATTTGCTCCCTCGGTCGCTACCTCCTTTCAGGGCGCGGGTGCGTATGGCCAGCCACAAGCAAGTCCTTCGGCCTATGGGATGCAAGGGCAGGGACAAGCACTCAACCAAAGCTTTCAAGGAGGCTATCAACAAGGGAATGCAGGAATGGCTCGCCAGTCGATCCCGGCGCCCATCGACGATCCTTTCGCGGGATTGGAAAACATGAATACAGCGCCTGTTCCCGCTCCTTCCATGCAACAACAACAAGTACAGCAGCCACCCCCTCTATCGACTACGAACCAGGGCATGGCCAGTGTGAGTCAAACCATGGGTCAAAGCACAACTAGTGCACCGAGACCGACTATGGCGGCAATGCCGTCTCCGACACATACCAGCGCCTCACACAGCTCGCATTCGAGATCGACAACGCCGAATGCAATGTCTATGAACAAGGCTTCGCAGCCGGCGCCGATGACGAGCTCCGCCTCGAGGCCTATTTCACGATCGTCGTCAAAGTCGCCCACTCCCATGGACTCGGGGTCGATCAAGTCTTCGACTTCCCAACCCCAAGCACAACGAAGCGCACAAGAATCTCGGTCGCGATCCAAATCGCCCCAGCCCATGCACACCAACCCTGCGACCTCTGCCAAACCCGTCAAGCTCTCCAAGGACGAAGTGGAAGCCAGGAAGGCACGAGAAAAGGAACAGGCAAAAATCAGGGCYCAAATGCTGAAAGAAAAAGAAGAGATAAGGAAGGAACAAGAGCAGGTCGCTGTATCCGGAATTGGCTCCAGCGGAGTGGCAATTCTCGCGGGCGCCGACGGCTCGGGAGAAATCGAAGTTGGCATTGCGGGTGGTAGTGTTGGAGCGCACGGCGGCAACGAACCCACCTTTAACCCGTATGATTTCCTCGCAGGTACTACCGGMGGATTGCCAACGCGCAAATTCTCTCCTATTTTTCGGGTGCCTCCATTCTGGGCTCTKATGGATTTGGAGACMTATGTGCGACGATTTCCACTTACTAAGGAGCAACTGGCAGATCGTAATGCAGCCTACCAGCAGCTCGCAAAGGCTCTGAGTTTTGTGTGCCACGTGGTTTCTCAAACAGAAGAGGCTACGAGGAAAGGAGTCGGTCGCTTTGCGGCCCTTCGTGGGAGAAGCAGTGGTGTCACCGAAAAATCGAGTCCCCTGGCTTTTTTGAAGTGGAATCACATGGCGTGCGAGGCGTGTGTGAAACTCATTTCGCTTCTGCCCCATTCAGCCGGTGCTTCGGGAGAGGCCTTGGATGGCCTCTTTCTAAATTTTTTGAACGTTTTTGTTTCGTTGATCGAAAATCTTCAAGACAACCAGCAACTTGTTCTTCCTGGAGGGTGGCAGCAACCAAACTACCATCACCTCTGTTTGTACATTGTACGAAACTGTGGTGCCGGTAGGTTCAGTTTTACTGTCTGCAACACAGGCAAAGATGGTTTGCAGTACCATCCATCCACTTTTGACTCAGAAACTGGCCAGCAACTAAAGCAACTTGCACTCACGGTTTGGAATATTCCCTCAAGAAGATTAATGGACTCTACCTTTTGGACTGTCCTCTTCCGGATGCAGGTCTACCCAAGCAAGAACAACACGGCTGAATTTCTGTACACGAAACTTTTGCCCAGTTTGAACTCGCAGCCCCTCCGTTCCAATACGGATCAGGGTCCGACTGAATACTTGAAGATTCCTGACCCTATCGCTGCTTCTACTTTCCATCCACTTGCGAAGCTAGTCATGACTACTAGCCCACAAAATGGAATGAGAACGTCAAAGTATTCGTCTCTACTGTTGATGAATGCAGCAGTCGACTTGGCATATGCTGAAATCGAAATGGCACCGCCTTCTTCCATGGATCCAGAGGATACTCGTATTTTGAAGTTGACGGGAAGAAATCTTTCAAATTTTGCGTCGACAATAGATGCCAACTCTGTGGGAGACGGTAGYCTTGGCCGATCGCTGTCGAGTACTTGGGATCTTCTCGATAAACTTCACAAGAAGATTGGTGTAACTGCCTCTAAAGCCGTTGATCAATACAGTCATGGGCTATCAAAATCAGCCCTGAACGATGACTTTTCAAAGGGTAAAATCAAGTCGCTTCGGACTGATGCTGGTTCCGCTGCATTCCCCCTTTTCGGAAGACTTCGCCGCGATGATTACGAAAATGTGGTAAAAAAATTGATGGGAGAACCAAGACCGGATCCTATTTTGATTCCAGCCGTTTTAACCGATGAAAAGTTGCCTCACGTGGCAACAGATTACATGACCGCATCTTCTTCCTTGCAAAGAGTAGCAGATGCTTGCAGTCTATTGCTCCAACAACGTCGTTTGATAAAGAATGCCCCTGCTTTTGCTGCATCTGCTGCACAATATGCGGTAACGGTAATGCTCCCAACCCCCAATTCGGATCCAAGGTATTGCTTTTGGAGGAAAAGCGAGATGAGAAGAGAGACTCAAGTTAACTTGCTGTTCCTCATTCGTCGAATCTGTCGAATTTACTCCGCAGCAACTGCCTGTGTTCAGCAGTCGCGTGGACTCGTGGCGATTCGTTCGATTACCTTTGCCTCCGCGGCGTGCATTGCGGACGCTATTTGTCGTGTCAAAGCGTCGGACGATCCTTCTGCATTCGCGCTCCATTATTCCGGATTGTGCGAGGGACCCACGCATCCCTTTGCGATTGAAGCAGGTTCTTTCGATACTCTCGGATCAAATCTTCCAATTTATGACCCGAATTTGTGCTCTCTTCGTTTCAGGTGTCTGGATTACATGCGAGAAATGACTTTTAATGAGCACGGAGTGAAACGCAACACGATTTTCAACTTTGACAATAGCATGGTTCCAACGGAAGGTGATATTGTTCTTGCAACACAGCTTTCCATACAGCTTGCTCTTGTGCGTCCCTATCCTGCCACAGATGAAGCCCTGCTCAATCACACAGCAAAATTGATCTCTGGTTCTAACGGATCAATCCTAGAAGTACTTCCAGAATTCGGGTACTTCCGTGACATCGTATTTCACTTCAAGCATGCGATTTCGGGAAAATCACAAACCGTGGAAGACGTACCAAAGAACAAAACATGGCTGCCATCCGATGCAACACTACACTGGGCGGTGAAACGACGCGAAAAGGACAAGGAAGATCAAAGATATTATTACAACGTTAGAGCTTTCCAAGGTCACCCGCAAGAGTTTGTCGACAAGATTGCCCACGAGGCAACCTCTGCTTCGCAATTCAAGGGTTTTTTGGCTCTTTTTGGCAGCAAACAACGGGCCGTTCGATCACGGTTGTCGGCAGCCGATCCAACTACGGTTGTGAATTCGTGTGGAGATAAATTCTTAACCAAGAAGTACGTCCTTTCTCTGCTATGCGCCGTTCGCATGAAGATTGCTTTTGTATGGCATCAAGAAACTCACTCTCTTGTCCTTTTTCTTTTTCCTTCAGGGGGAAACAGGTATCAGTTCGGACCGAGGATGATGTTTTGCATCTCAACAACAAGGAACTGCCCACATTCGGCAACGTTCTTGCGCCATCCGACGCCGAGAAATTCGTTCAATTTTTGACTGTTCCGTACATTAGGATTCCACTCATATTGGATTTCTTCGCCAACGGTGATCCTGGTAGACTCTCTGCATTGCGTACAAAATCTCTGCAGATGATTGTTGACGCAGCCATTTTTGAACCTGGGAGATGGAAACCAGCAGACTTCGCAGATGTTATCAACGAGATTCCCGTCAAGAATTTTGACCGGCTCGAATCACTACTTGCCACAGCCCAYGGTACCCTGTTCAATGAAATCGCAAAATCTCCAGACGTAGTGACATCCTGTGTTGTGAAGATTTTGGAGCGATCGCTAGATATGGATGTTGGAAAGTACACCAAGAAGTCGTCTTCTGGTCCTCTGATCCTTTACTCTATTCGTTTAGCTGTGAGAATTGAAGGATATCTCAAGTATGCTTCCAAGAAGTGTGTCCCTGGTCAACCTAGACCCCGTGGATTAGAATCGCTCGATAAAATTAAGATTGAGTCCGCCTTGAAAAAAATCCGATCGATGCTGGACAATCAGGCGATTCCCACCCTTGAATACTGGATCGATCCTTCGAGAAATAAGGTCAAGAATATCGATTCTGCGTGCCTCGTTCATGCACATCTGTTGTATCTGTTCAAGAATTACGACTACGAAGATTTGGATCATCGTGCGGTCTCAATTATCCTTTCCTCACAGGTTTTCTTAACGATCAATCTACGTTTCAGCAACAAGGTGTACGATGACCTCCAAGACAAAAACAACCCGACACAGCCTCCGCCATCGATTCAGATCGCTCAATCCGAGGTGTTCGATACTATTCAAACCCACCGATACAATATCTTGAGGTTCATCCGAGAAAACAAAGAAAAGGGGAACGCTGCTATGGAATCTGTAGTTCGAATTGCAACGGGTACCGGTGGCAGAGACAATAAAGAATCCGAACTCAAACAGCGCCACTGGCAAAGTATTGGTCACCAAACTTGCTACGGAAGATTCGTGCCCGATACAGAGGATATCAAGCTCCGAGATGGATCATATCGTATTCCAAAGCCTGGGCAAAGCTATGAAGAATGGATGCTTTATGTGACTACAAAAGCCGTTGGAATCGAAGTGAATGTACAACTTAGTGACTTCACACTTCAAAATCACAAAATGACTTTGCTTGATCCGAATATTTTAGAGGATCGAGATTTTCAGCCAACAAGACTGATGGCGTTAGGTGGAACGAAGGATATAGCCTGTGCTGAAGTAATGCACACGACAAATCGCTATTGGTGGCGTCTCGTTGGCCGTCGTTATGACGTGCAATCATGGGGTCCTGATCAGAGAAACTACCACGATCTTAAGGAATTCAAACATCCGAAGTACACAAGGAAGTTTCCGAATGGACTGAAGAGTGGAGAAAGCTGGATCGCAGCTGTTTTGAAGGATAAGCTGCCTTTGATATTGCCAAATGTGACGTTGCATATGTCGAATAAAGATTTTTCGGTCGAACCTTACGTTGTACTCTCTGGATGGATAGAAAACAAAAAGAACCCTAATGCCATTTCGACACACACTCTGAAGGAAGTTGTTGTTTGGCAGCATCCACCGGCAATCACTGTTTTCAATGTTGTGGAATATGGACGAAGGCATTTGCGAGTTGTTGAGTACGCCTCTAACATATCCACTTCACTGCATGAACTTCAAAAAGGAGAACCTTATCCTGATCGTGTAGGTGGTATTCTTGCAATGTCAGCTGGTGTACCCATGGATACTATCGATGCTTCGCCCTCTCTAATTGTGACGAGAGCTCTCAGTTCTGAACTTGGAACTCAGACCTTCTTGCCTGAGAGGTTTCTAGCTGGTTTGATACCTACCTCTCTTGTCGAGAAATACATGTTCTGGCAGAGCGAAAACGATGATATCATCGGTTATGAAAAAGTAAAAACATCCAGTGAAGAAGATGATGAAGATGACGACGACCCACTGAAGAATAAAGACGACCTCTCGTCGACTCGGCTCAAAGTAACACTATCAAAAGATCCTGGGCTCGATACAACAGGATTTTGTAATACTGAAGCCGAGGCGTTAGTGCAGAGAATACCGGTGTTGAACGCAGATCCTCTGACTGAGTTGGTAGACCCAAATCGTCCAGTACTCACCCTCCTGAATGCTGTATCTGCTCCTCCTTCTTCGTTGCTGAAGAGGGTAGGAATGATGCTTTCGAGACTAGATAATCTCGCACACGTACTTGTTTGGAGCAAATCAAATGTTCAGACAGCACACGCACATGCTTCCATTGATCTTATTGAGCTACCTCGTGTAAATCTGTCATTCAAACCAAGAGTGTTTACCACTACCGATGGAGAAAAAGAGTTCAGAATTTATAGCAATGATTACGACGGGTTATTCATTGCTACCTCTAGTGAAGCACGAGATATGGCTGAGACGTTGCTGGGCGATGTGTCACATTTTGTTGTCTTACAGAACGCTGAGAACGACCTATTCATTTTGATGCCTGGATGCGCGCTACCACGTAGGTTACATACAGACGGGTCCCGCTTGTCTGTGCAGGTACTTTTGGATCGGAGAAATCAAGAATGGATTGAGAACATTGGCGAAGTGCGCTGTTATCTTTACCCTATTCATAATTCAAGATCATTCTTGGTGACGCCTTCACTTGCGTCATCTTTGTATTTAATGCTGATGCACTTCATTACGGGATCTTACCAGAATGTTTAYAAGATGATGGAATCTTGTGTAAGCGAGGAATTAACACCAGAAGAGGTAAGTTCGTACTCCAGTCAAGTTGATTCATTGTTTATTTTTTACTTTGATCATGTGTATTAACTTATCTATGTTTTGCCTTTTCTCTTTTCCATTTGATGATTTAAAAGCAACAAATATTTAACCAGCTTGAATTTTTAGGGAATGATTACCATCCTGACGCGCATGCATGCCGATTGAAACTATCCGTCGTGACTGTTGGTTTGGGAGAAGAATCAACGATGAAATGCCCTTGGAGTGTTGCAGAAGAAATGGAGGAGTACTCCAAGAAACACGTATTTGTCTCTTCAGCGTGTAGGCTAACCACAGAAGAAGAAATGCTACTTTTACAACTATGCAAACCGGATGACCGGGGAAGGCTTTCACTAGCGCTTTTGAATCGCAAAGCTTTTGTCACCGCTGTCAGTAGCTTGGCTACTCTGCCTGACAATAAGAGCCTCACGGTTAAGTTGGGATCAGAGAGACCACCTACTATTGAGAATTTTGATCGCGGCGAAGATCTGACTATTATAAATAACCCCAAGAAGACAATGATTTCTGCAAAATTATTTGGTGCTGCCTATAGCAGACCCGAAGAGGTGAGTTATTGTTCTTGCTGCTGATGTTGCTGTTGCTGTTGTGGGAACAACATTGATTCAAACGATGACCCTCTCATTTCTTTTCCATGCTTTGTTAAAAACTGTAGGAACAAGTTGCATACGGGGGACTTAGAGCGCTGGGTTTCATTAATTCTGCCCTAAATTCTGGTATTGAACTCTCATCGTCAAGATACGGATTTCCCCTGATGTATGATCTACTCACCAATACAGTTGCGTTCAAGCTAAATCCAAGCGATAGACCCCATAATTGGGGACGAATTTTGTTCCGTCTTTTGCCATCCTCGGATTTCAAGAATGGCTCAGCAGAGATGTCTGTTCTTCGAATTCTTGCTGAAAACCCGAACATTGCATCTAGTCCAAACATTCCAAAGTTTCACATTGATAGTGGGATGAATAAGATTAAGGGAATGTTCCAAGGCAAAGATGCTGTTAGTCGCCTCCTTGAGCAACTGCATGCTTTTATGAAGCAGGAGGCTGTACAAAAGATGATGGGCAATCCATCTGTTCTCAAAGAATCCATTCCGAGAACAGCCATGATTCTAACTCGCCCGGTGACATATTCTCAACACAGACTTTGGGTAGTGCCAAGAATAACAGACTACTCTCGTTCTAATTTCCAGTTGGATATTCAAAACTGCGCTGCCGTCAGTATCCCATTGAAACAATTGCAGGCCTTCGCGTCAAGGCCCTTGGCACCTATGAAACTTGAGAAGTACGTCAATTTCTTGACCCGTCATGAATTAGGAATGGCAGCAGTTTCTGGAGCGATTCCGTTTGACGTTTCCGGTGATCGTGCTTCAAACACTCACTGTTCACAGGCTACAATGTCGCGAGTCGCTGTAGATGTATTGAAACATGCCCAAAAGGCAAACTCAGAGAAGAAACCGATCCTAATTGGATTTACTCCAAGGGAAGTGGATTCTTTCCATTCAAATCCGGCAGCATTGAGTACAGCAATGGGTCAATTGAACAATCTGATCAAGGGACTGAATCAGGCGATGGCATTCGATAGGAAGTCATTGTGGAACCTCATGAATCGTGCCTTAGCGATTGCGACCAGTGATGAGAGAAGTGACACACCAAATTCTACTGGACCGAACGGAGAGATTAACTTTCTCAAGTTTAGACTTGGGCAAGTGAGCGAAAGAGAACCCGCAGCCTGGTTCGAACTTTTGGTTGCTTCTATTCTTTCTACGACAGCTGATCACGACATTCGTTCTTTGAACCCTTACATGTCTGGTGTTGCGTACAAAACTGTAACTAGTCTCACGATTGTCGCAATGCTCACTTCGATTAGAATCAGCCAAACCCATAGAGCTCTTACGAGGTAAGAAGTCGTACGTGTAATTGGTATCGTTTGCGAAAGTGCAACCTCTCACATCTTTTATGTTTTTCTTTGTTGTTGCAGTCTAACGAAACTGATGAATCTCGTCAGAAGTGTGAATCAGTCCAAGAACGATCTAGGGCTTCGCGCTCGAGTTTGTCAGGAGATCAAACTTCAGTCTCAGAAGGTTGCTACAGATATTACAAATGAGAGACATTATATGAGGGTGAATGCATCGAATCCAAATTTCATTGAGTTCGATCCGAGATTTCTCGTTTTTGAGTTCACTTACTCAATTTTGTTGCGAAAGAGCCAAGTTATTCTTGTGAATAAATTCCTTCACTCTTTACGAAATAACAACCAGTCAATGTGCCATCAGATGATTATGGGTGCAGGAAAGACTACTGTTGTTACACCTTTACTTGCCTTGATGCTTGCTGACGGACAGCAATTAGTCACACAAGTTGTCCCTCATGCGTTGTTGGAGTTTTCTAGGAGTGTGATGAGAGAGAAGTTTGCTGCTGTGGTTCGAAAGCCTATCTTCACTTTCAGTTTTAATCGAGGAACACCTATAACAAAAGATCTATACTTGAAACTCTGCAAAGCACGAGACAGTCGTGCTGTTATCTGTGCAACACCCACAAGTATCAAGTCGTTCATGTTGAAGTTCGTCGAGATGATGAAAGTTCTGGAGGAAGCCAAGTTCGGAAGAGGCGGGACAAGACAACCTGTAAATAACGGTGTTTTTGGTAACTTCTCCTTGTCAGCGATTGCTCGACGCTTTAGGGATCAATCAGAGATTGTCGAAGCTCAAGTGAACCCTGAAGATGTCTTCTACTGCACAGAGATTCTAAAGCTGTTCCGAAGTGGTGTTCTACTTCTTGACGAAGTTGACCTTATTTTGCATCCGCTGAAGAGTGAACTAAATTGGCCGATTGGCATTAAGGATCCGATAGACTATTCAAGGTCGAAGCTTGGGGTTGGTATCCGCTGGGACATGCAGTGGCATATTCTTGATGCAATATTCTATTATACAGAGCGAAATATGTCCGTGGCTTTCAAAGACAGCAGAGAAGCACTCTCAATCCTTGAAAGTTTGTCACAGGTCATCGAAGCGGGTATTGCAAATAAGGACATGCAAAAAACGCCTCACCTAGTCTTACTGAATCGCGCATTTTACCACAAGCAATTGAAGCCTCTCCTAGCGAGGTGGCAGCTGGTGTACTTGAGGAACAAAAGGCTTCCGTCAGTTGAGGACAAACATTTACTCTCCTATATGATGAATGGTCCGTTGAAAGATCGTCAAGCAGCTTCGGCCGTTCAAGTTGCTTTAGACGACGAGTACATGAAAATGCTGAACCTGAGCCACGACCTTCTCCGAAACTTTATTCCGCACGTCTTGAGTAAGATAAACAGAGTTTCTTTCGGTCTTCTCACGAAACAAGACATCCGAAACAGTTCGGAGCAGAATATTTCTCTTGCTCGACGGCTGGCAGCAGTACCGTTTATAGGGAAGGATATCCCCAGTCGTGCCAGTCAATTTTCACATCCTGACATAGTGATTGGCTTAACAATTCTTGCCTATAGATACGAAAAAATGAGGATGGGAGATTTTGAAAACGTCTTGCTAGAGCTACGAGAAAAGCTAGATGCTGAATTCGGGCCGTATCATAAACGCCCATCTGCTCTTCGATACAAGGCATGGGTAGAAACGGCAGGAGGAAAAGTTCGTGGGCCTAGAGAGGGAGAGGACTCTGTCGCGACTGGGTCTACTGCAAATCCTGCAGCATATTCGCTGGGCCCGATCGGAAGAGGCGAACGAGGGTCTGATGACATCTGGCCCCTTCATTTACTTGATTTGAAAGATGAAAACCACATGAATATAACGTTCAACCTTCTTCGGGATCAGCCGAATGTGATCGAATATTACCTTGATGCATTTGTTTTTCCTCTGACAATGGAGCATCACCACGAAAAAATTAGTGCCTCGGGACAAGACCTCGGTGGAGAGATGTTGTTCAGTCGACGACTGGGCTTTAGTGGAACGCCGAGTGATTTATTGCCCGAAGAACTTGGTCAGTGCCAATATGATGAAGGTGTAGACGGTCAAATTCTTAATACCCTGACAAGTGAGGCCATCGTTTCAAGCAGATTAATGCCTGCAGACTGGAATGCAAAGAAGTTGTTGACCGATATTGCAACGGCGAAGCCTCCTTTCCACGCGCTTCTAGATTGTGGTGCCCTCATTACTGGTATGACAAATTTCGAAGTTGCAAAATATCTACTAGCTAATGGCCTCTCTCATGACTTCGAGGGGGTTGTATTTTTGGATCACAAAGACAGAAAGATGATTCTAATGAGGCATGGAATGAACGTTGTGAGACTAAACCAATCTGGTTTGCCACCACACAAACGTTTCTCTTTTTACGACCAAATTCACACAACTGGAATGGATATTCACCAATGCATMGATGCGAGAGCTGTATTGACACTTGGAAAGGATATGACGTTCAGAGATTATGCGCAAGGTGCGTATAGAATGAGAGGCATTGGCAAAGGTCAGACGATCGAGATTTTCATCATTCCCGAGGTTATGCGTTTGATCACCGATCAAGTTACGAAGTTGAGCAAGAAACAGCAGAACCCGCTCCATGTACAAGCGCCAGCCCCCGCTGGGGGTTACGCTTCGGATCTACTTAGCTTGGCGAATCCTCTGGCTGGTGCACCTTCAATGCAGGCTGCAGGAAGTGGCCGACAATTGCTTGTGAACGTCTCTGCTTGGCTCACTATCAATGGAATGAAGAGTGAGAACATGCAATTCAAGATGCTTTGCCAGCAGAGTATTGACAATGTTTCAAGAAAGCGAGGCTTTATGACGCTTACAGCCAACTACAGAGAATTGACTCAATTGGCATTTTCGGCCCGAATGAAAGAGTTCGCAAATCTCAGTTCAAAATCGTCTTCGGCATCAGCTCAGAAGGATGCTGCAACATCTGGGTTCGAGGAATGGATCAAGGGATCAACTAATCTTTTCGCTGATGACATCGATGCCATTAAGACCCTTGTGCTGCCTAATTCTAGTGGTGGGTCGGTTGCAAGAATGAAATTGGTTGGTATTGAGAAACTACAGAAATCGATTGACATTCTTTCGGAGCGTCTAGATTTCACTGTACAAAACAGTATCCCTGTCCCTGTACCTCTTTCAGATCAGTTGCGCAATAGTGTGATCCAACGAAGAGAATTCATTGTATCTGATTATGACACTGCCGTTGTGGACAAAATCTTGATGGTCTTGGTGAATTCTGAGGGACTTGCTAAGAATCGGTCTGCTGGCACAGTGATCGAAGAAGTAAACGACGAAGATCAAGATGCAAATTTGGGTAAAGAGCAAGTCTCAGAAGAGGAAGTTCTCAAGGAACAGGTACGTAATAATTGTCTCCTAGCGATTCTGTATGCTTGCTGTTGGAATGACTTCACCTCACTTTTCTTTTTGGAATGCCTTTTCTTCGATTGAATTCTAGGAGGAGGAAGAGGAAGAAGAAGAGGAGGAGGAGGAGGAAGAAGAAGAGGAAGAAGTAGTAGAAGAATACCCCAAAAAGAAGAAGTATTCCCGGGACGGCGAGAACCCAGATCCTTGGCAGGTAGAAGCACTTTCTGTTCCTTTTACAGAAGACCACGGAAAGTGGAAACTAAAGAAGGGAGGAAGCGATATCAAGTCGTGGCAAGGTTACTTCTATCCTGCCAGTCAGTTTTCTGTCAAAAACTATCTGTTTTCGAAAGGTGTCAATTTGAAGTTTCCAGATTACCTGTACATGTCGAAAAACTATTATGATACATCGTGGAGTAGTAGGACCCATCGTCGTTTGAAAAATGTTATTGTAACGATGGACTTCATCCCATCTAGAGGAGCCGTGAAAGAGGTTGCTGCAGCTGGAAAGGGTTTGACAAAGAGTCAAGAGAAGATGCTCAAAAGGGCGTTTACAAGCGCCGACAACAACAAATCGGGGACAATCTCATTTGCCGAGCTTGAAGAAGTGTTGAAAGCAGTGGACGTCGACGTAGATKGTGAAGAGGGCGACAAGTTTTTCCAGCAAATGCCTGACTTTGCCAACCGTCCCGTTAGTTTTGAAGAATTGAAGCGATTGCTCGAGCAGCGTCTGTACAACCGAGTGCAGGCAGGTAGATACTATGTTGCTCTTTCGTTGTTCGAGGCCGAATGCATGCGTGCCGTTATGCATCATCAGCTTTCTCTTCCATTGATTCCAGGAAAGGATTGCGCTGTAGCGCTTCGAACCGATAGAACTCTACTGGATTCGACATACGGTTATCAACSAGCCAGGAGCTTTCAAGATTCTACTGCCAAGGCATGTTATCGCTTCATCGACAGTTCTCTCAATTATCAACCCCGCGAAGTCAGTTTGCTCTTCCGAGCAATTCAAGAGAACAACAAGGAGATGCGCTACAATTATTTTGTGGAAGTCATGAGCAACCGTCGTCGAAAGCAAAAGGATCCCGCAACGTCTGCCTTGTCGAAGGTGTTTATCAATGCGGATGAGCACCACGTGCTGAACTACAAGATCGCTGCAGGAAGGATCACAGCAATGCTCAAGGCCCGAGGCATGTATCCGAGGGACTGCTTCAATGCAATCGATCGGGACCGGGACGGTCTCCTGAACTACGACGATGTCAAACGAGGGCTTGCATGGCTGGGACTGCCCCTCGATCAACAACTTCTYCTMGACTTTATGAAGGAAGTGGACCAAGACAAGGATGGATACATCAATCTCGACGAGTTCAAAGCAGCCGTTGGCTTTGAAGACGACGGAACAATGGCGTCTAACGCGGCAGCCTTTAACAATGGCATGCCTCTGCCGCCGATGCCGTCGGACAACAAAGAGAAACGGGTGGTGAACATTCCGCCCCCTGTTCTCGCAGCCGTGAAGGTGAAGGTAAAGAAGGTGACCAAGTTCCACATGATTTGGAACAGCCAGGGCAGCATGTCGCGAAAAAAGATCAGCATCTGGGAGCCGGTCATCCAGAGCGGTGCGTTCCGCCAGAACAAGGAATCCTTTTCGCTGGGGCACTTTGCGGGATCGGGGTACGACAACCCAAGCCGCGACGGCAAGGACCGGCTGTGCATCGAGGTCACGGATACCACGGGCAGCTGGGTGGGCGGCAGCAGCTGGCTGCCCCACGTCCTGGACAAGTTCATGCCCCACCCGGCGCGCTACCGGCTGGCGTGGAGCGTGACGCACGGGAGCAACCCGTTCTACGGCTGGGAGGCCGTCCCCCCGGGCGACGAGTTCGTGGCGCTCGGGTTCATCGGAACCAAGCAGGACAAGCAGCCGGACGTGAAGCGCATGCGTTGCGTCCCGCGGGACTGGTGCAAGCCGAGCGGGTACCTGGCAAAGATCTGGGACGACAGCGGATCCGGCGGCCGGCAGGGCAGCATCTGGGTCTTCAACACGCTGAACCTGGTGGGCTTTGTGAGCGGGAGCGATCCTCCGGCCAAGAAGGGTCACGACCTGAAGAGCTCGCGGTTCTTTTTGAAGGAATACAGCGACACGAACGCGAAGAACGTGGCCCCCGCGGGAGGCTACGTGAACCCAAAGGCGTGAGTCAACCGGAACGAGTCGCAGTAGCATTTTTATTAGAATTAGTAGTACCAATTATGTATTTAGATCGGTGTTCTACCGTCTCGTTTCAGTTATCGGTTCACAAGCTACTTTGTGTATGACATGGGAAAAGGTCCGCCGGAACGGTGCTTGCACACCACTCGGGGYCTACTCCTCCCGGGTGYTCCCGCCGARCCCCGCCGAGAGGGCGRYCCTCCGGACGTCCCGGAGGCACTCCAGGCTCGTCTCGAGGGGCATCCCGTCCACGGTGGCCTCTTTCTTGCCGGTCACCCCGTCCCGGCAGCCGGCGGCGACGCAGCGGTCCAGGAGGGCCCGCTCGTCCCGCTCGGTCGGGAGGCACCGGTCGACCCACTCCCCGACGGCGGCGCCCCGGGCCCTTGCCGAGGCCAGGGCCGCCCCGGCCGCCAGGGCGTATCCCCCCCAGTTGGAGACGCTGGCCGCGACGAGTCGGTCGGCGGCGACGACGCAGCCGATGGTCGCCCCGTTCGAGATCTTCGGGTTGTTCGCCACCTGGTCGAAGACCTTGCCCATCCCGAGTTCGTTGCCCCCGTCCCCRATGGCGAYCGTGGGGCAGTCCGTCTCGGTGAAGAGCCGGTGGAGGGGAGCGATCAGCCCCCTCTCSGTCATGCTGATCCCCCGCATGGTGTAGGAGTTCCCGTCGGCCGCGGGCCCGGCCCTCTCGCAGGCCACCACCAGGCCGCAGGAGGCCGCTAGGTTCTGGAAGCGGTCCTCGTCGGCTTCCGAGAACTCCTGGGGRAAGGTCTCGAGGCCGACGCTGCCGGAATCCTCCGGGAGGGGCATTCCCTCCAGTGCCGCGGCAAAGACGGCTGCCGGGGATTGTTCACGAATTTGGAACCAACAATCCGGTGGCGAGCAGGAACGAAATCAGCAGAAACGAATGGAATGGGGCAGATTAGATTAGATTGGAATAGAGTAGAGTAGAATAGAGTAGAATCATTAGAGTAGAATCATTGGAATAAAATGAAACAAAAGACAACACTACTACAAACAGATGCAATCAGGTGCAATGCAATGCAATGCGTTGTCCCTGCACAACCCGGGAATCAAGACCCCACCACTTCCAGCCAAGCACAAAGCACAAGGCACAATCACAAACCCATCCACAATACAAGCACCAAACACTCTACCACGACGCATAGCATACCCACCCTTGTTGCAGTCGTCCGTGACCACCGTCACGGAATGTCCCATGGCCGCCGCGGCCCTGGCGATCGCGCAGGTCCCCGGCGGCCCGTCGGTCTCGGTGGGCGGGCTCTCGTCCACGCAGCACGGAAAGCCCGAGAGGACCAGCACCCTCGAGGGGACTCCCAGGCTTCCGAGGAGCTCCGAGGCTTCTCCCAGGTCCCCTTCGACGACCAGGCTCTTCATCCCCCGGTCGCCGGCGTCGGTCCCGATGACGGCCTGGAGCTCGGCGCAGACCGAGGCGGTGGTGGTCGGCGTAGCAGTTGGCCCCTCGCGGAGGGCGGTAGCGGTGGGCGGGGGGGTCATGGCGGAGAAGAAGGCGACGACGAAGATGAAGAAGAAGGAGGRGAGGAAGCCGAGCGGTTGGAATCGACGGGGCCGGCGGCTCATTCTTGTTGGGTTGTGTTTGTGTGTGTTTTGTGTTTTGCGTTTCCCGTTTTGCGTTTGGATTTGGATTTGGATTCGGATGATTTTAATCTTGCTTCTGCCAACAACAACGACGAAGACAAAAAAGACAAAGAGACCTCTTGGTTCGTTCGGGGAAGGACCAGGGTACTGAAACAGGTCTTTTAATCTTTTGGTCGAAGGAGTCGTGATCTGGGTACGTACGGTCCAACCCTGTATCCTAACCGATTGAAGACACCCGGGGTGTACACGTCACTGCTCAACGAACAACCTGCACTTATCGGCACTAGAAACAAACCCATCACGCGGTGACACCGGGCAACTGTTCGGCGATTGGGAAGAAGAAACGAACGTCGCTGCGTACGAGTACGTACCACAACGCACCATAGTGCCGCGCGTATGGTAACGGGAAACCGCTACAAATACAGAAACAACGGTCGTTCTAGGGCGCGGAGTGCAGAGCATGGACTGGAACGAAATACCGTTGCATCGTGAGTTGCCTTGAACAAGTACGGTGCGCACCCGCACATCACCATCGTGACATCATCACCGAAGCGAACCTTCCCGTAGGACCGTACGTACTCGTAGCTAGTGGTGCTACAGGGTGAAGAAAATTCGTGTTCTCAATCGTGAACAGAAGAAAAAACGCCGGTCCTCAAAACCTCGAACTACAACAGTACGATACTTCGTGCCACATACTGATGTCACAAACTGTATCGAGACCGGCATCAACAACCCTCGCATCCTCCGAACACAAACGGGACGCGATACCGTAGCGTACCAGTTCCTACTACACTACACTACACTATACTATACTATACCTTACCATACTACACACACCATGCGACACCACAAGATCCAAGCGGCGGTGCGGAGGATCCTCCGGCTCTCTTTCCTTCTCGGGCTGGCCTTTGCGGGGACCACGGCCGCCTTTTCGGCGGCTCCCCCCCGGGCCCCGGCACGTTCCGGGGCGAGACCGTCCCCGGCGAGGTTGTGCTCGACCCGGAGCGGCCGGGTCGCGGAAGAGAGCTTTCTCATGAAGCCCTTCCAGACGGCCTCCGGCGAAACAGTGTGCGTTGCGTAGTGCGCAGTGTCGTCCGTTTCGTTTCGTTTCGTTGCGTTGCGTTGCGTCGTTCTTTGTTGTTCTTTTGTTGTTTCTTCCGCCGTGTTCGAGACCGACCGGCACGAACCAGAGGCTCACCGTGTTTTTTTTGTTTGTCTTGTTCCGTCGTCGCTCGCTCCCGCCGGATTCGTTCCTTCGGTGCTTGCTGTTCTTGCTTGCATGTTGCCATTCGCGAGCAGGAACCCCTATCGGGTTCTGAAGGTGCCTAGGAGCGCCGAGCGAAAAGAAATCCGCGAGGCCTATCGAAGGATCTCCAAGAGGTACCACCCCGACATTGTGCGGCACAAGGACGTACTCCCGGGAAATTGGTGAGTGGAACGGACCCGACCGAATTGGATTGAATTGAATTGGATTGATTTGGATTGGAATGGAATGAATTGGAGCTCTGCCCAACTCGGCTGAGCTCTGGTTCGCTTCGCTTGGTGATACGGATGGATCACTCGTGCCTACGGGTGTGGTTTGGCATACACGCTTGGTTCTAACAATCGCACGATCTCTTTGTATCGCTCGTGTTCGTGTTCTCCCGTCACGCACCACACCACATCGCACCAAATCGCACCCCGTCCCAACAGCAACAGCCACGACGACGTGGAAGCCGAGTGGGAGCGCATCCAGCTCTCCTACGACATTCTGTCCGAACGGAAGCGCAGGATGCAGTACGACCGCCACGAGCTGATCGCCGACCCCGGGGCCGCCGTGCAGAGGGCGGCGTTCGAAGCGGCCGCCGCCGGCGTCGTGGGCCTCGGAAAGGGCATCTTTCGCGCCGGCTCGTCCGCCCTGGACCTCCTGGGGGGTGCCGGGAAACGGGACGCCGGGGGCGAGCGGTAGGGGCCGCTGGCGTCGCGTCGCGTTGAATCGAATCGAATCGAGTAAAACGGAACCGAACGGGATGGTAGTGGGGGACGCTGCAGGTGGCGAAACAGAATGGTCCTCGTGCGACGGACCGGTAGACAGCTATTGCAAACAATAACTTTTAACGTTAAAAACTATGATGTTTATGACATTTATGCAGGCACTTGGGATCCACGAACAGTCATTTATACAGTTTGGGTTTTACATCGATGCGGAACGGCGCGGTGCCGTTCCATTGCGCTTGGAATCGATCGGTTGTCAGGGGGGTTCACGTCGTTTGGGAATCGCTGTTCTCGGAAACCAGAATCTCCTTCCTCGGGTTGCTTTCTGTCTGTTCTGGGAGACCGCAACAACGGGAGAGGTGCCCACAAAACTAGTGTAGAATTTGCCCCGGTGTAACTTCGTCTCGTCCTACACAATAGGCCGAGCTCCTCTTTTCATCTCGATACCAAGTTCATCTCTGGGGTCCAATAGAAGGTCTCGTCGGGACAAGCAAACAGAGTTTCTTCCATTGACTTGGTTTCGTGCTGGCACGTCATTGTTTCTTTCATTCCAAGCGCCAGCTCCAAAAAATGCTGCTTCGCATCGAGCCACTGGTCCAGCGTTACGACGGAACCGCCCTCTCGCAGCTCCACCTGGATCTTCGCATCCTCCGAGCGAACATTCTTGAGGCTGTCTCCTTGCCGTGGGCAGAACCTTTTTGCGAGGAGCTTTTGCAACTTGGAAGCCTGTTTGTAGTGCATAAACACAAGCTTGGGCGCATTGCTTCGGATGGCACTGTAAGTCCGGCACGTCAAAAGTTCGACTGCCCCGTATTCGATTTCCCCCATGCTGTTCGTCTTTCTATCCTGGATTATTTGGGTCAACTGCTCCTCCTCCACCGTGCAGGTTTTTTTGTCGTTGTTGGCCCGGTGCTCCTTCAAGAACTCGGGGCACTTCCTATGGTCCATTACATATCGTATGGCAGACGTTAGTCGCGAGGTCTCTTCCCGGTGAATGTACACGATCAATGTTTCTTTGGTGGCTGCCTGCATCAACCTCATGAAGTCCGCATCTTCATACATGTGTGACGCAATCAACGGCGGAACTTCGAGTGGACCATGGAGCAGCTCTTTCAAAACGTCCGGCTTGGCTAAAACGTTTTCCACCCACCTATCGGTGTAGTTCCCCGACCACCCGCGTTTCATGCATTTCGATGTAAAAGATTTCATGGACGACCCGGCGGCTTTTGCCGGCATCGCAACAAAGACTTGCTTGTGGGCAGACAAAAGCTCGTCCATATTGTTCCCATCACCAAGATCCAAGCAAGCTTGCTCTTCTATCGTTTGGGGTTCGACGCTTTTGCTTTCTTTTTCGATTGTAATTTTTTCTATTTCTTTTGCATGTTCGTTTGTAATTTTTTCTATTTCCTTTGCATGTTCGTTTGCAATGTTTTCTATTTCGTTTGCATATTCGATTGCAATGTTTTCTATTTCGTTTGCATAGCTGGTTTCTCTCACGCGTACCAAAGCCAATTCCTTGGTTTCCAGAAGAATAGTGAAGAGACTGAAAACAAACAAAATTGAAAAAAATAGAACAGTCCGGGATAGATGAATGGTAGTATCCATGGCTTGCTGTGTGACTTGAGAATAAGATACGAATGCGATGTGATCGTGTATTGTTTTGGATAGTGTATTCGATGAAATGAAGTTGACCAAATACTAGTGAAGCTTTAATTTGGTCGTTCGTTGACCTTATTGTTGTTGTACCAGGTGCTGGGCCCTGATGAACGGAATTCATTACTTGTACTTTGGAAATGACTGTATGACCGGATTTATTGCCCTCAAAACAAAAAAATGGTTCCCGGGCTTTCAACTCATGAATGCCATCCAAAAACTAGCTCAGTAGAACACAGTAGTATTTCTACTAGGACATTTGAATTTCTTACTGTAATTTCCAATAAAACTTTTTTCTCACTTTCGAGACCATACGGTATGAAATTAGGTCTTTTTTGGTTTGCTGCAAGTGGAAGTCGAATTGTCTACTACTATTACGAAGTAGAAGTACTGTACTTCTAATTCCTCCATCCATTTTGCTGTCCCTGTTTGAAAGTCCCCTGATTTACTAAGTTCGTATTATAAATATTTTCGTTTCACCCCTAATAAAATATGACCGTGTACAATAAATAGAATCAGTACCAGAGACTAGGTGCACGTGAATAAAAATTATTTTTGCACATGAAATGAAACAGTGTATTAGTAACATGGGAAAAAATACTTCATAAACTTCAACTACGTCACAAATACCTTTTTCATGGTGACGTGCGAATTACGCGCCAAATGACCCTCTATTATCATGATACTCAACCATTTGAATTGTTATGCGACTCGCATTGTTTTTTAATCTGAAGAAATATTGGGCGATTCCTGTTAGAACACAGCTTGCCAGTGCGCGTGCCAGCCAAGATTGGTGCGTATAATCCAATATATTAGCCAATGAGAAAGGCTGAACAACACCTGACAACATACCGCACCTCGTGGTGTATGGGCTATGATCCAATGAATGTGCGACCACAAAATATCACTGTGGTTCTCCATATTCCAATGGAATTGGAGGAAGAAGCCAATGAAGCCAATCAGAGGATGGGATGAAGGTGATGCAGCTGATTTGGCTGCTGGAGCCCTTGTAAATGGCTCGCAGCCACCTGCTCATTATTTAATTTCAATTATCTAACCAACAGGATTATAACCACCAATCATTCTTTAAGGTTTCGTAGCCAAGCTATTGAATTCAACAATTCCCGTTAATCTAGATGGTCTAAAAATCTAAAGTAGACCTTTTAGACTGTTTAGTTAAACGGGAATCATTAAAAACAGGGGCCCAATGGACATTTTTAGGTGCTCTTTCTGGTCTCGAAGGAATTTGGAATCTCAACAAAAATGACTAAGACTGTATTCAAAAGAGCCCGCGCAGGCGCATTTTTTTGAGTCCTACAACAGATTTTCATTCTTGGATTCCGGTCTAGATTTAGACTTTCTGTCAAGCAAGCGTGGATGGTGCGTTGACAGAAAGCCTAAAAATTCGGACTAGATTGTCTATTTTTGGTCTGTCTGTCTGTCAAAAAAGTAGACCATCTAGATTAACAGGAATCGCCCATTATCTCATCTCCAAATATAGACTTTGCTTCACAATAGTATTCTGACTACGTGCACAATAGCACACAGCATTGGTTGCCAGAGAAGAATATTGTGTCAACCCTGATACCCTTTAATCTTTTTTTGCTAGTACATCATGCCAATTCACTTCCACCTTGTCAAGAACACCACCACCACAACCACAGTACCCTTCACCTCGACCCTCTGCCTCACCCAACTTCCTATTCACCAATTTAGTAAGAATGCATTGCCACCAATGGTGAACATAAGAGACCCATAATGACATTGTCATGTCTAGACAGCTCTTGTTACATCATCATCTTAGCAATGATGAGGATGATTGCTCCTATCATTACGGTCATTGCATGGACAGTGTGTTGGATTTTGCAACCTCCTTGTTTGATCATCCAGGAAATTTCCAGACTTGCTTGGCCCATAAATTTTGTCTGACAAACACACAAAATGGCCCAGGTTCTGCTGTTCCCAATAATCTTGATTTGCAGATTATGTTTCATCCAATGTGTCAACTGATTAACTGTATTTTGTTGGAGGACAACAACCTCTTCTTTTGAATCTGATCCCTCCCCCATTCCTGATGATGGCAGGAATATGCAGGACTGAGATGTTGACAGCAGTGGTGAATGTCATCCCCTGTCTGTTTTTAACTATGTGGCACTCCATGAACCCTCTATCCCTCCCATAGTAGAGACCATGTCCTATCATCACTACAATGTTTCAGATGAATTGAAGGTGAAAATAAAGCTCATGACGCTACTAATGGGCGGGCAACCACAACAAGGGTGGCCAATATGTGGGAATGTTGTACATACAAATGCTGGTGCTTTTGTCTGCTGAAGGTAGGCAGGTCCTAATGTTGTGAAGAACATCAGGTAACCAAGAAAACAAACACTGCAGGACTGAAGAAGAAATTGACCTCTTGAGTTGATGCTGGGAATGGAAGGATTTCTCAAATATTCTGGTAGCATGAAGAAGGAAGTTCTGGAAGTGGACACTGAGAATGTTACCAACCTTTACAAGATGGTGGTGCTGGTACTAGTTGTCAGTACCATAGACAGAAACCTACACCGCAGTACTGATGGGGACCTGAATAATCTGATAAAGAATCACATGTACTTCCACCTTGACAATGTTTTAAAGTTCTAATGTGACAAAATACTTCCAAGTATTTGATTGTCATCTATTACTAGATATGCTGAACACAAAAGATAGAACACAGACAGAAAGATGCAGCTAGTACTATTGTTTTGTGTCCATCCCTCCTTCAAAGCAGACTCTGATCAAGTCTCAAACATTTGGTATGACTGGGCATACTTTCAACTTGATCTTGGTGAACTCAGTCAGAAGGAACACCCTTGCCACATTCTGTGTTTCCTGTCTCTGAAAACCCTTTTTTGAAGAAAATTCAGCCATTGCTGCTAGCAAGGGTCAAGGGAAAAATTATTTCCATAGGTTGGAAAAGAGGGAAAACCCCTTCAGCTGAATGAAAGAGTCAGAGCTAATAGTGGTGCTGGCATTGCTGTTGATGATGGCACAAATCCAATTAGAAAAGTTGAGATGGTGGTGGCAAGTGAAGCAGCTGGGCAAATTAACTTTGATGAGCTGTTCAATCCTGAACTAGATGAAGGAGGCACAGCTGCTGGGAATGGTCCTTTTAGAAATACTGCAATGGGAATGAGGAGATCTCATCAATAGTCTAGTGGATGAATGTGGTGATGTATGCCAAGATTCATGATTTACAGCAGGGAAGAATGTTCAAAATGGAGAACCTGCTGATTGCCTTACAAAAGCAAAGAAACAAGTGGATTCAAGCTTCCTGCAATCAAGCTGCCATAGCACCACCTTGTTAATCCATGAGCAGCTGGTGCTAGTGTTGCTGCAGAACAATCCTGTAGACTTGTTTGTTATTTGGAATCAATGGGCGGGAATCTGGATTTGCAGGGAACAAACCACCAAAGAACTTCACTAAATTCAACAGACAGATGGTGAGGCTTGATGCCAGTCTTTTGTTGGAATTTACGTAATACTTCGTACATAAAAAAATTAAAATTTATTACTTTTGATGAGGGTCAAAGTGGTGTCATCAACATAATAAATTTTGTTATAAATGTGCTAAATTTTCGGTCTGTCAGTCTATCAAAAGTACCACATCTATAATAACGGGAATCACCCAATCAAATAGAAGTACAGAACGGTAGTACTGTAAATATTTTTTACGATGTTCTGTTCCTTCTCTTTGCCTTCCAAATTGACATCGATAGTAGAAGTACGAAACCAGTCCCTACGAACCATTGTACCATACCGTACCGTAGTTCCTGACAGTGATGTGTGATGAGTGGTGGTAACAGGAACTTCTGTTGATGGGTCGTTATGTAACGCTGGCATTTTTCGGTATCGGTCGCAACGGATACAGAACAAACAATCGCTAGAGCATAACAAACCAAATCGGTGTCATCGTCGCAAAGCGGCCATACAGAAATCCTTTTGCTCCATCGAGCCGTTCTGTCGACCAAACCAACGAGAGGTTCATATCGAAACAGCGAGAGAAAAGGCTTGGTTGAAGTGCGAGCTCTTCTCCCTTCTCCCGGAATCTGTATTCTGGTGATTCAATTGGATTTTTCACGATGATGACAGGGATTCTCTTGCTGTTGTGGGGCAGTTCCAGGCTCGCATTCCATGCGGTTCACGCCTTCGTGTCACACACCGCGACTCGACAGCACCTGGCGTCGACGAAATCCCGCTTCCACCAAATCCCTAAGCCGGTTGCGCACTTGTTTTCGGCGGTAGACAACACCCCAGCGCTAGCGAGCGCCGCGGGGGGCGAGCGTTCCGCCGTCGACGAGGCACTCGTCAAGGAACAAAGAGCCAGGAGAAAAAGAGAAAAGAAGGCGGCCGCCGCCGCCAGGCGACGAAAAAAATTCATCGGGCTGGCCAAGGCAGTTGACCGGGGCCAGTTCAAAACAACATACCGGCCGGGGGGATCGGATGGCGCAACCTTCGTCGCCAGGTCGGGCCTGCCGGAGGGCCACGACTCGAGGCCGTTTACGGTTCTGGGGATCGAGAGCTCGTGCGACGACACAGGTGCGGCCGTGCTGCGCTCGGACGGCGTGATTCTTGGGGAATCGCTGGCCTCACAGGCCCACATCCACGAGGAATGGGGCGGGGTGGTGCCCGGACTCGCCAAGTCGGCCCACGAGGAAAACATCGACAGGGTGATTGACGATGCCCTGAGCAAGGCCCAAACCACCATGGAGGACATCGATGCCATCGGTGTGACGGTCGGGCCAGGACTAGAGCTCTGCCTCAGGGTCGGGAGCCAGAAGGCCTGCCAGCTCGCAACCGAGTACAACAAGCCGTTTGTGGGCGTTCACCACCTCGAGGCGCACATTCTCATGGCCCGAATCGAGAACCAGGAGGAACTCAGGTTTCCCTTTCTGGCGCTCTTGGTTTCCGGGGGCCACTGCCAATTGCTCAAATGCCTCGGAATCGGTCGCTACAGTGTCATAGGAGGAACCCTCGACGACTCTCTCGGAGAGTGCTACGACAAAACGGCGCGTCTCCTGGGCCTCCCCATCGGCGGAGGAGGCGGACCGGCTCTGGAAGCCCTCGCCAAAGACGGCAACGCAACGGCGATACCCCTTACCATACCTCTGCAAAAACGACAGGATTGCGACTTTAGCTACGCGGGGCTCAAAACAAACATACGGCGGGCCGCGGAGCAGCTGGCCAAGGAGCGTGGTGCGGACTCCGTACCGGAGCTCTCGCACCAGGACAAGGCGGACCTGGCGGCCTCGTTCCAAAACATTGCCATCAAGCATCTGGAGCAGCGCCTGGAACGTGCGATGAAGGCCATGGAAGACGAAAAGATCGACACCCTGGCCGTAGTGGGCGGTGTAGCGGCCAACCAAGAACTCCGGCGACGGTTGCAGAGCAAGTGCGACGACAGGGAATGGACGATGGTCGTGCCCCCGCCCAGGTTGTGCACCGACCAGGGAGCCATGGCATCGTGGGCGGCGATCGAGCGACTCCGACTGGGAAGTTCGGACGATCCCTCGACCCAAGACATCTACGCGAGGTATCCGTTCTCGTCGTACAGCAGCGCTCCGGAAGGAGACAGCGAAGGTGTAAAATGAATTTGTCTTAACATTTGAATAGCACGGTGCAACGTTGTCACCTTTCACCACGAATTTATTTTTTTCGATATCTGTATTGTGTGAATGATATTCTCGTAATCTAGGAGAGTTCTGTGCGTTCCTCACGCAATCAGCACCCGAAGAGCCGCCTCCACGACGTTCCCTCCCTTAGCGTCCAGCGAAACCTCCCTCAGGGTCCGTTCGGCGACTTCCTCGGTCACCTCCAGCTCCGAGACGATCAGCTCCACGTCCCCTCTGGATATCGTCACGGCCGCGAGCGCGGCCGCCTGCTGGTCGTCGTTGGTCTTGGAGCGGATCAGCCCGATCGCCTCTTGCGCCTTCGCGGTATCGATTTCCGCCTCCTTCACCACGTCGGTGACGCTGTCAAGCTGTTTTGCCTCCGCTTCCGCCGTCATTCCTTTTTTTTTTTCGAAAGACTATGATGATCTACTCCAGATGCGATGCGATGCGATGCGATCCGAGTCGAGTCGAGGCGATGGTTTCCTGCGTTATGAGGTGTACGGTATGTTTGGTGTTTGATAAAGAAATGTTGTGTTTAGGTACGATACGTAGTACAGTACCTGGGTACCTGTACTCGTACTTCGTACTTCGTACGAGCAAGAATACTGTATTGGGACTATTTACTGCTTTGCCACCGCTCGTTCATTATTATGCTTCAGTTGCCCTCCATTGCAGAAAAACTGGGTTGATCCGTCTGTCCCCCTACCCGCACGGTAAGGACATCAATCAACAATCAATCATTGATCTCACAACGCTCATCACTAAAGTTCGGATTTTGAAGAACTAATTTTGTCTTGTTGACGAGATTGTTTTGTTCTTGGACAGAAGCTTGCTCCACAGCTCTTTTTAGACGGAATCATTCTGTATTGCCAGTGTTCAACAAGTACGTAAGGTACCTCCTAATAACAGTAGCGAAACAACTTTCTCCCAAGACCAAAGCAAAAAAACAAAGCATTTTGATTTGTTCGTTTGCTGAAATTCAATATCGCGACACATACCGTAATACCACAAACGAGAAAAAGATACCAGCGTAAGCATGTCGGAGAACGCCGAAGAGAACGATGCGAATCAATCGAAATTCTATCGAGTGGTTTCTACCGAAGCCATCACAGACTCAAACGAGCTGTTCGACGCACTATCGAATTTCCTAATGAAAGACAAGAAGCGCCAGCTTTCGGCGGGGTACCTGGACGAAAAAGACCAAATAGCCTCTCGCTTGACCTGGGTAAGTTTTTTGTTGCTAAAGGACTGGCAGTTCTTTTTTGCGTTCGATGGGATGTTTCTGGTCGAAATAATTCTAACACACTTTTCATAACAAAACGAAACGATTTGAACGAAACAACGCCTGGCAAAAAATCCTTCTTGCACACGACAAAACAACAGAACAATCTGAGAAAGGTAGCAAATTCTGTTCTGGACGAGGATTGCCCGCAGCGTGAACCCATTCCTGCATGGATAGAGCAAAAAGAAGCTATTGTTCTGGACGACGCGGAGAAGGAGCCTCCGAGCGAATACCTCGGCGGCGATACGGCTTTGAGCACCAAACAAGAACAACCGGAATCGACGACGAGGACCGTCACCAAGATCGAACCCTGCACCGAATTCAAGGCACACGAAAATACACTTACACCAAAACAAGAGGCAAAGAAGGCTAAGAAAGAGGCCAAGGAAGCAAAGAAAGAGGCAAAATCGGCCCGGAAACGAGAACGAGCCGAAAAACGAGAGGCCAAGAAGGCGAAGAAAGAGGCCAAGAAGGTCAAGAAGGAAAAAAAGAGAAAAAGCATTGAGTCTGGGGATGAGTAGAAGAGATAATTACAAGCACTGTTATAAGGCACGACAACGTGGATAATATGCTTCTCAGTATTTCGTCGTTATAGATTTTATGAGATAATGTGATGATAATGTGTGTCACCATTTTGAACTATCGATGTCGAGACCTGATGTGCTGGGGCGACCAAAGAAGCAGCATTTTTTCTTGACAAGCATTTTGATGCCTCGTTGCTTGCGAAGGTCAATCCCGAGAAAACCTTGCGCGACGTTGCTTCGTTTGTATCTCGGATTCGTAGCCGTGGCGATATCCTCATCCTCGATCAGTTGCGAGGTGATTCACATGCCGAGAAGTTCATTGACAGCCCTGCTTTCGTCCCAGTCGTGTTTTTCTAGTGCTTTTTTGGCACTTGCTCGGTCGAATCCCATGTCCTCTAGGCCCTTAATCATAGCCTCGTAATCCGCCTCCTTAGCATACGATTCGGTCCAAAATTTTGCTGTTTTCTCAAACTTTTTTCTATCGTTTAGGTACATTTTTGCAACTTCTGCATCCTGTGGATCACTGGGCTCTGGCGACGACAACAAGGCTCGGAGTGATAAAAGTGCTGTCTTAATAGTAAGAGCCTGATAAGCCATGTGCCAATTGATGGAAAAATATATTTTAGAAATCAGTCTAGGGAATTCATTCAGCAAAGAAAGGCTCAAATACATGCTGCGTGTATTACTCACCGGGCTCCACTGATCTTTCAGAATGTCCTAAGGAGTGGAATGATACATAATGATGAAAAGTAATGCAATTAGGTAACCCAACGCGTCAAAAGGCGATGGCTCAATTCTCTGTATCAGACTTACGAGGCATATCGCACCTGTTTGCGAAGAAATATTAGGGTGCCATATTTTTGTAATGAATTTCATCTACGTACACAGCAATCAAATGGAAAAAATCGAGAAAATGACATTGTTTGGGTGAGTAATCCAACTTGTTCCCATCATAGGGAGTTCGAATGAGAGTCAATTACGTCTCCGCAGCATCATTCCACAATGCATCAAACAACACACGTGTCCTCAAGCGAACTTCACATCGTACCTTTGGAGGTTCAAATGGGTATTGTTTCGGGATGCTAATATCGATTTCAAAAATTCCTCCCTCATAACAAGTCGATTCTGGCCCGTTAATCTTCCCTTTCAGCCTCCGCATGTCGTCGCTAGTGGCACGAGCACTCACTCCAGAACTCTGGTCGACTTTGCCGACTTCTGCAAGCTCTTTTTTCAATCGTCCCGAAGCCATTTCCAACTAGAGTGACAGAACTTGGACCTTGTGTGTACTTCGGAGGGTGAACTCGATGCTCAAGGTTGGCAAAAAATAGTATTGTAGAAGAAAGATACGAGTGTATTCATACTTTTGGAATTAGTTCTTCTAGTACCGGTACCAAGAGGTCGTAACGAAAACTACGGGTACGTAGTCGAACTGGCTTCTACAGAATTGCGGTCACGACGTCTGTGTCGTATGAGCTGTCTTCAGACATTACTGGTTTTCTGAAGGGGGACAGGCGTGAACTTACTACTACAAGTGCGTCGTACCTCGGAGGTACGGTACGGTAGGTACTCGTGCTCGTACCGTACGGTACATATTGTACAACAAGTTTGTTTTCAGATTGGGGGGGCGGACGACAGTAGTGATTGGTTATGATCCTACCGTACAGTACAAGTACTGAATTATTATTTTTTGTCTCTCCCCCAAAAGGAAGCTTGCTCGCGTTTGTAGGACTGAGCAGTCGTTACTAGAAAAACGATCCGCGCGTGCCGAGAAAAATACGTTTACTCACTTTTAATTTAGTAGGAAAGGCGAAGTCCGAAACACATAGCAATAAAACGCTGGAGAAAGGCCGCAAACACAAGAACCAGAAAACGTGTTCGCTGTTTCGAAATCCCACTCTAACGATTGCAGCACCCACAATATTCATTTCGAATGAAATTTCACCAGCAATGGATTCTACGGTCGGGAAATACGGGGAAGCAATCTCGTCTGTGTTTAGTACTCCGGATACTCCGGAGAAGGGGAAAAAGAGCATCGCACAATCGAAGGCGCTCGCTAACATTCACGGGGAACAGCTCAACTTTGAAACCCCACCACGATGCGGCGAAGAAGAAATGGACGAGGGCCGTGATTCAAATAGTGTCGATGTCGGCGAGGTGATCTCTCGTCCGAGACAGGTCGAAGGCAACGGGGCAGTTGAATCGGCGCAAGAGCGTGCTCTGCGTGAAGAGCAGGAATCTCTCGAACTCGCACGAGCCCTGATGGCCGAAGAGGCGATGGCATCCTATACACAATCTCTAGATTACTTAACGAACAACCAGGACCAGTTTTCTGATGAAGACCTAGCCGCCTTGCAAGCCGTCATGAACGAAGAACAGCACCAACACGAACTAGAGATAAACGCAGACGCCGAGGCAGCTATTGACGGGGATGATAACGGTGATTCATATGAATTCATGCTGCGTCTTGGAGAGCGCATGGGTGATGTCAAATCGGAACGCTGGGCACAAGTGGCGCAAAAGAAAATCGACGGGTTACCGATTGTTGTGTTTGACCCCGAAAACTGCAGCAACAAGAAGGATGCAAATGATTGCGACATCAAGTGTTTGGTATGTCAAGAAGAATATTGTAAGGCTGAGCGCCTACGAAAGCTACCATGTGGGCATTGCTTCCATGTGGAATGCATTGACCAATGGCTGCTGTCAAAGGACTTCTGTCCATACTGCCGTACCACGTTGGAAAAAGAGTAAGGATTGTTCGACACATGTTTCCACCATGGGTGCACACCAGAGATATTCAAAGAAAAGCTTTTTCTTGACCAAATCAACGCACGCGCAAACACCCACAGACATGAAAATACTCACATAAAAACACATTCCCAAATTTTAGCTAAAATCACCTTCGATTTAAACATATCTTTCTATTTAGGCTGCGGCTACTACGAAATTCAACAACCAGAAATGAAAACGACGTCGATCGTTTCTCTAATAGCATATCAGTACCATTTAGTATCAATTTTCAACTGCTCTTTCCTAGGTTTCCTACAATGGGATATCCCTTTTTGACTTCGAAGGTTTTGATCCAGTCGTCAAGGACTTTTTTCTGCTTCTCCTCCAGGTCGTCCGTGTTGGTGTTCTCTAAATCCTCCGGGCTGAAACTCATTTTTGCAAGTGCTCTGGAAATGTCTCGTCCTGCGAATTTATTGTAGCCACCCGCTGGTCCTGTTGACCCAATAGGAAAGAAAAAAATTCACGGCAGAATCGAAAAACGAACCGAAACAATCCAAAAACAATGTTTGAGAATAATACATTGGTTTTCTTTTTGGAAATCATCCGTACATTTCATTGATCGACAATAAAAACTCAGTGAAGAGCACCCAATACGCACCGTAAAACTCAACCCCGCCAAAAGACGCATCGAATACCTTGTTCCCCGCACCAATATAGATCGGAACCGCTGCGTACCCCTCGGGGATTTCTTCTGCATCTCCCATGTGCTTGGCCAAATCCTCTTTTGTTAGGGTTCGACTCTTCAGTGGATCCAGAATGTCATCGGGGACCAACCGGCCCTTGATGGGGTACTTTCTGTAATAGGTAAATTTGTTGATCCAGTTCTCAAGCTCGTCCTTTTCTCCGTAGTTGAGATCCTTGCACCCAGCAAGATTGTTGAGGTGCTCAGAGTCGAAACTCATCTTCGCCAGGGCAACCCCACACTCCTTTCCGGCAAACGCTGCGTAGGGGCCGTCCGGGCCGTAAAAGTTTCGGCCCTGCGAAACATCGAAGACGATGCCGTTGATCGAAAGATAGACCGGCTTGTCTTCCCCAGTCCGTTCGTCGGGTTCTCCGTTGAAGTGCACAAGCTGCAGCGAGGTAAAATTTCGGGGAGGATCGGGCTCCTCTTCTTCATCCTCCTCGACCTGGGAGGATTTTTTGAAGGGTTCGCTCGAATTATTCATGAATCTGTATCCTATGTATGCAAGCAAGAAAATAAAGACGTACTGAATAACAGATCACTGTGAGAAGGATTGAGCAAAAATTGATTCTAGCAAGCAAGAAACGGAGACACCGACGCAAGTCTTCGCAATTTTGTGATTTTAAACAAGATTTCAACATCGCCCATATGAAATATCTTGTTTCTATCAACCATAGAATAGAACAGGTTCGTTCCATAAATTACACCTCAACAAAGACTTACTCCCGAACTCCCGTGAACACCAATGAGGTTGTCGATCCACTGCGAAATGCCGCTAACAAGTCCGTCTGCTACCATTATTTAATGGAATACTTCTAGCTTGTCAAAGTGAAGCGTGAAGTATTAAACTAGATAGTCTCCTGCTATCAAGTCTCTCGACACACAGAATTATTCTGACCACTATTTTTGTCGCGGTTTCCGTGCATCCACTTCATCGATGATCTTCGTCATCCATCAACAAACCGCATGCTCTCTGAAAATCTTCTGGCAAATGTGCGCAATTTTTTCGTTCTGGTGCAGTACCGTACCCGGCGGTACGTACGGTACGGTACTACTTTCCATTGAAGTGGATTGCTAATTGCTACATACAGTACATTGGATCCATAGCTACCAAGGTATAACTTGCTGTAGCACTTCGAACAAACATCGCAAGACACCCAAGTTGATCATGGACATGCAGACGACGTGACAATTTCTTTTTTCTGCTCTTAGAGAGGCTATTAGTCTTTGGTTCATGCTTCTAGCTGTAAGCTGTATGGTACTTGACTTGTAAGGTACAAGTACTCTCTAGTAGAGAGGGTTTCTTGACGGTAGGCATTCAGAGTAGAATATGTAGTCGTGTGTAGAATGAAAACTTGTATTACAAAAAAGATTCCGTAGACTATTAGCACTACTTTGATATTCTATGAGCGCTGAAATATTCATTCCTTCATTCCATGATAACGGATTGTGGTTTTCGTATACCTTACATGCTCTACCCAGCTTGCGTTCTGTGGATGCTAGTTTCAACTTTCTAGGTCATAGTACCTGTTGGCTTCGCTCCATCTCCATCGAGGTTTCCCATTTCTACCGAACCATGCTCCACACGATCCGATAGGATTTTCTTTTCGGCTTCGAGTATTTTTTGGTCACCGGTGATTTCGGCAAAATGCACCGTCATATCCTCCAAACTACGGCCTTTTGTCTCGGGCAACAAAAGGAAAACGAACACAAAGACGACGAGGCACACAGCAGCAATCAATATAAAAAACGGAGCCCAGCCAATGGCGTTCGCGGTCGATAGGAAGGTGGACGCCATCAACGTCGCAACGATTCTGTTGGAGAGAGTAGCGAGCGACATGGCCTTCGCTCGGATGCTGGTTGGGAAGACCTCGGACGGGATCAGCCAAGCGACCGGACCCATTCCGACGCTAAAAAAGGACAGGTACAAGCAGAGTCCCACGATTGCAAAGATCGACGTGTTGTTTCCAATGAAGGAAAAGCTGGTCAAAATGGAAGCTCCAGCCATGCCTGAAACATTCGTTAGTGAGATGACGATTCAAAGCAGAGGAGTAAGACCACCAATGCACGATCGACGAACGAGGAAACCACCACCACCACCACCACCAGCACGTACCGAGAAGCGAAATGTAGAGCATTTTTTTGCGTCCTTGGTTGTCCAAGAGTTTTGCTCCCACGCCTACAAAGAGAAGTTTCAAAAAACCAAGCGCAATCAAACCACCGAGTTGTCCCTTTTCGGATTCGATGCCCGACTGTTCGAGAACGTCCAGAAGATAGTACTGAATGGCATCGATGCCAACCGCCTGCTGGGCCACAGCAATTCCCACGCCCACAATGAGCATTCTCCTAATCGCGGGCGACGGAACCAAGATCATTTTCCATCCAATTTGTTGCTCCGCAATTCGTTCTCGTTCCAATCCTTCTTGAATATCCCGTGCCACGGGATTGATATCAAAATCTGCACAGAAAAAAACAAGTTCAGACCAGGTCGGATTGGCTAGGCCACAGCTGCTACTATGGTTGGGTTGTGGTTCGATCCGAAACATCGAGTCTTCTGCCCGGATCCAGACACAAAGACAAAGACAAGCACGTACCTTYCGGATAGATCTTTCGAAGAACCGTTTTCGCTTCCTCGAGTTCCCCCTTGCTCACCAGCCAGCGCGGAGACTCGGCCATGACAAACTGGCTGGCAAAGATGACGACGATTGGAAGGATCGCACCCATCGCAAACATCAAGCGCCACTCGAGGCTGTTGTTTACTTCATAGAACACCAAACCCGAGAGAAATCCCAAAACAATACCGACGTTGATGGCCATCTCCGACCAGGTGACCAGCTCGCCACGCAGTTTGGCAGGTGTCATCTCGGCGATGTACAGCGGGTCGATCTGAGTGAAGAAAGCAACGGAAAGAACAATCCATGAGAGTTAGAATCGATCCATCGTTTGGAACTGTTGTTTCGAAAGAAAGAGAGAAAATGCTTCATCGACCGCTGCCAAAAAACGACTACAAAACAAACATGCGTACCGCCAGTCCGAACCCGACTCCGATCCCAAGAAAGGAACTGCAACACGGGAAACGACACAAAACAATCGGGTGAGTGGGACGCGAATGCTGCACGAGTTTTTTTTTCATCTAGGAGGCACACGACGTTTTGCTCCGGGCGCCTTTCACAACCAACCAAACACCACCCCGCCGACGCCACGCCACGCCACGCCACACACGTACCGCCCGACCATCAGCGCGGCAAAGGTGTTTGCGGTCGACATGATGCCTATCCCGATGATAAATATGACGGCGGCTACCTGGAAGGACCGGCGCCTTCCGTAGGTGTCGCTGATCCGGTGCGAAAAGAGGGATCCGAAGATGCTCCAGAAGTTGAGGCTCCCGACAAAGAGTTCCCGCTGGACGTCCGTCAGGCCCATGTCGTCCTGGATGAGACCCCCCGCATTGGTGCTGACACCGATGTCGTATCCGAGGTTGCACGAGTTCAGGGCGGCGCACAGGGCAAAGATCTTCGTCGATCGCGTAAGGCCGACGCTGCCTCGGGTCTCGTCCCCCGTGTGGCTCTGGTAGGGTTCGGTCGCGCCGATGCCGCTGCTCAGCGACGTCGAGGTCTGGGACATGCTGGATGCGTTCCGTTTCGTTTCGTGTGGTTGCTGCGCACGGTGTGCGATCCTCTCGGAGACGGATGGTTTGGTTTGGTTTGGTTTCGTGCCTTGCCCTCGTTTGTTGCTGGCTTCAGTTTCCTGACGTAGTGGTAGCGCACCGTACGCAGTGTACAGGACAGAGAGAGGATGAAACAGAATATCCGTTGACGAGAACGATGGAGTTCGAACTGGTAGCATTCCTCCTAGAAGTAGTACCTAAGTACGAGTCGTCGTCTTACCGTGCTCGATGCTCGACCCGTACCGTACTTTACAGGTAGAAGGGATCTTTTTAGAAGGGTCATTCATATAAAAATGACGATGACCATCACGGACATATCCGTAGAGTTTTTACCTTAGAGAGATACAAAGGCTTACTTGTAAAATAAAGTCCAATTTGCTTCTGTTGGGAAACACGCCCTCTCCCTTCTTTCCAAAACTTCCGTCAAAGACGACATGTTTTGATTTTTGAGAAGGCTTTTCCGGCCAGTCCGGATTGAACCACATCCTACTCGTACGTACGATAGATACTAGACTAGAGAGTTCTACTGAACTACCTCCTACCGGTACCATCGAACGGTACGGTACAGCACTACCCTAGATTAGTGCGCGACGGCGTTCTTTTTAAGTGACATGGAGAACAAAACGAGTGAATACATATTACAGTATTGCCCCTAAAGTAGAGAAGCTCATTCTACACCCATGATTATTGCATCCAACACCAAAAACATACGTTCTTTGTTTTAATAGTTTCCGGTACAGTCCGTACTACAGTAACACCGTACGTACGGTACTTGTTCATTCTCTTCCTGTTTTCCCACCCAGTCATTGGGAAATTCGGGGGACTGCGATACTTATCGTACCGCACGGTACGTACGAGTAGTACTCTTGCGTGACGCACTGTGAGTTTCTGTACTGTATCGTTCGAAGCGAAGAATGTGCAATAATGCCGTAGCTTACGTACCGTGATGTTCGTTTGGTACAGCACATTGTTGTGTTATTCGTACTTGCGGTACTCGTAGTTACAGTTCTACATATTCTGCATAACAGACCTGTACAGTACAGTACGTACGACACGCTTGAAGCCAATCGAACCTGCCTGCTCAACACGAAGAGAAAGACAAAACTAAAAACCAACACGAACACAGACACAGACACAAACGGAAACGCATACGCATACGCATACGCAAACACGAACCAACCAACGAACCCACCAACGAACCCACCAACGAACCCACCAACCGTTTAAAGTATTTGTCAGGGCCCAGACGGTCGAGAGCAATGGGTCCCGAGAGACCGCCACCCCTAGAATGAAGAAACGCCTCGACACCACCGCGACGACAACGAGGACCACCACCGGAGCAAGGATCCCCACGACCATTACGGTTCCCGAAACGGCGGGGCAGCGGGCGCACGGTGTTCCCCCGAACTCCCTTGCGGGGAACCTTGCGCACCGCCACGGCGCCACTTCCGATCCGGTCCGGACCCCTCGCGGCGGACCGGACGGAGCCCCGCTCCACGGGGGGGAAGGGAACCTGCCGGGCCGGACCCCACCGTGGGCTCCCGGCCCGGTCGACCCCTGGAGCCCGGACCGGTTGTCCGCCTCGGGGGCCAGCCTGGCCAGCTTCTCGCTCGAGGGCGTCGCCAATGACGGCGGAAACGGGATTGGCGATGGAATTGGCAACGGCAACAGTGGCAACGGAAACAGTGGCAACGGAAACGGCGAAGGGATGGAGCCCCACCGCGGGCACGGGCAGGAACCACCACGCACGGAAACCACCGCCGCTGCCGCCGGCAACACGGGAGCTCTTCCGGGGAGGGTGGGAAGCCAGAACCTCGTCCCCTCCGGATCCGTGGCGCTGCCGCTCCGGCCCGAACCCATCCCCCCGCAGCGACACGGGTTGGCGGCCCGCGACGAGGTCATCGAGCTGCTGGACGACGACGACGACGGGGAGAACGCGGGGAACGGGCACGCCGTTGCGGCGGGGACGGAGAGGACGACCGGGTTCAAGCGCCCGCGGCCGAACGGGCACGGGGGCCACGGGCCTCCCCACCACCACCACTACAGCAGCGGGAATGGCGCCGGCCCACACCACCCGTACGCGGCCTTCCAGCGCGGCCTCCCGGAGCGCCCGAGGGTGTCCGAGCCCCTCTTTGTGGTCCCGCCCCCGAGACACTCGCCGACCTGGGAGTTCCCCCTGCCCTCGCTCCCCGTCCAGCCGACCCAGTCGCACTCGCAGCACAAGCACTTTGAGCTCTCCCTGCTCAACGTCTCCGAGTTTACCATCACCGGCCTCCCCCTGTCCCTCGACGGGAGGCCCTCGTCCGTTCTGGGCTTTCGAAAGATCATCAAGGAGGTCTCCCGGGGCCACGGCAAGTGCGTCTTTGAGCGGGACCACAGGGCCGACCGGCCGCCGAGCGGGGGCGGAAGGAGCCCCCCGAGCGAGGGCGAGCAGGGTGCCCTCGGGGACCCCCAGAACAACCCCGACGGAGGAAAATGGAGGATTCCACTGGTAGGTTTTGGGTGTGGTTTGGATTTGGATTTGGATTTGGATTTGGATTTGGATTTGGATCCGAAGGAATCCATCGATCGAGAATCCATGCACGCATGCGTCGCGATGCGATGCGATGCGTGGCGTGGTGTGGTTTGGTTTGGTGGCCCGTTTGTGTGTTTGTGCTTGTGTGTTTGTGCCCGCATTCTTGCCGAGGACAGACATGCACTCACACAAACGCACAACCGTGAACGGTGCGATGCACCAGAGGGACCCGGCGTTTTGAATTCTTGTCTCTCACACGGCGTCTGCTTTGTGTTGTGCCTGCAAAATCAAACCGAACCGGATCGACACACGCTCGCGGGTTGGTTCTTGCAGGGTGCCTATCGCGCGTTTTACTCCTACCTCAGGAACGACGGCATGTGCCGGGTGGTGGGCATCCCGGAGGACCAGCTGAAGATCGCCTCGCTGGGGAAGGCGAGGCTCGACAAGGGCTACCCGTCGGCGCAGAAGGTCATCTCCTACGGGGTCCCGAGGGGCCTCGCCACGGCCCTGGCGCCCTTTCAGCGCGGGGGGGTGGAATTCGTGGTCGAGAAGGAGGGGAGGGCGCTGATTGCGGACGGTGCGTGCTGTGTCGCCTTGCCTTGCGTTTCGGTTTGCTGTGCTGTCCTGTCTGGGTTGTGCTGTGCTGTGCTGTGTGGATCGATGCGTATTGTGTCGTGCCGTGCTGTTTGGTTTGCCTTGCTTCCCCTGCAGGGCCGGGATGGTTTGCTCTAGTGCACCAACACGGTTTGCTGACGACGGCGCGTTGGTGTTTCTCCTTACATTCTCAGATATGGGCCTGGGGAAAACGATCCAGTCGATTGCAAGCATGAGCGTCTACCACGACGAGTGGCCGCTCCTCATTCTGACGCCGTCCACCGCAAGGTACCACTGGGCCGCCGAGTTTATGAATTGGCTGGGGTCGGAGAGCTCCGTCAACCAAGGGCGGGCTGCGGGTGCGGGCAACGGGGGCACTGCGGATCCCGACAACGACAAAGCCGAAGGCGAAGATTGCGCCATAACGCACCCGCCCAGGGCACCGATGCGGCTGCTCAAGGAATCCGAGATCCACGTCCTGGTGGCGGGAAAGGAGAAGGTCTTTCCGACCAGCGACGTGAGGATAGTGATATGCTCGTACGGCCTGGCAACCTCTCTCATCGAGTCGAAAAAAATATTTCCGGGGCTGTTCAAGTGCGCCATCGTCGACGAAAGGTAAGCACCGGTCTCGCGCAGACGAAGCGGAGTGGCAGAGCGGAGCGTTTGCGCTCAATTCGATTCGATTCGACTGTTCGGCTGACACTCGGGAGCTTTTTGTTTCTGATCTTTCCCGCCCAGCCACATGCTCAAAAACATTAAAACAAAGAGAACCAAAATGTTGATACCCATCCTCCACGCTACCAACAGGTGCGTTCTGCTCTCTGGAACGCCCGCCCTGGCCCGACCAACCGAGCTGTGGCCCCAGCTCAAGATCCTCAGCACGGAACGCGACGGCTGGTGGGACGACGAGGACGATTTTGTGAGAAAATACGTCCAGACAAGCTCCGCCATACGCCGTGCCGAGCTGCACACCATGCTGACCGGAACGGTGATGATCCGGCGGCTGAAGCACGAGATTCTCAAGTCTCTGCCTAACAAGCAACGAGAAAGGGCGATCGTCGACGTCTTGACCCCTCCCATGCGGGAGGATTTTCGCCGATACATGGAACTCCTGAGACAGGGCAAGGGTGTCATGGCAAAAATCGCAAAGAAACGGAACAAACAAAACCCAAATACAAATCATCCAGATCCAAACCCAAGCAATCAGATCGAAGCAAAGAGGGAAAAAATCGCATTGCTCAATATTGAGTACAACGAAATATATAGAAAGAAGCTGCAAGACATAGAAGCCGTGGTTCGAACCGTGCGTATGACCGACGAAGAGAAACAGCACCTGATGGGCAAATACGAAACCGAGGTAAAGAACGAAGTGGATGCCTGGTACACGGAACGCGCCAACGAAATCCGTGACGCACAACCGGCCGAAGCCGAGAACAAGAATCTGGACAGAAAGTCGATTCTCAACAAAATGTACGCCATGACGGCGGAAGCCAAAACCCCGTTGATTGCCGAAATGGTCGGCAAGTGGCTGGACGATCCAACCAAGGGAAAGCTGTGCGTCTTTGCCCACCACATCAAAGTCCTCGACGAAATCATCAACCGTGTGGGCCTTTCCAACAAATCGGGGAGCAAAAAGCGCTTCATCCGGATCGATGGTTCTACCTCCCCGAAAGAACGCCAGTCCCAGATTGTAGCTTTTCAAAACGATCCGGAAGTCCGGATCGCCGTTCTAGGAATAACCGCAGCGGGAGTGGCCGTCACACTAACCGCATCGTCGACGGTCTGGTTTGCAGAACTCTTCTGGACTCCGGCATTGATGATTCAGGCAGAAGGTACGTCGATAGAATCATAAACGCGGAACGCTCTTACGACGAATATAACTCACTGGTGTCTTGTTCGACTTGCAAAAGATCGCTGCCATCGCATCGGTCAGAATGCCACGGTCAGGTGTTTGTACTTTGTTGCGTCCGGGACTCTGGATGTATTATTGTGGGATTTGCTAGAGAAAAAATTCCAGGATCTTGGGGAGTTTGTCGAAGGAAGAGAGAAGATGAAAATTGTAGTCAAGAAAACTTATGGATCAATCGAAGAATTTCGGTCGATTTTTGATAGGGCCAGTGACGATGATCTCGACGACGTGAAGTTGGGAGAAAACGAAAATCTCACAAATTCAGAGGACCTGAGCAAGCTCGAAAACGATCTGCGAAACGACATTGTACAACTTGCGGAAGAAGAGATGAGGCTGGTGTCTCACGGAGAGGACGAAGAAGGCACCGACACGAAGATCGGGGGAAACGCATTGCAAAAGAAAAGCGCTCCCGCAGCCAAGTCGGGTCTTGGACAGACCGAGGACGAGGCCATATGCCTATCCGACGACGAAGACGAAAATCCACCGCAAAACCAAGATGCGAGTGCCGCTGTTCCGTCCGAGCAAGCCCAACCTAACGAAAACGGTTTCCAGTATTCAAGGATGAGACCGTTGAAAAAATGCCGCATTTACAAACAATATTTTGAGGGGTCTACCTTTGGGATACAGCTCTTGTACGTCGATCATCGTCTAACGATCGCCAGGAACAATGTTGGAAAGATAAAACCTTCCGTCGGAGATGTTCTGGTCGCCGTCAATGGCAACAGACTGCCTTTTGGTTGTCGGCTAGACCAGGTCTGTAGATACATGAAGGCACAATTAAACCATGGCGCGGTAGAGCTCACATTTATAGAGGACGAACCATTCGTGAAATATCGCATGTCTGACATCATAAAGGCACGCGATTTGATCTGCAACCCAAAAGAATTCCACAACAAGAAACCGGAGGACGACGTCATTGAACTTGTTGACGACGACTAAGCAAGGCAATTGGTACGGGCCGTGACGATCGGGGAGGGTTACGAGTGAAAGAATTTTCATCCTTCGTATGTTGATTCTTGTAGTCATAGCAACGCAGCGGATAACTTTAAGGAATTTCGATCTTCCACACTTGTGAGGTACCCTGAGAATAAATCTCTAATCCTTTTCTTTATGTTTATCATGATTTTGACACTACAATAGTCCTCCCAAAATAGCTGATTTGGTTGCTCTCGTGCCCTCTTGCACGGGCTTCCTTTGACGGTGTTTGTGTCGTTTTTCGCCCCCCGTCTTCTTGTCTTTGGTACTGCTGACCGTAAAAGATTCGTCGCCTCGCTTTCTCTTTCGCTCTTCGATCTTGTCTAGCTTCTTGCCCGTCTCAACCATTTCTACATACGCCGCATTTTCACGACGGGCTTGCATCATCTCCACCCTTAGTTTTTGCTCTCGCACTCTTCGCTCGTATGCTACTTTTTCGGTTAGGTGCGACCATTTGAATTTATGGAGATACTTGAGATTCCATAGTGTTCCTTGGATACCAAGATACCAAACAAAACAATTTATTGTTAGCAAATGTCATGAAATAGAACGACAATTGGATACATGATTGCACTTGCGATGCCATATTCTCTCAAAGCATCGAACAGCGACAAACACAACGTACCAAAGTGAGGGTTGCGCTTGTGATTCGAAATTGGCGTCAGGTTGAGCGATTCGGCAATGTGTTTTGCCTTTCGCTTGCTGGCAAATTCTACCCATCCCTCTATATACCGCTTTCCTCCAGAATTTCCGTATTCTTTCTTCCGCCGCTTTCTCACGCTTGCATCTTCTTCTTGTAGAAAGACCCTCGTCACCTCCGCAAAATCTGACAACAGTGACTTGATTTTTGTCGGTGTCATTCTGGGGGGAACACGGGCCACGTAAATAACCCCACGCCTTTTTAGCTTCTTGTTGAAGTCTTCAGTCTCCGTTAGCGAGAGCCTGTGAATCTTCTTTGGCTTTTTGATTGTTTCTGATTCCTCGTTGCGCTCGCTTTCGACCGATGAACCGGAATCGGGCTCGCCGGTGCTAGTTTCGCTTCCCGAGTGCTCATCGTCTGAAGGAGCCATCGTGAAATACTGGAAAACAAATCGATCGGTCTCGGTTGTATTGCTCTCTCAAATTGATTCGTTTTTCTTTGGTTGGTGTGGACGCGAGTGGATTAGAAGTGTGAACTTAAGTTATACTGTGTGAAAGCAACTTCCAACGCTTTTGAGTTATGACATTAGATTCCAGCATGTTCGAATGGGGGGAAACCAGTGATTTATTGTGTTTTCTTTTTCGCTAAGAAAAATCTCACAACGCGCTGATTTTGTTTTTCTACTGCCACTTTTTCTCGTCCATCTTCGAATGGCAGAAGCAATTTCAGTGCCTGACCTTCGCCCGTCTAAGTTGGAAACGAAAAACGAAAGGTACAAGTACAAATAGTATGCACAATAGCACATACACATACCTATCATACTACCTATTTTTTATTTTTTCCAGTCGAAGCGACACGAACGTGTTGTTTCATGCATGTTGTCTCAGATGTCACTGTTACCCCAACAATCTCTAGATCCGATCCGATCCAATCCAATTCGAGAAGAGCATCGTCATCAAGCTTATCTTACGGAGTGCCATTGATACCAAGCACCAGTGATCCCCATCCCGGAACACTGTCCAAAGCACCGCCCACAATAGCAGATAGTTCGTTGGTGGATACTCGCCACACGAATTTCGAAAAGATGACCGACGCGAAGGATCTTCAGAAGTCGTTCCAGGCGCTGGGAATTCCAAAATCCCATGCGACGGTGGGGTTGACCAATTTGGTTGCGTCTACGAAACAGTACAGGTCGTTGTTCATCCACCGCAGACTCCCCGACTGTGGGTGGTCTGACGTCCAGATCCAGAGCCTGTTGTTCTTGTTTTCGACCCTCGACACCAACAACAAGACACTCGCCACCGGCAGCGGAAGCAGCGAGGAAGAGGTCCGGTGGTGCGGCGTTGGGGAACGGGAAGGCCGGGTGTATTCGTCACTGGTGGCCCACAGGCACTTTGGGCTGAGCCACGGAATGGGAAGGAGTGGAGACATCACTGAGCCGCAACCAAAAGCGGCTGGATCCAGTGTCCTCGTGAAACTCGCGCTCCACCTGACCCTGGACGCACTGCGGCGGGGGGGTGGGCTGGACGCCAAGGGGGCCGCGGCCCACGGGATTCTGTTGCCCCTGTGCACCGGCATGAGCATGTCGCTCCTGTTGGGGAGCCTCCGCTCGGCGGCAACGGCGGAAAATGAGAAAAACGACGACGGAGAACCGATCCGAAAGGACGTTGTCCTCTGGAGTCGCATCGACCAAAAAAGTTGTTTCAAAGCAATACATTCCGCGGGGCTTGTGTGCGTAGTGGTGCAGACCAAGGTCGAAGGCGACGAAGTCGTAACGGATATGGATGCCATGGAGGCCGCTCTCAGCGAGTACGGTGAACGGGTCCTGGCGGTGATCACAACGACTTCGTGCTTTGCACCCAGGGTACCAGACGCCGTCGACAAGGTAGCCAAGCTTTGCAAAGCCTCGGGTGTATATCACGTCATAAACAATGCTTACGGTCTCCAGTGTGCCAGGACGAGCAAGCTGATCAACAGGGCGTGCGTCGTTGGACGGGTGGATGCTATTGTTTGCAGCACCGACAAGAACTTTCTGGTACCTGTTGGTAAGCTATTGTGTCGACCGAGCGAATCGTTTGCGCCATTCTTTGGGTTTGGAACACAATGACCATTTGTGCAACGCTGCGGCGCCCCTTTTCCCGTAGTATCAATACGATTCGATCCGTCGATTTGAATTTTCTTACACCCTGCCGTTCTTCATCACCGTTCTCCATGTTATACATTATCGTCGCTTGTCAGGTGGCGCAATCATTGCATCGCCAAACAAAAAGGTGATTGGAGATGTAGGGAAAGTCTATGCGGGACGTGCATCGTCGTCGCCGATTGTTGATTTGTTCATCACGCTTCTTTCGATGGGAATGAACGGATACAAACGATTGCTAAAAGAGCGAACCACCATTCTCGAGACATTTCCCAAAAAACTGCAAGAAATTTCCGAGAAACACGGCGAGCGTCTGCTTTCTTGCCCGGCGAACACGATTAGTTTTGGTTTGACACTGGATGGATTGGCGAGACCAAAACTCGACGACGAGTCGGAAGAGGACTACACCAAATCGATCGGAAAAGAAATTTCCAGCTTCGGAGCAATGCTGTTTAGTAGATGCGTTAGCGGCACCAGAGTTGTTCCACGTTCTCAGTTGAAGATTATGGGCGGCGAAAGTTTCGTAGGTTTTGGTAGTTCGACTTCGCAGTACCCTCACGCATACATGACCGCTGCTTGTGCCATTGGTGTAAGCATACAAGAGGTCGAGGAATTTTACGTTCGACTCGATAAGACTCTCACGGAGTTCGAGACGAAGAAGAAGAAAAAGACAGAAGAGCAATAACTTCACTATAACAAAGTTTTTCGGTTTTCATTCAGTTGTATTTTATTTCATTTAGCTGGCTATGTTACATCGTGTTCGTCTTTTCTCTACTCGGATGCTTCGCCTTCCTCGGCAGCAGCTTCCTCGGCGGGTTCCTCTTCTACGGCGTCGGCGGCTTCGGCGATCTTGGCCTTGACGTAGGCATCTTGTCTCTCCCTGCGCTTCTTAGTGGCCTTGGCATCCTTGGCGAAGTCGGCGGGGACTTCGACTCCGAGCGCCTTCGCTTGTGCTCCGATGCGCTTCACGCTCTTTGCGTAGAAAGAGGCACCCGCATCGTTCAGGAGGAACGGTTCGACTTCCTTGAGAGTCGATTCGAAGTTGTCTTTCGTGAGACCGGCGATCTGCTTTCTGGTTTTGGCGATGGCAGAAGCATTGAGAGAGAGATCAGGGCGCCCAATGGTGGAAGTGGATGTGAATGCGCTTGCGCTAACGAAGGCAGAAGCGACGATTGTTGCACCAATAATTTTCATTTTCAAAATAGATTCGAGTTAATATTAGTACTTGCAGTGCAGATGTGTCGGAACAAAGTTATGGCATTCGGATGGAAAGTGCAAGCCATGATTTTTTCTGTAGTAGTTCAAGGGAAGACGAATCAAGAAATTTTCGCTACCGACAGAGCCAAAAGTGTGATGATTCATAAAGATTCTTCAATCCACGGCTGACTTTTTTTTTCTTGTGGCTTCAAAAGTCTGATGTGGAATGGGAGTCAGTTCAGTCGTTGGGTTTTACGTGCGTACTAGATATTTTTGAGTCACAGTTTAAAGTTGTAGTTCTTGTTTTTAACGAAGATAATTATCATAGAATTCCCCTTCGGTATTAAAAATACGAAAGCCAAACGGGATTCTGGGATATTGTTGGCGATTCTTTTGGCATGCTTGCCAATTTTGATTTTGTTTCAATTTTTTCAATTTCCTCCCCACACCGGTAGCGCACTCCTGTTCTTCCTGAAAACAAGATGCTGAAGGATGATGAAAATTGAGGATAATTTATGATTGTTGTTCCTGCGGTATTACTACTAGTAGTAGCTTCACAGTGTGGTACTATCAATCTGAGCATTGTACTGTTATTAGTAGTACTAGTACTAGAACAAGGATCTCAATAATTTGCATGATGAGGAGGACCACCAATTACATTACTAGTAGTACTACTAGTACTAGTACTAGAAGCGGGTGGTGGTGCACATGTGCAACTTACTGTAATGCTACCAGTAGTAGTAGTAGTAGTAGTAGTAGTAGTAGTAGTAGTAGCTAGTACTAGTAGTAGTAGTAGCTAGTACTACTAGTGGTACCAATTCTTGGTGTAGTACACCCTGACAGAATGCTTAGTAACACCAATACTAATGGTGGTAGCACTATTAAGGCAAATCATGCTGAAAACTTCAGGGAGCAACAATTAGTAGAGCTCTTTAGAATTTGTACTGAAAAAAAACAACGACCCCATCGTTTCTTAGTGCCGCGATCAATTGTTACTGGATTCGTAGTATTCATAGTATCAAAACTCTCTTCTAATTTTTCAATTACTGTAGCGACACAGAAAAGTGATAGACGAGAAGAAATCAGCCAATGTATTGCATCAAAAGTACGAGATACCATACTATTAATAGCATCTTTTTAAATTGTATCTATTCGATTTTTTGTTGTCCGAGTGAGGACGATCAACGGCGCCGATCTCGATGTCTAAAATCTTCATTCGGATAATCATGTTCTTGCGAAAAATTGTAGCTTTGCAAGCGTCGTGAATATTCGTCGCTACCATCAAATGTTCGCCTTCGCCTTTCCTCTCGTCGTGAAGACGAATCATGCCGACGTCGCTTACTTTGACGGTCATCTACGCGGCGATAGTCTTCGGCATCGAAGTGCGAGCGAAAGCTGCGTTCATCCTCTTCATCCAATCGATGACGGTACTCATCTCGGTTCACGTCTCTATCGATGTCTGTGCCTCGGCGCCTGTACTCAGCTTCTGGTCTTCTAGATACATAGGGGTCTGAGTCGTCTACAATCCGCCCATCGTAGTCATAGTATCCCTCGCGCTCGCTGCGACGTCTATCACTGCCGCTCATTCTTCTATCATGAAAATACTCATCACTGTATTGTTCATGTTTCCCTTCTCTACGATATGAAATCCTTCTTGGTGAATAATCAGATGATTTGTTCCGCGACCGCTCAACATTATCTTCATTGTGATAGCTGTCATATTGACGAGAGCGATATACATCGTCTTCATGCTTATAGCGAGAATGATCGCTGTGGCGAGAGCGATATTCATCATCTCCATATTCATCGTGCCCACGACTATCGTAATTTCTGCGTGGGGAGATGTTTTGGTCCGAGTGGTCCACTCGTCGTCGGTCCATAGAGGAGCCTCGTTGTGACAAATTGTTGCTGTCATTCGTCCTTCTAGCAGAATAATCGTTTGTGTCACTTGAATCACGATAGTGGTCACTGCTTCTCCGGACAGAGTACTCATTCGAGTCACGATAAAGCTCTCTTTCACGCCGCTGCTCAATGGAGTACCTGTCATTATATGAGCGTCTCGGATTTACCATGGCTTTAGATAGAGGGGACCGTGACTTGTTTCCATTGTTGATCTCGATTTGATCTCGCTTCACCCTTGTTGTTGGAGGACTGGTGAGGGTTGTTGTTTTGCTCATTTCTGAAAACGTTTTTCTCTTCAAGGGCGAACTGCTGGTACCGGAAATTTCGTGTTTGCGATGATTACTTCTCTCTTTTGTAGCACTTGGGCTAAGAGATAATAGACTTTTCTTCGCTGGGCTTCTAGATTTTTTCTTGACTTTCCCCTCAAGCATAGCCTTTGAGATGAGAGAAGTTCCAACTGACGAAGAAGATTGAGGTTTCTTCGGTATAGCATTCTTCTTTGGAATAACGATTGATGATGATCTTTTGCCCCGTTCTTTTTTGGGGATGGTAAACGCTGACTTCGTCTTTGCAGATAGCTTTGTACAATCGTTTTCAACATCACTGTGCTCAGAACGAACAACATTAGTCTCTTTCTTAAAGGAACTGTCAGAAGAGCTATGATCTGTCACAGTAGATCGTTTCTCAACCCTTTCTTTGTCACTTCCACCATTAGATCTGATATCGGTAATTTCCGTCTCATGTTCCATTTCATGGTTTTCTTCGTCGTCGTCTTCATCTTCAGAACTGATTACGTCAAATAAACCCTCGTCATCGTCATCGTCATCCTCTATTCTAAAATTGGTCTTCCTATTTTCTGTTTTGTTCGTGGTACTTCTAAATTGAACATCTTTCTCGCTTGATTCATTAGACTTCGAAAGTTGCTTTGCAATCCTCTGCTGGTTCTGACTTGCTTTGATTTTCTTTAACTTTTCCAATTTTGAAGCTTTTTCACTCGTTTCTGAAATAGAGGGAAGCTGAATTTTGGTAGGCGCTTTTTGTTTTGACTGAGAAGTGTGCGTGTGCAACGTCGCTATTCGATATGAATGTTCTTCTAACCAAACATCGTTCTTACTCTGAGTTTTCACGAAGTGAAATTGGATCTTTTTTGAGTCCAACGCAACATCTACTACGCTTGCAATGCTCCATTTTTCTTTGCCCGGTCGAAGAATGTCGAAACGATCTAGGAAAAGTTACGAAAGACATAGTTAGAGCCAGAACTTTTGAATGGATTACTTGGGCTCGATAAGGAGTGAGTGTACTTACCTCCAATTTTGAAGTCTTTTATGTCGCGGGATACCTTTGGAAATTGGTCGCTGCATACAACAGGCGACGTACTTTTGTCAACGCCCTTTGGTTTAACACTCCCATCGGCTTCTACACATGCATCTGTTGTCTCGTCCCAAACATCCTCTGGAGCATCGCATGATGGAGGATCTAGACCCCAAATATGGTCAGCGCAGACAAAACTCTTTGAGATAATGTCTATATCCACATGCCATGGTATCTTCCTCCATTTTTTACAGTCTGGTTTTTCGCATTGCACCCAATTACATACAGCTTGTGCAGGGCGTCCATGATCCACACTCGACAGAAGGCCATCTGAGCCACTATTTTCAACGGAGAAAGGATCAGTTCCCAATTGACGCAGTGCATCCATTAAATTGCAGTCGTCTCCAGTGACGAGAAAGTCTAACACAGGTGATCCTATTGGAAGCCAAAATTTGGAAGCTTTTTCGATACTGTCATCATCTTTGTCCACGAAACCTCGTCGTAAATCTTCTGTCCAAGGACTACCTCTCTTGAAAGGATCCTTAAACCATTCAACAAGCTTAGGACGAATATTTGATTGATATTTAGTTCTTGTTCCAGTGGCAGCATTGCTTCCTTTCGTTGTATCTATTGTCCAGCAACCTGACATGGAAGGTAATAGAGCGCAACCAATAATATCAGGTATACCGGGCTTCTGGCCAATACCGGCATTATACCATTGAAGAATCTGCGAAAATATGTAGTCACCTTGATAGTCGACGACAACTTCACTGATAATGTCTTCAGGTTCGCACACACCAGTTCTTTTGACTTCAGTTGAAGGTTTAGCTTTGTTATGATTTTCGTCCGCCATCTCGATATCTTGGTCAGGTTTCTTCAATTCATCTCGATCCATTCCTTCAGATGTTTCCTTTATATCCATTACAGAACGCGGGACGCTATTGCCTACCTCTCTCGCATACACTTCGATGGGGGACGACTGCAAAGATTCATAAGGTACCAGTCGGAAAAAGGTACTTGTCCGTCTGTAGAGGAGCAGCAGATCCGCAGCTTTCTCCATTTTGAATCTTTTGTTGTAGTTGTTCAACCATGGTTCCGATATGTTTGGATCGTTGGAGTCAACTTCACTGTCCGAATCGTCACCTTCAATAGTATCAATCAAACCATTTAAGACAAACTTGATGGCAGATCGGATCTCAGTGTCGCTACATGAAGTAGAAATTTTGCTAATTTTTTCAGCTCGTTGCTTCCGTTTTTCTTCTCTCTCTCTTTTCTCTCTTGCATTCTCTCGAGCGGATGCCCGTAAATTCTTGATGTCTGTGGCCATATCCCGTATCCCATCAAGAAGTGTTGTACGAAACTTCAATAGAGCCTCGTTCAACAATTCCCTCCCTTTTTGAGGTGGCATAGGAAAATCGATATCAGCCCCTTTCTCCCATGGTCTCCCAAACCCAGCTAATGATGTATAATTCGATTCTACATCCTCAAGAGCTGAATTTAACTGCGGGCTGACGCAAACTTCTTGTTTCGCCATTCTCAAAAGAGTTCGGATTATTCCGTTTTCGTGATTCCACATAAATGCAACAACGTGCTCGTCAGACATTATTGCTAGTGGCGAGTGAGCCAGTTCTCGGAGCTCTGCTGGAGAATGAACTTTCTCCGTAGATTTTTCTGATTGTTGCTTTCGCAATAATTCTTCTCTGTGACGGTCCAAAACACGACCAACACGACTAAGAGACTGCGTCAATTGTTGTATCCTTTGTTCCATCGCGGTTACACCCTCTGCATCTGCTGCTTGGAATGATATTTTCTTTGTCTCTAACAGTCCGTCGTTACCTGCGGGCGATTCTTGTGTCTTCGTGTTCGTTGACTTTTTCGGCTCACACGTGTTGTGTTTATTTTTACTGTTTTTCGACTGGGATAACCTTTTTAGTCTCTGTTGCTCAAGGACGGCTTTCTTCTTTCCCCCGTTTTTCTCCCATTCTGCAATCGCTTGTTCCTTCCAGTGTTGCTTCATTTCGTCATCAAAGCTTTTCCATTCAGCAGAAGCTAGCTTCTTCATCTCACGTTCAATTTCCCCACCAGTCATTGACTCGTTTTTGCGTTCCTCCAATAATTGCGATATAAAAGATTCTCGTTTCCGTTGCAAATAGTAGAAGAATGTGGGTTGTGGTTTCGATCCCTTCACCGGTTTGTCGTCAATTGATTTCGGTGCAGCATTTGATTGACTTGCTTCTTTTACATTTGCAACGTTGACCCTCTTCTTTTTATCGTTTGTCCCAGAGTCATCCACACTCTTATGATTACTTATCTGGTTCGAAATCAATGCAATTGGCAAGGCTCGCCGCTCATACTCGATGTAACGCAAAATATCGGCTACATGGGTTCGAAGCCAAATTGGAACAAAGTCCATCGAATCCAACGAGGACCTCTCGAAATCCGAATTTGTTGTCTTTCGTCTGTTTACACTTACTGCGCCAAAAGCAGCAGTCTGAAAACCATGGCGCTCTAAAATCGCTATGTCATCATCTGACATGACTCTTTTTGTGCATCCTTTTATGAGCTGTGCCAGACGCACGGCAATTGGGGAGTTTCGGTTCAAAACTTGCTGATAACAATCTGCAGTAGCGAAATGCAAGAACGAGCCTCTGCAATGGACTTGTCCGCACAAACATACTGCTGCCTGATATTCGTGCAAGGACTCCGTCACAGCATTATAGTCAAACGTTACTTCATCGCCGATCGTTAGCTCACGGAGCGTGGTCATTGCTAACGTTAGCTTGCCATTGACAGCAGCAACCCGAACTTCGCAAGATGGATTACAACTATGAGACAGCATTGATCCATAACCAGACTTCCTTGAAGCGTCAACAAAAAGGAGCCCGTAACCTCTAGGATCCTGTTGAGGTCGTTCCAGAGCCATGTTGTAGAAGTCGGGTAAACGGGGTTTCAGATTGTTTCTCTGTTGAATCAAAGATATCGCATCCATCTTTTCACCCCATCGCCACGATGGATAAACTTCTCCTCGATAGAATGTGACAAGGCGATTGGGTGCAATCTTTGGACTAAGCACGATGGATCCATGACCTTTTGGATGAACACGAAAAAAATCATGACCCATCGATTCGATCGCCTTCCTCAAAATCCGTGCTGCACAGTGTAACCAGGGCGGACCTGTTTCCTCGATCTTTTTTAGCAATGCTTTTCCCAGTAATGTAGTACTCCACAGTTCTGTTGTAGTTGCTTTTCGTTGATTCAAAGAAGATGCGGTATCCAGTGGAAGACCCTCTAAGATTCGAGCTGCGTTTGACAAATTGTATGCCAAATCTACAGGACAAGCATTGATAGCAGGGAGAAGCCATTTTTCGATAAAAACAAGAACAACATCCTTATCAAACTTTGTTCCGAGGCATATCGAAATATTTTTGCGGGTGTAGCAATCCATTCCCCATACTGGTTGCTCTACAATCTCTGGTTGCGACGCATCGGAATCGAGCTGCTTTGATGACACAATTTGTTCTCCAACCTTCTCTATCCCAATTGCCCAGCTTGCACTTCGGAGTTCCTTTTGCTCTAGAACACCATTTTCTGTCATCACACGATCCTGTACTGCAATAAGCAAAGATTGCATGGATGCCATTACTTGGGCTTTAATCACCCCATCGTCAGTTGATAGGGCCCTGGCAGCTTTTTCCTGCTCGTTCTTATCGTCACCTTCGCTTATAATTGTTTTCATCCATCCTTCGCTCTGACCGGTGTCGTTATAGGTGTAAGAAAGACCGATGAAACTATCCTTCAAATTTGTTTGTAATTCATAAGTCGCAATGCGTTCATCAAGTTCGGAGAGACCAGCACAAACGGCATCGGTTGTAAGCCGTTCGTACTGTCGTTCGGGAAAAGCTGTAATTGTCACCCGATGATACACGAGACAAAGAATTGAAAGCATTGCGAAATTGGGATATGAGGAAAAAAATTCGATATAACCAACTCGACAGAATGCTCTATTGTGGACTGGGACAGCTACAGCTACAACCGAGTAGCTTACCTCTTTTCCTCCAGCCCTTGCCCTGCATTGCGGCTTCTTTGTTTTCCGTAGCTTCCATAATTTTCGAAAACCGAAGGGCGTCGTTTGACACTTCCATCTCCTGAACTTGGCGCCGTCCAGTTTTTTCGTATATTTGTTCCATCGAAGATTTTATTTTCTCGGCGGAATTGCTCAGCGTACCTGGGGTTCCGTCGTCAAAGTTCCCCTTATTTCGTTCGACCGCGGCGTTGCACATCCCAATAACATCGTCGCGGAACAGTTCCCAATTGATTCCGAATGGATGTTGCTGTGAAAAATTGGACGACCCCTTCTTGGTTGCATCCGAAGCATCGACTGTTGTCCCATCCGCGTGAAAATTTTCTTCGGCTTCCGTCAGGCGTTGCCGGTCGATGATGTATCTGTTTTGCTCCAACCGCTTTCTCAGCACGATAAAATTATACGGAGGGTGGTTGGGAAACAAAACCGAAGCTGATTTCCCCTCCTTGTCGCTCGGGACTTCGGTTGACGACGACGGTGGCGACGGTGGCTGCATGTGCATGTCGTCTGGTATTTGTTTTTTCTCAGTTGTCGTGGGGCTTGCTGCCGAACTCTCGTTTTCTGATACAGGATCTTGTCTATCGTAGCATTCGTCGAACTCCGGCGGAATATCGTGCTCCGAAAAAAATAAGTAAACGTCCAATTTTTCCAACCTATTGAGGCATCTCTCGAATTCTCTGCGGTGCTTTTCGAACATTCCAATACCGGTACCGTTGGTCGTGTTGTTGCGATTGGTTGACGACGTTGTGGCTGATATTGTCACTTTTCCCCGCTTTCTGTTGTTGCCGATACTTTTTGTAGCTGCTACCTTGCCACCAGTAGCTGTTGTTTTCTTTTTCTTCATTCCCGACGATGACGACGCATTCTTGGCATTTTTGTCGTTCTTTTTTTCTTCTTTCGGTGGGTTCTGCTTTCGTTTCCGTCGTTGTCGAGAATCGCCCGTCATTCCTTCCTCGAATGCTGTCGTGTATAGTAGTTCGCATCTCGGAACACCGTTTAGTTTCCCTCCCAGAACAAGCTCAATGTCGTACAAATAGGCGTGCCCGTTCTGTTCCAAACCTGCGGACCAATCTGGGTTCAAATGGGACCGCACAACGCGTGACAGGTCCCCCTTGTGATCATTTAATTTGCCCTTTTGGCTGTTTAAAAAAATAGAAAGGACCGCAGCGAGGACCGATCAAGTAAAAAGCATTGAATCAGCCAATCAGCTAAAATTAAAGTTCATCGCAACGTTTCGTCGACACGCAAGCCCATCGAAAGAGAACAAATAAATCTATACTTACATTCCAAGGATCCGAGCAAGGTCGCCACGCCTTAGTATTCGATCTTTCCCCTCCCACTGTACTGGTGTGCTGCTATCGCCTGTTCCTTCCTCCATTTTAATAAACTGGTGGTGTTTCGGTCTCCATGCATCTACACTGTCGTAGCTGTTGACAGCGAGAAGTATGTATTCTGGTCACGACGTAGTAATGTATTGGCCTGGAGTGTGAACTGTTGGGTGCGCAAACTTCACAACATTTCCGTCTTTGGAAAACAAAAACACCTTTCATGTACAGCTCGTACTCGTACGGTAGTAAGTACTTACTGTAGATTACAACGAAATACGGAGGAACGTCGTTTCGATGATTAGTACAGTATGGTACGTACGGTACGAAGAAAGGTTTTTAACCTTTCCATTCCATCTCGTTAATTAATGGCGCGCGTCTTTTTTGTCGCAAAATAAGTGAGAGAGCAGATCAAAATGCCCAGTATGTGCCTACCGTACATTACGGTCGCCGGTACGTACGGTACGTAAAGTTTCTGAAAAATTCTCGACCCCTTCGACTAGGTGCGTATTGGTTTTTGATGAGCAGTTCATACGAGTCGAGTACAGTACTAATGGTAATCAGAACGATACTATCGAAGGCTCTCCGATTCGTCGGTAAGATAACGGTCTGGGCTTTGATTGCATTGGGGTTCACTACTCCGTCTGCTAGAATTTTGGGAATTCTCGCTTCTGTCGCTCATGATGTTTCCTGGTGTGTCTCCTTTTCGAAAAAAGAATCTGAGCACTGGTTGCAACATTGTTGGCAGCCATCCATAGAAATCCGATGCATATTTCTCCTGACGGAATGCATCGCAAGGAGTACGCGTGGTGTGAAGAATGTGAATGATGAAAGCACTATTTCACAATGTGAAAGCACTTGTCCACGCAACAAAATGAACCTTTTGGTACGGACAATAGATTTCACTGCACTCTTCTACCTAAATGAAATCACGGTTAGTTCATGTGCTGCGTTTCGTTCGACTCATCACAGACAGTGCTTCTATTAGTGTTATTGTTTTGCCTCGTTCTCTCTGATTATTGTAGCAAGTGCCAATCGACGAATCCTTCTACATTCAGTCCTTTTTTATTGTCAAAAAGATTGGCTTCAGATTTGTACTCTTAGTGAATTACTACCAAAAATGGAAGAACCAATCAAGCCTCCCCAACATACTATTGAAGACGATTCGTCAGCAAAGCAATTTCATCGAATCCAACACGTCAATTTCAGCATTAACTCCTTGCTTGCTCATGATAGACATCATCTTGCGAACAACAAACAGCGAGAATCACCTGCTCAACTGCGTGTATGGAAAGTTTTCCTCAATAGCATCCATTTTTCCGAATAGAACAAAATACCACATGACACTACGCTGCGATGCACTGTAATGTGGTTCTTCTCCCACTCCTCTCTCTCATTGTTTCGTTCAAAAATTGATTGCCCGCACGTTGCTTTATTTCTTCCCTCCCTTAATCCGAAAAGAAGGCGACCCAGCATAGGTACAAAATGGGCAGAGACAACACCAAGCTGAATCCGGTCATGGCCGTGAGTTCCATGTTCATGATTTCCTCGTTCTTTGCGTTGAGCGCAAGCATTTCTTCCCGCGTCATGTCACGGGACTCGATGTATGAAAGGTCCTCTTCTTCTTTCTTCTTTCCAAAGACGTTGAGTGCGGTGGACCGGATGGTGGAAGCCGGCACCGTCTGCTTCTGGACGGTGGAGAAGGCATCGGCGCTGTGCGTCAGCGTAGCAACGACTACGAGGAGGGCAAGGAGCAGAGTGGAAGTGCGTGGGAAAGACATCGTTGTTTGGGTGTTTGTTTGTTTGCAAGGGTTGCAATTATGTTATGGCTGTGTCATTCGATTTGCTTGTTCGTACGAGTACGGCTATTCTGCTCAAACAATCGAAGCAAGGGGTGACACTCCCTGACTTGGTTCGCTGGATTGTTCGGATGCTGCACCGTTCAAGAAACAGCGTATCATCGAAGCTGACGTGTGTGTCTACCGTACGTACCGTACATACGTACCATGTCGTCCTCGTACTGAAACAACCGAACAACACTCAGCGCTAAATAATGGTGTCGTCTCGATGATCATTGGCTATTTTTTGTGACTCCGGGTGCCTCGGTCGCGAAGCGCAACATCTTCGACTCCTCGGACTCAATAAAATGTTGGCCCATGATTTTTCCTCGCTACCATGTGGAAGTTCAACACGTCTTCTTTGCTTTGGCCTGTCACGAACCGTGCACGAGTTCTGAGGGGGGCGAGCAGTGATATGATGTTCTACCGTAATCGTAAGTACCAAGTACAAGTACGAGTACCCGCAAAACGGCATGTTCGTTGCTTATGCATGCAGCCACTACGAAGGCCTACCGTACCGTAAAATCAGGGATGGTACTAACGTTCGGTATTGTAGCTTGCAACCTATTCATTCATGCCAGTACCTCCGGTACGGTACTTTACGGTGCAGAACGCATCGTTTGATCGAATTCAAACTTCCGTACCCTCACGGAAAAGAACGAAATACTTCCTGGGAGTTAGCTCTGCTTCGAACCGTATTTATCAAAGCATCTACGAGCGAGGGATTCGAGAACACTAGATGGATTATGAAAATCGCTCATCGTCATCTCTGAAGGAATCCAACAGAACGCAAAACTGCAACACAGAGTCGAGAGCCAGCCTAACGACCCCCCGCAGTCGAACGCAGAAATCCTACCTAACAAAATCTTATTGCATCCAGGCGAACACCAGGATGATCAGGATGCGAACGAACGGGGAACCATCACAGGCGGTGCGAGGACCCGTTTCCAAAGCGCTCCTCGGTTTTGCGGTTGTTGCCGCGATGCTTGCTGGTCACGCCTCCTCTTTCCAGCTCTCGTCCGTCGGCACAATATCCTCGAGGCACAACCGAACCACAAGGAAAGGCAGGACCATCGTGGCCCGCTCCATGGGCATGGACGGCAACCTCGATCGAGAGGAAACAACGAAAACCAAGGACAGGGATCTCCTGCGCCAAGAGAGAAGCAGCGGGCTGCTGCGGCTCGCCAAGCTTAGCCTCCAGGATTACGAGTGGCGAATCGGGGTGTTCAAAGATCGCGACGCCGACCGAAAGGTCGAGGAAAGCCTGGCCCGGATGATGGGGGACGAGGCCTCGTACGTGAGGCCCATGGACGCGAGCGAAAAATCCATCGGCCCCCTGGGATTGTGGGAGAAGGAGAGCGTGGAGTGGCTCCAGCAAGTCATCGACGAGGAAGCAAGGCGGGCCAGAGAAATTGTTCGGTTGGGCGGCATCCTCGTGCGTCCCATGGACGCTTCGAAGGTCCCAGGCGAGGTCGAAGAACTGGGACCCCTCGGGGCCATAGAACGCCGGGTGGTGGACTTTGTCGAGAGCATCAAGAGATCCGAGCAGGAGCGAACAAAGAACATGGTGCTGCGACCGAAAGACGTCGAGGAATCGAAGCGGGGACCCCTGGGGCAGGCTGAACTGAGGGCAAGCGAAGCCATCCGGGAGATCCTCCAGTCCGAGCGCATGCGGGTGCAGGAATCGAGGAGACGCGAGGGGCTTGTTCGCCCGATCGACATCCCCGGACCCCTCGGCGAACTCGAGATGGCCGTCCTGGAAATAGTGAGGGCCGAGGAGCAACGAAAGCTGGAAATCGAGGAAAACAACAGCGCGTACCTGGTGAGGCCCATGGACGCCAAGACCAAGGGGCCGCTCGGGGAACTCGAGGCCCAGGCAACGGAAGCCGTCAAGAGATTGACGGACGAAGAGAGGGAGCGCGTCCGCAACATCCAGCGTTACCTGGACGAGAACCGACCGATGCAGCAGTCCGAGCGAACCGCGCTCGGCGTGTTGGAGACGATCGTGGTGGGAATCGTGAGGGCCCCGATTTTGTTCTACCAGATATTCAACCGCGTCAAGGACCTTCTGGAAAGCGAACCGATGGAGGGCCGAGACGCGGAAATACTGAAAGAAAACGAGGCGAATGCGAACGCAAAAAAGAAGTAGCAAGCACGCTCACCGATCCTTCGGCCTCCACTCGGAATCCCCAGTTTTTTCCCCTGTATTATACGATGTGTATTCATAAAACAAACCATAAACTTTATGTTACGCCATAGCTCGAAACGTCCTCAACCACTGCTATCGAGGGATTGAACAACGATTTGTAGTTCGGTTTGTGTGCCAAGACAAAGCAACTCGTGGGTCGATTGCTTTTGCAAAAGTTAACAGCTAGTTTTGCTTCGCAACTGCGAACGACAGGGATGCATCCGGCCAGCGACAAATTGGTGTCGTGCTTCTTGTTGTCCTTGTCTTTCTCGATGGGTGTAGGGCTTCGGAACCGTAACCACCACCACCACGTATCCATGTTTGGAATTGGATCCTAGGTTTTTGAACCGGCGGTGCCCCGGGTCTCGGGGATCCCGCGGCCCCTACTGGGACCCCCGGGCCACCCTCGCTCCGTGCGCCAGCAGGCCCCTGATGCTTCCCAGGGCGCCTTCCATCCCGCCTTCCTCGACGCACATTAGCAGCCTGGGGCCGCTGCCCCCCCGACGGCCGGGGAGGACCCCGGCGACGGCCTCGAAGAGCGCCGCCCCCGGATCGCGGGAGGCGGCGCCGAGGCGGGCCTGGAGGGCGAGGGCTTCCGCGCTTCCGGACAGCACGCCCCCCAGCGCGGACGCCACGTCGAGGTGGAACCGGAAGGAGCCCCCGAACCGGGGGCAGACCACCACGAGGACGCCGGCGTCCCCGTGCGAGTCGGTTGCGACGAAGGAGCCGAGGGCGTCCGCCGGGCCCGAAAAGGTCCGCCTCGAGACGACGGAAACGCCGCCGCTGCCCCCCGGTGGGCTCAGCGCGCTCTGGACCCTCTCGCAGAACTCCTCGAGCCTGGAGGGCACGGCCGCTTGGCGCTCGGGCGGGAGGACCTCGATCACGCCGACCGTCGTCTCGTTTCCGTTTTTGCGTTCGCCTTCGATCCTTTTCGCTGCCCCGCCGCCCAGGTGCACCGAGTCCCCCAGCAAGACGCGGTCCCTGCCGAACGTGTTGTGGAGGAGGAGGACCGGGTAGGTCTCGCCCCTGCGCGCCACGGTTTTGCCGCCCTTGGCGTGCGGGAGGAGCAGGAGTCCCTGCGCGTCCCTCAGGCTCATCAGCCTCGAGGACCGCTGGACCCCGGTGGACCTGGCCTCGTAGGATTCCCCGTAGCCGTTCTTGGTCAGCACCACCCTGTGGTACTCGGGTCGCTTGGCGTCTAGGACGACGTCGTGGGCAAGGACCGCCTCGATCTCGGGATGCACGAGGGAGGCCTCCACGATCGATTCGAGTTGCTCGTCCCTCGTCTCTCCGCTTGGCGACGAACGACCCCTTTGGCGATCGATGCCGTGGAAATAGAGGTCCAGGCAGGGCCCCACCAGCAGCTGCGTGCAGACCACGGCGGAACACGGGTTTCCCGGCTGGGCAAAGACGAGGCCGGTGCCGCCCTTCGTCCTGTTCGGCACGGTGAAAAAGGTGGTCGGCTTCCCGGGCTTCATGTGCATGCGGCCAAAGTGCAGGGTGGCCCCGCAGTGTTCCACCAGCACCCGCTCGACGATGTCGGTCTCGCCCTCGCTGACGCCGCCGGTCGTGACAACGACGTCGCAGCGGTCCAGGGCGGCCCCGAGGGTTTCCGCCATGGCGTCGAAGTCGTCGTCGCGGACCATTCCCAGGTCAATCGGCTCGCAGAGAGTTTGGAAGCCGTGGGTCGACAGCAGCCCCAGCAAGACGGGCCGGTTGGCGTCGGGGATCTTTCCGGCTGCGTTTTGCGGGGCCGGTGTCCTCCCGCCGTCGTTCCCGATCAGCTCGTTCCCCGTCGACAGGACGCCGACCTTTATGCGCCGCTGGACCACAACGTCTCGAGCTCCCGATTGCATCGCCAGCCCGATCGCCACGGGATCCAGGACGTGTCCCCCCGGCAATACCACTTCGGAGGCCGCAATGTCGCACCCGATCGGACGGATCCACTTGTGCTTTTTCAGCACCGCCGAGGGCAAGATCCGGATCCTTTGCGGCGATCCTTGTGCCGGAGGGGATGCCTCGCACTCTTCGATCGGAACGACGCAATCGTAGCCCTCCGGGACGACGGCCCCCGTGGTGATGTAGCACGCGGGAGGGAGGGTCTCGTCGAGGGTCTCGTCCTTGCCATCGTTCGAAGCTTGCGGCGTGCTGGCGCCCCCGGCGTACACCCGGTCCACGACCCGGTGCGTCCACGATCCCGCGGCAGAAGCCCTCTCGGCATCCCCGGCCGAAAAACCGCCGGTGCCGATGGCGTATCCGTCCATGATGCTGGCATTGTAGGGAGGGTAGCCAGGCTCCACCATGGTTACGTCCTCGGCCAGAACCCGGCCCAGGAGGTCCTGCCACGGCGTGGAGGACAGCGGCAGCCGAAGGGTCGGGGTGTCTTTTTTGTCGTCCAGGAGGATTTCGGCCGTCTGCCTCAGGACGGTTCGGATGGCCTCCGGGACCGGAACCATCGGGTGGGGTTCGGTGCCCATGGCCGATGGATTCGTCTTGCTTTGCTGCGTTGCGTTGCGGCCACCGGCTTGTCTTTTCGGCAGTGGCCAGCTCTCTCGTGGTTGGCGGTGCGGTGTGCGCTGCGATGGGGTAGGGTAGGGTTGGGTTGGGTTGGGTGCCTACCTTGGGAAGCCCTTGTCCTTCGGTTTGGGCTTCGAAGACACGGCAAGGGTTTGGTGCTTTTTTTTTTGTGATTCGGGACGAGCAGAGATCTTGCGATAAGATTTCGACGACACACCCGTCGCTTCTCTCGTTCCCGTCAGACAGACATCAAATGTGTGGGCAAAAAAATGAACGGATCGAAACAAGAACAAAGAAGCAGCTCTGGGCTGGGTTTAGTCGAGTTAGTCGAGTTCAGATTTTCTTCTAGAGGCCTAGAGCTAGCTCACTGAAGTTACAGTAGTTGGTGGCCAAATTTCGATGTAAGAAACAAGCCAAGACAATACCTATGGAATACTCCTATGACAGTATGTACAATACTACTGGAGCATGCTACAAACCATGGGTCGGTTGCTTTGTTATTGTTACAATCATTGCTAGTACTAGTACTAGTAGTAGTAGTTCTTGTTGTCCGTAGGATATCAGACCGTGGGTATGATTCATACATACGACACATACATACTATACGTATCTACGATTCATACACACCATACATATATGACTCACGTGATCCCACTGGATTCATATGATCGACATGACTCATTTCATTCACTTCTTCTTGCGTGAGTGACTCGACTCATTCGATTCACACATCACTCGATCCTCACAGCGATCGATTCTAGATTTCATAGCTCGCCAATCCTCAATAAGAGCATTGGCTCACTTTTCTACTAGCACACACTTTACATCACTTTTAGGACAGTCACTCCCACAGGTTATGACACCCTTCCAATAAAATTCATCACCACCACCATGGTGGTGATAATTTTTTAGGCGTGATCTCTCCTCAATAGGAACTCTACCGACACTGCATCGACACACACCTTTGAACAATCTATCATCTTTGACAACGCATTTGCCTTGTCATTGCCATCGTCACCAACAACGCATACGTCTTGTCACCACCATCGTCTTCAAAATAACCACCATTTCAAGACAATCACCATTGTTGTTGCTGCTCAGCACAAAGCTTCCTCGATCTCGAAAACTTCGAAAATTTCAACGCTTTCTTCATTTTCGACGATCAACAAAACTTTTTCAGCACCGTCAAACCCGCTTTCATTTTTTTAATTCCCACAACGAATTAAAAATAAATCCCGTATGAATACCCTACTTATTCCCACAGTGCGACCATCTCACTAGTACCTAGTAGTAGTAGTAGTATGTCACAGTATCTACTAGTTCTTTTTTGTACTAGTAAGAAGGCCTTGTTATTGTTTGGTACAAACACTAGTTTCAGAAGAGGAGGGGGGGAGGGGGTTGTCATAGATTTTTTGTTTGTCTCCTCTACTAGCATTGTTGGGTGAATGGCAGTACCAACCTATTGCGTCTACTACTAAAATTGGTCCGTCACACCAGACAACATCCACCATTGGCAAATATCCTTCAGGTATTCATGTCCCAAATCTCACTTGGATGACCAAGACTGAATGATTTCACTATGATCCAACCAGTGTACTTCCCTTTTTCAAGGACCAGTTGATCCACGAATCACTCTTTCTGATTCCTGGCATAAGTTTTTGGGTTAAACAGATTCATGGCAATGACAACTCCCCCATCAAGAACATCATGTTCATTTTGAGTCCAGTCTTTGTCACACTTTGGCTTCCTTTGAAACTCAGACAAGTTTTCTGATGGTTTCCAGCAATGGCTCTGAAGAAAATGGCTTTATGACTTCTTTTGGGTGGTAGTCTCATGCTAATGGTGCTGGTGGAGATAGAATTGCTCATGCAAATGCTGGTGCATGCCTCTTTGGCATTCTTGACAGCTCTCTCCAAGCCGTGGCAAGTGGTGTACTGTCTGCACAATTCTTTGTCACAACCCTACTTGCCTCCCATCAAATCCCACAGAAACCTTACTATCCATTGAACTCTTGCAATTATTCTTGGAATGCAAGCAGAGACTCACATTGACACAGCACTTCGACAGCTGGTTCCTCTTCATCTTCCATCATTACACCATCTTCCAATGGCGAATTCCCCCCAAACAGGTTCAATTTGTGAGTCACAGCAAGGTACTTATCACAAGAATTCAGTCATGGCATGAACACAAACAAGAAGTGTGTGCAAATGCCACAATTATGGCACCAGAACTTGATTTGATTAGACAAATCTTTCAAACAGCACAATCATCACATATTTCTGCATCATTTTCTTGGGTCAAAGGCCACCAAGACAATCACATTCCATTTGAAAAACTCCCTCTGATAGCCCAGCAGTTGAATGTGGAAGGTGATCAGTATACAGGCAACTGTCATGCAAAGTTTCACACACCAGCACCTTTGATCACACCAGTCCTGCCTTCCTATCCAGCTGTTCTTCAGATCTGATTGTGGTCTATCTGTAGCAAATACAGGAAAGAACTCATAGATTCATTTCTCACTCCATGTTATCATACATACTTATTGCAGGAAAGGAAACAATGGTCTTCTCCTACTACAATTGCCAATATTGCCTGGAAGTCTCTTGGGATTGCCACCAATCACATCTCTGGGAATGTTCTGGGCATGAAATGCTGGAATAATAAAGTGCCAACTGACATAGTTCTCAAACAGACCAATGACAAATGCTGTCATTGTGCCCAACAACAAGAAGATTCACAGTCTCTTTTCCAATCAGACTCCAATGGTGTCAACAGATAATTCAGTCTTTAGGTAATGAATGTCCACACTTGGGCAGGTCTGGTCAATTGCTATGGATACTCTTCTATCAAGCTGTATCAGTGAATGGTTTTGTTTGCTGACCACCTCTCACTTCAGTAGATTTCTAACCCTGACCTTCATTTGAGTTCATACTCCCTGATTGTGTTGGGGAGTCATTCAGTGGAGTATTTTCTCCAGCCCTATGTCAATGTGGCAGCAACAACAACAAGAAGAAGAAGGATCTCAGAAACCATCACTGCAACAACAAAGCTGGTTGACAGCAAAAGTTTGTCATTTCTTTGCCCTGAAACCACAGGAGACTTGTCCCTCCCATGACAACTTATTTCCCAAGAACCCTGAAGTCTTCTTGTCCTATCTCTGAGTGTATAGAAAAACTATTCACGCAATCACCCACACTATCTCTCATTTCTGTCTCTAACACATGTCCAATTATTCAGTATTTTTCATCCTTACCCCATAGTAAACAACTCCCACAGAGTGTCACACAAGATAGGCTTGTCTTTGATGCCTAATCCTCCAAAAAGAGACACAACAAACTGCCTCCTTTGCCAGACACTTCTAGTATGGTCACTGCTAGCTAAATACTATAAACCACTTTGACACATTTCTTCACCTAGTACTGATCCAACTAGCCCAGCCACTTCCTCAGTTCTTGCGCCTCCATCACATCTCCACAGAGGGGGGTACTGCCCCTCAGAGTAACAAGCAACTGAGAGCATTCTTCTCCTCCAAAGTTATGGTCCTGGCCCACTAAGTGCCTCTTCTAGTTCACAATTTATTCTTATTTTTTACTCTATTTATATTGATATTCCTCCTCCTGTTGTGAGCAGGGCCAACATTTCTCATTATGACTAATATTTTGCTGCTCTATCTTCACTTAAAGATGATTTGATCAAAAGAATTATTGACTCAAGCACATTGTTCTAGTAGTAGGGTGCATCAATAGTAGCAGTGTCTTACTATCAATACTATTGTTGAGATATCTGGCTGTGATGTTGACCTTCTTCATAGTACACAAGCAGTTGCTGGTTCAGATTATTCTGAGCAAAAAATGAACCACGCTGTGAACATCACCAGCTCCTTTCCTGTTACTATTACTAAAAGTGAGCATCTTGCCATGCTAGTAGCACTCAGGTACTATTCAATCTACCCTCCCATCACCAATTATAAAACCACTCCACCAAATATCTTGTGACAGAGAGGAAAAACTAAGCACAGGATTTTTCTTGCTCTAGGTTTATTTCTTTTCTTGTTGTAGTACTAAGAACAGTGCATACGAAACAGCGGTGGGTATTTGAATGACTTGGACTTGTTGCTACCAGTGTGTGCTGTCTTGTTGATCTTTATATGAATGCATTGAATCCATAGAATTTGCTCTTGTCATCAACATATAACCCCATGGTACTGCTAGTTGTTGTTATTGTAACATCACATTAGTATGCTAGAAGTGTTTTGAACACTGAAGCATGCAACAAGGTACTACTACAATTTATAACCTTTATTAATTAATTGAATGAGCAATAAAAGGACTGACAGTGTGATGCTTATTGCTTCTTGTTGAGCTTGTGAGGAAAGTCATTTTATTTGTGACTGATCAATGGATCTTTCTCCTCCACATGTATGAACACTGGCCAAATAACCATCAATTCGAAGATACTGCTGCTGGTGCTTAAGCAAATTTTCTGGCTTGTCAAAATTTGCCATTTTCAAACCAATCTCATGTTTTTAAAAGTGTTGTTGTTTGTTTGAGTTGCAAGGTCTTTCACAGTTTGACTTAATCCCAAAATGCCCAACCAACCTTATGGGAGAATTTTCCATCACCACCACTGCTACTGCCACTACTGCTGTCTGTCTGCTATGAACATCATGTGATGCCATCAATCTGGTTGCTCAACAGTTGCTGTCTGCAGGATATCATACCATGCATACAATTCAAAGATGGTTCGGGACTTTCTCTTTCTACCAATAAGGAGGGACCATCTTCAGTTTGACAGTATCTCTGTTGGAAAATTTTAATGCTCCTATTACGGTCCTCATTCTTGTGAGTTGCAATAGGACAATCAGTTGAGGCAATATTTTCTTGGTTCAGAGAGCACCATTCTTTTCTGTAGATAAGATGAACTATTAGTGTGAAAGCTGGTACCATAAGGATTTGTAACATAAGTACCTCCTACACCAACAGCAGTTTGATATACTAGTATATTAAGTGCTTTTTTAGGAACATACCAATAGTAGTCTGCATTCTGTCTGGAGAATGATGGTTTTGGAGTCATGTTCTTGTAGTAAGTAATTTTGTTCATATGTTTAACATCACCGATTCCCACAATGTTGATACTGTAAATTGATTTCAAATTATTTTTGATTTATGGCTGTGTCATAGCTGTGTCTTGCATGATGGCTGTGTCATGGCTGTGTCATGTTCATAGGTACTGGTAATTTTTTTGCCCATGTTTAAAAGGTACTACTAGTAGAACTGCCTTTACCATTTCAGAGAATCATGCATTGATGAAATTACAAATACTTCTTCTTGAAAAGGATGATTTCAATATGCCCTTTGAACTACCAAAGTAAACATTTGTTTTAAAGTTGGTAAGTAATGAAGTTTTGATGCTATGCAGCAATGAGGAGTGTTCATAAATAGCAATGAAACATACCCATAATTCATTACCATTCAAATTTTGGATATATTTGGACAGTAGTAGTATTAATAAATGGAGACTCACTTTTTAAGAACTTGCATGTCTGCAGTGAGTAGATGTTCTAATGATTGGTATTTGCTTTCTTACCACCATAGTGAATTTTAACATACTAGCAAATTATCCATTCCTTGCAAACAACTTACTTATTGTGCCACCGTTTGGGACAACTAGCACAGTTACTCCTTCTATTGTGCCTTCTTTTTGAATGTTGTGTAGAATAGTTATGTTTGCAGGTACTATGCTATATCTGCCTGTAAAAGGAAATCAGATATTAACTGCTCCTTATCTTATAGTCTTGAAATTTTTTCTTTTGTGAACGCAATTGCTTCTCTTTGTAAATCTTTCAATTCATTGTCAATCTTCTCCCTTCTCAATGGTAGAGACGCAGAACGACCAAAATCAGATTCAATCCTAGTTTTATTGCTTCGAGCGATACCCTTACCAGAGGATGATTCCCTCTTAATGTTCAGAATAGCATCAAAAAAATCCGATGTTGCAGTATCGGCCCAGGAGGACCCACCAAACAAGCCATCCGGAGGCGCTTCTTGCCAACCTAAGTGGCCACCACACCTGGTCTCGACGTTCATGACATTGGGGTTGGCTAGGCAAAACCCTAACTTGTTTCGCGAAGGTTTTGATACAATAAAGTCATCCTCAGCTGTAATATTCAAGAAGGGAACAGAGATATGTCGGATGTACCGATAGGAACTTGCATCAAACCAATATTCCTCTCCGGTTTCGTACCCTATCTTTGCCTCAAATGGATACATGGGATTATTTCGAATCAAAGCCGGTGCAACAGCATTATCTAAGGCAGCAATGGTAGGAGCTAGGAAACCTTTCTTGTGAATTTCTTTTGATCGAGCGTCGTTCAGAGCACGTACAGCCTTCCAATTCTCTAAGTATATTTTCTTCACTCCCAACGCCATGAGAACATTAAACGGAAACCGAACAATTTTCGAATCGATCAAAAGGGGATTGCCGAGCGATGCTCCACCCGAAACACACGACGGGAGTGTACCTGCCATACCCTCTTCTCCCAAATACTTCGTCATGATATTTGCACCCAACGAATTACCAACAATAAAGATGGAAACATTCTCCGCCAATCTAACCGAAATCTGACGGACAAGGCTACGAAGATCCCCTGTATAGGCTGCGTTATAACCACGTGGGGTTTTTAATCGATGCCCCCCACATCCTCGAAAGTTCACCGAAGCTGAAACATAGCCTCTATTACAGAACGAACTCGAGAGAGACTTCATGTATCCAAAACTGGAATCGTTATTGATACCGTGTAGGATGATTACGACCGGCCGACGTATAATGCCATTCAATATCTCTTGTTGGCTCGTGTTCACTTCACTCTTTGACGCATTTTTTTCGCCTTCAACGTTTGCTGTCTGTTTTTGAGCCCCTTTGAATTCCCAATCCACCGCTACTTGTGCTCCGTCTTGACTCATAATAAAAATCTCTCGGAATCGCACAAAATTTTGCCTGGAGGACGACGGTCCCCCTTGGAGATACGCTGCAGTGCTCGCAATCATACCGCGTGTTCCGACAAAGAGACTGGGCTGAATCGGCTTCGAAAGGATGTTAGTGATGCGGGAATCTTTGCCTTTACCACCAACAAGAGAAGAAGAAGCCTTTCCCGTTAATTGCTCATAGATTTTTTCAACGTAACTCCCCGACGGCAATTGGCAAAATGTTGCAGGAGGTTTAGTAAGGGAAAATTGCAATCGCACCTCGTATGCTAAGATGGCGGACGCGACTGCGGACAAGAAGACCACCCATCCTTGTGGTGTGTCTGGAAGTGATTCTTTGATCGAAGAGCGTCGCCGATCCATAGAGCGCGACAGTTGCTTTGACAATCGTTTGGAAAATCTCCGAACAGATCTACTCCTCTTGTTACAATTAATATTCCTTACGAATTCCCGCGACAATTGAAGCGTGTTTTTTGTCGTTGTCGCAGATGACGAAGAATCCTCACTGTCACCACTATATCCGTAGACACGAAGACGGTATGTATCATCGTCCTCATCCTCATCCTCTTCGTCTAAGTAACCATCCGCCTTCAATCCATCTTCCTTGCTCTGACTTTGCTGACTTTCTAGAGGGATTTCATTTTCCTCACTTTGACCTCCCGTTCTTTTCGACATCACTTTACTTCTCCGACGCCTATGATATGAGATGGTGTCCTAAGATACCGTGATGTTAAGCTTTTAGTTCTTCAGACTTGCACGGGGGAGCGATGGAGTTTAAGTTGGTTTTCGGTTTTCATCTTCAAGTTTTGGGGAAGGTTTTTGAGTGTCAACAATTTTCATTGTTGTCGGCCGCATTTTGACTGCTGAAGAAGAATGAAATGACATCAAGAGTGCGCGGACGCGCGACCGACATCTGTCGCTTTGTATCGACTAGTTCGACTAATATGTCGTCAAGAGCGGACGATAAAATTTTAATCTTAAACACGCCAGTATTTCTACATACGTATGCGACATCAGATGGATGCGTTCAGGTCTTCAACATCCCATGAGTTGAAACCCCGCCGAAAGTGTGTCAAAGACTGGCCGGCTCTAAAATTGACCAATCAAAAAGCTTGCAATGACGAAACGAGAGGCGTAGAATAGAAGGTGTTTTCTCTTCTTTGGAAGAAAAGGAGTTTCTTTTTGGACGGTGACGAACGAGTTCTCATCCCACCATCCCGGTTACGATCTCGATTGTTGATGGTGCAGATGGAGGGTTTTTATGTATTTTTCGTCGTTATCTGATATTCTCATACAATTTTCTTTTTCAGGTAAGAAAACCAAATTCGAAGTACGAGTGTGGTCATTGCGGCACTCAAGTGTTTACAGACCCTACAATATAGTGCTTTATTAAAACGATAACATAGAGTGAAAGCATTCATGCCGTTGTGCGGCGAGATGTTTACGGCAACATTCTGACAAATTTCGAAACCAGTCTCCTAGAAGATTTGAAATGACTGAGATTCGATGTCGACATACACCTTTATTTCGAGACCTTTTCAACTAACATTCACTTATGGATTCGTCTGATGTATTTTTTTCGCAGCTAAACTCTATATATAATATCACACAATGAAGTCTTTCCAACAAGTTGCTCTTCTTTTGGTCGCCATGGCCGCCTGTGTTTCGGGATTTGCCCCCGTCAGCACACCCCGACAGACTGTTGCCGTTTCCATGAGCAAAGCCCCTGAACCTGTTGAATTCAAGCAAGACAAGGCCGCCGCTGTTGCCGCCTTCGCCACCGCCATGGCCCCGTTTGCTGCTCACGCCGAGGCCGTCGATGAGGCTACCGTTATTGGATACGGTGCCGGTTTGGTTGCATGCGTCGTTTCCCTGGCTGTTGGATTCGCCATTGGATACGGAACCCTTGTCAAGCTTTAAATAATAAAGACAGTTTTTAAGAAAAGCAGAAAAGTTTCCCGCAACAATTTGTCATCCATCACTGTTGGTTGGGTCAGGTTGTTGTCGAGTCGAGACTACGCAATTGGGAATGCTAGAGAATCATATAGAACTATTTAATGCCGAATGGTTATAAGATATGTACCTTATTCTACTTTTTTGATGTTTCATTATTTACTGTAAGTTTGAGTGTAACGACAATACCTAACGATTTAGCATTCGTAACGAATGAACATAGCGCACGCTATGATAGTTCCTGGAGGATGGTTCGTATTTTAATGCAGTACTCTTTACCAACGTACTCTGATCGACTCCGGGAGTCGAAGACAGGACAAGCATTAGATTGATAACTGGGATACAAATCAGCATGTACAGTCGCAAAGTATTGACCCAATGACAATGACCTTCTTTCATCAACGGTACGAACCGTCCCTGCTTTGAGACAAGCCTATGACGTACGAGATGGGATGCTTGTGGAGGGCCTCTCCGATTCTCAAAAAACTTCGAATTTTTTGAATTTTAGTGTGCAATTTCACGTGCTTTGCATGCCAACAGCTCGTGCATGGTTTTCGACTTGGCTGAAGCCTAAGATACCTGGTGCAGTAAAAACATGTATTTTGTGCTATTTGGATCCGTTTCGGTAGGTTCAAAGTTCCTTCTGGCACCCTGTACTTTTACTTGAAAAGAAGAATGATCCAATCACAATGGACATCATCAATTTACGTCACGATCCTACGGCGCGGTAATCACGTGTTTCCTTATGGAACGGTCATATCTCCAATCGCGGTGTCTATTAGGAATAGTACGTACAGTGCGTGATAGAGTACGTAACGTTCCGTATGATGTCCTCTATTTTTACGTACCGTAATAGGGTACTTTCGCACTTCCTAGCAAGTAGCAACACTACGTACCGTTCCGCGTGCAAAAAACTTGCAACCACAACCCTAGTTTCCAAAAAACTGTCGAGCTCTAATCGCAAATCGACCATGGGAAACCTTCTCAGACTAACCAAGAAGGGTTCTACTGATACACAGCTGTATGTCTAATAGAGCTGCTGATTCTTACCATTAGTATTGTTGGATGAGCTCACCTCTTCTTCTTGTTGTTCTTGGTGCTGGCTGGTGGTGGTGGTGTTGACAACAATAATGGTGGATGGTGGTGGTGGTGGTGTGGTTTCATGTCTTCTCCTTCTTCTTGTTCTTTGGCTGTCTTGTTGGTTGTGCTATCAGATCCTCCTCTTGTTCTTAGTAATGATATTGCAACAACTCCAGTAGTACTAGTACTAGTAGACCACCACCACTGCTGGTGACAGGAGGAGGATCAGGGCTGCAGCAGGAGCCTGACGACGAGATCATGCTCCTGGTGGTGGTGGTGGTGGTGCTGCTGTACTAGAAAGAAATCCACAGCAGTGGTGAAGACAGAAAATATACTAGTACTTCTACTAGCACCAGTAGTATGAAGGAGCAAAACCAAGTATTATGAAGTTCGCAAAACAACAACAATCACCGAAGTGGTGGTGAATACTAACAGGGATTCACGACGTATAACTACTAGTGGTACTTGTACTTGTTGGATCGAAACAACCGTTCGTAATGCACGAGTAAGATCGTGCGTAGTACTCGTACTGCTGTACAGTATGAAAAAAATACTATTAAAATAATGTGGTCGGACGCATGCGTCATCGGTGGTTTCGGCATGAGAACAAAGAAAAAATTGGTGCTGTGTGGGTCGATTCGTACGATACGGTACGTACGTACGATAAAACGAATGTAGCGTACCAAAATAGATCCGAGCCTCACTATTTGCATGAACCAAAAAAAATAATGGCATTCGCACCCAAGATCCTTTCGTTTGTTCTAGTGGCACTGAACATGAGCCAGGCCGCCGCATTCACCGTAGGGGGAACCTTTCTCTCGGCTGCCGAAAAGGCCGCCCTGGAAAAGACAGCCGATGCCGTCGCTACCGCTGGGAAAGGTATTACGGGTACGTCGCAAAAATTTCGAACCGTGGATGCACACCTCGGCCGGGGGGATTTCCGCACGCGCAGGCACTCATTCCTTCTCGGCACCCAAACGTTCCAAATGCTTCCTTCTTCTATACCACAGCGTGCGACGAGGGGCCGGCAACCATCGGGGGTCGTTTCGAAGCCGTCGGGGTCGAGAATTCCGAGGAAAACCGCAGGCTGTACCGACAGATGCTCTTCGAGGCACCCGGATGCGAGGACTACCTGTCCGCGGCAATCCTCGATCCCGAGACCCTGTACCAGCGCTCGGACAACGGCGTGCTCTTCCCGGATCTTCTCACGAAGAAGGGCATCGTCCCCGGCGTGAAGCCCCACCTGAAAATCTACACCCTCCCCGGCACCAACGGCGACACGGTTATGCAGGGACTCGATTCGCTGGCCGTCCGGTGCAAGGAATACTATGCCGCCGGAGCTCGTTTCGCCAAGTGGAGGAGCCCCCTCGTCATCGACATGGAAAAGAAGTGCCCGACGGATCTTGCCATCAAGGCCAACATGCACGATCTTGCCCGGTACGCCCTCATCTGCCAGAGCGAGGGCCTGATGCCCATCGTCGAGCCCGACATCAGCCTGTCGGGATCGCACACGCTGGAGGACGCCATCGACATCAACATCCGGGTCCAGTCCGAGCTGTTCAAGGCGATGATCGACCACGGGGTGTACATGGCCGGATCCACCCTCAAGCCCAACATCGTGAACCCCGGACGCGACTGCGAGAAGAGCTACACCGTGGAAGAAATCGCCGAGGCCAACATCTTTGTCTTCGAGCAGAGCTTCCCCGTCGCCATGAAGGGGTGCAACTACCTCTCCGGGGGACAGGACCTGCCCACGGCCGCCGCCCGCCTGAGCGCCATCAACAAGGCCAACAAGAAGGGCCCCTGGAACCTGTCGTTTTCCTGGAGCCAGGCCCTGCAGCTGCCCCTGTTGGACCTCTGCAAGGGCAAGGGCGACCTCCAGCTCGAGGAAATGAGCAAGCTCTACGTCGACGAGCTCAAGATCGCCGGAGCGGCGGCAAAGGGCGAGCACGAATGGGCCAAGGGAGAGGGCGACCACGAGGCCGCCTAGATTGGATTGTGACCTTTCGGGTTCCGAGATCCGGCCGACCGACCGAAGCATAAATTTTGAATTAAATATATCCCGATCGTTAGAATTACTATGTTACAGTACTTGGCTTGCTCTGAAGTGCTGTAGTGCAGAGCCCATCTGCCTCTTTTTCTCGGCGAACCAACGACGCCGGGGCGATAGGGATGCTTGCCGCAGCTGTTGCCACYGTGGGTATATCGTGGGSCGYGACTGGTGTGGCCGGAGGATCCATCCATTCGTTGGCGCACAGCAAACGCACCACCAACMAAGAGGTGGGTTAGGAACGYAGGTYGGACCCGGTCGTGGAGCATKCGACCGGGGCGAAGGATCCCTCCGGAGAATGCTGCCCGTGTTTGTTCCAGCGGGGCAGGCCGTCCCGTCCTCCACCGGCGGACCGGTGTCTTGGTCGTTTATTTTGCAAGCGGTGGCCGCGGTTGCGTTTGCGACGAAAGCGCGTGTGGTACGGCACGCACCGGCACTAGGATTCCGCTGGGCGAGGGTGTTGTTGTTGTTGTTGTTGTGGGGTTTGGTGTTCCTTCCGGCCCCCGGTCCGGTTCCACTTCCGGAACCGGTACAGGACGATGCTGGTGGCCACGTTGACGTTCATGCTGGCCGTCCCGGCCCCGTACTGGGGGATCCGCACGAGTCCGCCGCAGCTCTTGAGGTGCGTTGGCTGGATGCCCTGGCCCTCGTTCCCCATGAGCACGCCGACGCGCCGGCCGCCCCCGGAAAAGTTCCGCGCAAAGTAGCCCTCGTCCAGGAGCTCGCTGCGCTCGTCGATCTCCACCCCGACCAGGAAGATCCCCTCCCGGTCCATGTAGGAGACGCAGTCCCTCCACTTCGGGAACCGGTGCAGGGCGATCCTTCCCCGGTCCAGGGCCTCGAGAAAGGGCGGGGGGAAGATTCCCYKGCGCCTGGCGTTGTTTTCCTGGCCGACCAGGAGGACCTCGGAGCAGCCAAAGGCGGCCGCGGCCGAGAGCATCGCCTTGACGTTGGCGATCTTCTGGATGTTGCAGACCACCAGGCTCAGCCGCAGGGGTGAATCGTCGTCGTGCTGCTGCTGCCGATCCTCCCGCTTTGGTGCGATCGCGGGCGGCACCGGCGCATCCAGGGTCCCGGSAGGACGGTCGTCCATGTTTGTGCTTTTGGGGTTTTGTCGGTTTGGAAGGCCGGGGCGAACGAGCAAGGGGGGTCCGCGTGTGTGTGCGGTGCGTTGCGTTGCGTTGCGGTGTGGTGCGCCCGACGAGTGGACGACTCGATTGCCTCGCAGTGGTGAGCTATAATATATTGCTGGTGTGGAACCGTAGCTGTCGGATTCCAGGGGCCCAAGAAATGGCATCCATACTCGTACTCGTACTCGTACTCGTACCCTGCCGTTGTTGACCCCTTGTGTTGCCTTACCCGCAGTACCGTACGTACGCTACCGTACAGCTCGGAAGGACAAGAAAAATTAAAAATCCCCATCAAATAGATTGGTGTGGGGACTGGGGACGTTACCAGTACGCGTGAGGCAGTAGGTACGTACTCTTACGAACCGCGCGATACTATTTTGCCCGATTTTGGTTGGCAGTCGTGCATCGTGTGTCACGTTGTACTGTACAGTACCTCGCATAATACRAATCGTACGAATCGTATGGTGCCGTAGAACTGAACAAAGTACGAGTACCGTACGCAGTTGATGTACGAGTATTGCTTTCCGTCTCTTACCAAAAAGAATGACATACGGTAGCAAGTCTCCAATTTCATTTTCAAATTTTCAACCTGACCTTCGAACTGCATAACGGCTACGAGTACGTGCATGTGCGACGGGACTACATACAATATTTTGTATTGCAGTACCCAGTACTCGTAGAACTATGATGTTGAGTTGTTAAATTAAAGTAACGAACATTACTCGTAACATTACTGTACTGTACGTGTAGAATTATCCGTACTAGTACTACTATTACTTCTACTACAGAAAATAATGAAATTTACGACTAATGAAGCGTAGGTCATACTGTCCTTTCCAATTTCCGAACAGTCACAACTTCGAAAGAGCCAGACGACGAGCCGTACTCGTAAAGTACTTGTACCGTCTCCACCAATTCATCCCCGTCTCCGTCCGAGAAAAAGCGTCCCAGCGGTCCACGCCCGGTGCACCGACGAGTGATCCACCGACGGCAGGAGAAGACAAGACAAGACAAGACAAGACAAGACAAGACAAGAGAACACAAAACGAGACACGACACGCCTGTCACTCCGACGGAAGGCTTTCGTTGTTTGCCATGCAGGTCCTCGAGATGGAGGAGGTCGAGAGCCTCGTCGGCAAGGCCAGCCGCAAGAAGCTGAACACGTCCCGGAAAACCAACCAGGAGAGCGGCCTGAGGAAGGTGGCCGCCTGCTTCCACCGCGGCGACTGGCTGCCCAAGCTGGTGGTCCTGGCGTGCTCGGTGCTGCTGGGGGTGATGTACCTGGCCTCCCAGAGCGACGGGGACGTGGCCACCGGGGGGGAGCAGGAGCTCAAGGCGGTCCCCTCCCCGGTGCCGGCACCGGTGGCGACGCCTCTTCCCACGGTGKCSACKCCKCYTCCCACGGTGKCSACWCCGCCTCCYACGGTGGCCACWCCGCCTCCCACCGCCGCGCCTCCTCCTCCTCCCGCAGACCCCGCCCCGGAGCAGGTGCCCCTGACCGTCGAGGACGACGCGAACCAGGACGCGAACGAGAACGGCAATGGCAACGACAACGACAACGACAAGTACATGTACTCGAAATACGCGACAATCTCCCCCCTGATCGACCACCCGTTCCCGAGCGACGCAGAGCGGGCCCCCCTCGTCGAAAAATTCGGCCGCTGGCATTTCTACGACGGGGACGAAGAGGAGCGACCGCTGGAAGACTACACCGCCGGGTACCCGAACCGGGATATGCCGGGGGAAAAGTTCGCGGACGATGCCTGGCAGGCCGATGCGGTCTACGTCAACCACATTCTCAACGATGCGGACCAGCTGATTTCCAGGGCCATGGAGGCCATCTTTATCGAATACGGCCACGGGAAACCGCTGCCGCCGGAGGGTACGTCGCCCGGAGACCACTGTTGATTTCGGTACCTCGTGCGGTTTGCCTTTTGTTTGGTTGCCGCGGRTCCGAGCAGCGCACGGCGTGGAAATTGCGATGATCGTACCGTTTTTTGTTTTTTTAATTGTTTTTGGGTGTTTCGCACTGACCCGAGCACGGATTGTTTTTCGCGTTGSGTTCTTCAGGTCTGGCGGAACGGATGAGGATGTTTCACTGGAGCCGGGAGGACCTCTCCGTTCCCAACGCACAGGCACCCGAAAAGTACCGCAAGCGGGGCGACCGCGGAAACGGCGGATGGACCACGAAGCGCAGCTTCGACGGGCTCGTGCGGCGGCTCTTGCACGCCATGATGACCCAGGATACCTTTACCGTTGTCAGTAAGTACAAACCACACCGTGTCAYGCGGTGCCGTGCCTCGGCGACCTGGATCTGCCCCGAAATCGGATGCTCGTGTTTCGTTTCCTAACTCRTGCTTCTGTTCCTTTCGCCGGTCTCGCATCCATGTGATCGAACATCCACGTTCACATCCACGTCCACATCCACACCGCAGTGGGTGGTCATAGCGCAGCGATGGGCGCAGGGTAAGAATCACAAAAGAAACACTCCTAGTRCGTGCCATTCTCTGTATTGCGTTTCACGCCTTGTACTAACGATAGTTCTCTCTGGCCCTGGCGTTTTTTCAAAAGAAACAACTTTCGGCAATCRTACATGATGCAGTTTCACAAGGTCATGTATCCAATCTTCGCCCGACTCGGCGTAAAGCTAATTACCAGAAATGTTGGTCAGGGCGGACTCGGCACACTCCAGGCGGGAATGGGATCGGGGTCGATATACGGGGACGAGGTAGACATACTTATGTGGGACTCRGGTAAGTTTCTTGTTCGCAACCTGTTGAAGTTGGAACACACGTTTCTCGGACGATTCCAGCCGTTCGAGTCTTCTCTCGGTATCAATCGTACGGTACGTTGCGGCTTCTCTCACCAGATTTCACTTTCTTTRCAACAAAAAGGCATGACGGAGCCCGACCCAAAGCACGTCGATCTCTTCTTTCGCCAAGGAATCTTGGCAGGCAACCGCGTGCCACTTCTATGGGGAGGTCCCTTCGAGGTGCTCAAAATGCTACACGAAGAAGCCGATGCAGACGTTGGTGACTGGGGGTACGCCTTGGATGGGATCACAGAGATCGAGAGTTTGGAACAGGCAAAAGAAATTCCCTGGGCRGCCAGGTATTTGAAGTGCAAACCAGAAGCAGAAGACATTTGCAAAGAAGAACCAAGGTTTTGTGCGACTTGYTGGATCGACAGACCCGATGGCATTGCCCCCGAAGCAAAACAACTAGACAAACCAAGAGGACAAGTCAAGTGGCACCCGGGATGGAGAATGCACCAGCTGGTCGGAAGAAACCTAGCATTTGCTGTTCTAGAGGSCCTCCAAGCAGCGATCAATCTTTGGACCGAAGGGGTAATGGGTGCGTTTTTGCCGTGGTTTATTTTATCGASTGTTTTTCGAACCTCAATTTCTCACCGTTCGCTTTTTTGTTGGAACGCAATGGGCAAACCATAGGTGGTCCGCCACTCGACGATGATTTCTGGCACGTGACCGATTACTACGAGAACATCCGAAACAAAGTAAAAAGTCTCGACAAATCGCTCGGTCATTGTTACRAGATCGAAGGCGATCTCCCAACCCGTCTCTGTAACACTCCTATGAAGGCGAAAACACAATATACGCCGAGGGCAAATCCCAACGAAACCGCKTTGAYAAGCATCATCAAGCCTGCTCCCGACGGATACGTTCCAAAGAACCGACTGACGATGATGTACGATGGCCCGGACCCACACAACACTTGCTCCGAYATCCCCGAGGGCGAAATCGATGTTTTCAACGTCGTGACGGGTCGCCGAGGATTGATCGAAGACTTCGATTCCCAGCAACCGGGTTCCCTCGGCGTGCCGGGGGCGGATCTTTCGGCACCAGCCGATGCCGATGCCACGACTCCCGTCCACCGRGAGCTCGAAGACGCCATCGTTCCCGGAAAAGGCTGGGAAGTCTTTGGAGAACCACCCGGATTTTGCGACGGCACGTACAACGCAGAGTGTGCCCGGTCGACCGGAAAYGAATGCGTGATGTACGGACACCACGATTATCGCGGAGCGGTGATCGGCAACGAGTACGCAGGCTGGCTGGTGATGACGCTGAAGGACCTCAAGGAGGGCGTCATCGTCCTGAAACTCCACACATGGCACACGGAAGCCGAGAACACGATGACGAACGGATGGACGTCCGTCGACAACGCGCGGCGGCGGCTCGGCCAGAACCGGTCGTTCTCGCCAAGGACCCACGAAGCGGAGGCCGAGCGGGGCGACAGGATGCTGATGAGAAGCTACGACACACCGGAACTGCCGGATTCCTTTGTCTTCGACTACGCGATCGACGGAGTCGTAACSAGTCTCTCGAGAGACCAGTTCTTGGAGCAAAAGAAACARCAACAGCGCGTCGTGGAAACGCTCACGATTCTGGACGACCCCGCCTTTGCTTCCGAKGCAAAAGACGTCGAGATTGCGATACGCTTGCGAGGTTCGGGGAGCTCCATCGTGTTCGGTGTGTCTCACGTGTATTGGGCTTAGGCTTGCTTCTGTTCGTCAACCAAACCATTGAAGAATACAAATAGTATTTGTAGGGATGCTTTGATTAGTTACTGACTKGCGTAAAGAGCAACACTATTTTTAAAGATATGAAAACAATCGTGAACGAATAATTCTGGAAATTGAGTTCTAGCTTCTGATTATATTTTGTGTAGCGGTGTCAATTTCAACTACTTTAAAAATATTAGGATCCTGAAAGTTATGCCATCAGTCGCGAAGGTCCTCGAAGCTGTCGTCATCTTCGTGTGCTGCATCGAAAATTTGATGCGGGGCCTCGACCGCACTGACGTAATTTTGAAGCGACTGAAAAATAGTTRTGAAACAATGATTGGTTAGAGTGGGCATTGCATGGTCATTCAACCCAAAAGAAATTTACTACCTTAGCAACGAAKACTTACGCGCCGGAGCTCACCGATGAAACCAAGCTGCTCTCTTTGTATRTTTTGGAGTTCTAAAATATAGTCATCTAGACCCTCCCGATTGGCGTCGACCTGATTCACTAGTTTCATCTCAGTTTTTACCATTGTAAGCCATCGTGACATGACTGATCTATGGTTCGAAACAAGAGCCTGTCCAGCTTCTCGCTTTTCTGTAGTTTCTCCGGTACGAGAGAAACTTTTCGATAACGGAGGAATCGGAGGATTCATTTCATTTTCACCAATGGAGTCATCATCGAGATAGTTTTTCTTTTCGTCCGCAAATCCTCCACTCCGATGCTCTTGGCCACCACCAATCTTTCTTTTCGAGGGAGATGGGTACTGCTTCGTCGACAGTTTCAATTGCTGATTAGAAATTATTTTGGTGGCCTCTTGGCAGGAGGTAGAAAGGACTCCAGTTTCAGGGTTACGTTCTTTCACGCGGTCGGCATAGCGTAAGGTATTCAAGGTTTGCTCGCAATTTCCAATATCGGGACTGATACATGCAACCATACAACACCGCGAATTTGTGCCTACAAAACTATCTTTCAACACCTGTGTTAATTTTGATCCTCGAAATGGAATGTGAGTCATTGATCCACCGGTCGCTAATGCTCGAATCACTTCTTTCAGTGCCAACAGAGATGTGTTAATCTCTGCACCCTCTAGTCGTGTCGCCCTACTAGCATTGGTTGTATCAGCACCGCGTTCACTGCCAGCCAGATCAATAAAGCTGAATCGACCTATCAAAAGGYGAAAAATGAAAAGTTAGATTGTATGAATATTTTTTCTCCCTCAGATTACAAAACGTCATACGCGACTTCGATTTTTAGCTTACCATGCTCTATATTCTTTTTCCGTCCGGTAGTTTTCATTAATTTGATCTGCAACACAGCATGGCTTCGACTGCTGTCTGCATTTCTCGACGTTGTACCAGTAGATCTATTTTTAGCACCTGCCTCGATCAATTGCATCACATGATCAGGGGAWGTCACAGAATGCTCTGTCAATCCTGGGAAACACACCTTGCCCTTGCTATCTTCGAGACATTTAATCTGATTTCTATCGTTCAACAAATCGAATAATTTTCCTCCATATATTTCAAAAAGGGAAACGTGTACATCTAAGTGTCTGTACTCAGGTAACTCAATCATTTCGAAAATGTCCAACGCAGCAAGATAGTACAGGCCAAGATTTTTCTGGTCGTTCGTCGCAGTTCCTGCATTGACACCTGTTATATTTGAACCCATCATTGTGTAAGTTTTTCTGCACAGAAAACAAAAAAAAATGACAACGTTAGCGACGACAAACATAAATCACCATACAATTAGTGACATCTGATTCCCGATCAAACAAACGACTGTTTTCCGTACCCACTGCCAGTTTGTCCGTATGCAAACACAGTTGCCCACTGTCCATTGAAAAAGGGCTCTACGAGGTTCCTCAAGGAACGCTCATAAATCTTTATGTTAGTCGATGATTCATCAAACACGTTGTCAAAAGCGAATGGAACAGTTTCGACTTCTTTCGTCAAATCAACACGGGTTTTRGGCTGATAAACGAGGGTTTTTCCATAACTACCATAATCCAGTGGGTGAATAATATCTATTCCCCCAGTGAGGGATTCACTCTTGCTTAGTGGCCGTTTCCTAACAATGACTTTGATCCGCATATCATAATACTCATGGTACTGGTTTTCATCATCCACTTGGTCACGAAACAATTCGTRTTCGTCTTTGTTGTCCTCTCTAAGATTGGAAATTTTTGTGGCCCAGGATTCTGGACCTGTACTTGAAACCTGCATGATGATAGGAGAAGTAGAGGCGGTAMTACTGCTGGATCGACTCTTAGGTGTTGTGGTGCGATCAACCTTCGAGGAGTGCCCTACTACAGCGGTMGGTGATGGAATACGGAGACTACGGGATGCTGGAGGTATCGATGACCGAYTTTGTTGACCACGTTGGTAATGTTGCAATAATGCCGACTCTGAAACACTCATGCTCTTACTAGAACGACTTATCCCTGATCCTACTTTTGGTATACCCCCCCTTTGAATGGAAGGAATTTCGTCGTGATAATCCAWTTGTCCAGTTCCTTTCTTAGTGCTGGCAGTGTTGTCATGTTCGTCCATATTTTTCGATGCTTGGTCAATTTTGGATTGGSAGGTACCATCGGAGGAACTCATACTTCCTGCGAGAGTTACTCGTCGTTTCGACTTAGGTTTCAAAATCTCGGATTTCTCGATCTGGGTTTCATTGACAACATCATTTGRACGATGCGATTCAGATTCCGACRAAGACRCTTCCGGCACAGCGGCTTGGTGAGAGGTTTTCTGTGTCTTTTTTGTCAACCGTGAAGATACTGGTAGTTTGGACTTTGGTTGCTGCAAATTAGAAACGTCGTCCTGGAACTTTTTTGATCGTTCAATTTYGGAAGGCGATTTCTGTGATACCTCTAAAGTGACTTTTTCCTCCACTGATGTGCAGACATTTAAGGTTTCTGCTTCACAGCCGTTAATAACGCCAGCGCTATCATCCTCGTTCACTGTATTAGAGGATGATAGAGTAGAAGATGTTGATGATTTGCTCGATGCCGCCTTTTTTTTCTTTTTCTTCTCCTTTCTCTCTTTCTTATCCTTGATTAGCTTCGAGCTTAACTTTCCCAGTTTTGATTTTTTCGAGGAAGAGCTCTTGGAAGGTTTCTTTTCTTCTGGCGCTGATTCTCCAGCACCAGAAGTTTCTATTCCCTCATTTTTGCTTTCTTTCAACGAGTCATCTTTCTTTTTCAACTTCGTTCTTATTCGCGCGCTTCTTCGCAGCAGCTGTCCATCTTCTTTTTTCTCTTCACCGGGTGTATTATCGACCGATCCTTCTGCATTATCTGCGCCCTCACCCTCGTAATCGTTGTCGTTGCCCTCGTCTTCGCTAACGAAATTTTTTGAGACGACCGCATTTACACGTTCTTCAGCACTGATGGGCGTTTTACTTCCCTCTACTTTMTCCTTCTTGTGGACAGCCATCTTGATACGCTGTACCAGATAAAAGAGTTTGCGACGATCATCTGGATTGGTTACTCCAAGTGATTCAAAGTAMGCAACATCCAAGTCTGCGAGATGCGAAGGAGATACTATCCCAGCAGCCTCAAACGTCGGAACGACACTTCCCAAACCGATACCATTTAGCCAAGTCGACACGAGACCCATCACTAGCAGTTGTTCTAATACAATCGAATTTCAAGTGGATTGGAATCCGGAGTGTTTGGAAGCGATCTCTAAAGGTTAATAATCACCTTTCGACGTGAAGGAAGTTGGGGTTTGTACTGCACGGAGCGATGCTATTGGAGCAAAAGGACAAAACGATAAAATCCGGATCACGGGACACAATGCTGCGATACCGTAACGATCGAAAACGTTTTGACAGTTTAATTACAGTACGTACGGTAGCGTAGAGTACCAGTTGCTCMGCTTGATACTTCTATTAGTCCTTTTTCTGTGTGCGAGCAGCGCCGGCAGGAAATTTAAATTTCTGAAGGAAAACAAACACGACAAGTACGAGTACCAGTATCCAATTTTTGCAACCGATGTTGCAAAACGGTCGAAGGAGTCGGTCAGTACTTAAAATACGTAGGGTTTTACGTAGGCTATAATACCCCAACTGATCCCACTCCATTTACCACCGTACTTACACTACCTACATAAATTCTGGTAGGAATTCTACTGTGCAACCGTATTGGCTTTTCTGCTGTGGTCGCATCTGCACCTCTTTTGGTTGCCTAAAACAGAGCAAATTACACTGACTATGCAACAATTTTGCAACTCCTCCTCCTTCGCCTCGTCACGAGAGGTGCACTTTTTGCTCACAATTTTTTGCTCACAAATCATACGATCATACGACTGGTTCAAGCAAAACCCCAAACAACAAGGAGCAAATACTGTAACTGCTCCTGTAAGAACAAAGGAAATACTGTAAGTATCGAATACTGAAAAAGCGAAAAACAGCAGCCGCACAGGAGTATCGCAGCCCCGTTGACTCACGAGAGGTGCATTTTTTGCTCACGATTTGCAGCAGTCCTCGCATACGAGTATCGCATTGAGTACTGGTGGTTCAAGTACCAGTTCAAGCAAAACCCCAAGCAACTAACTATCGAAAAACAGCTACGAGTATCGAGTATCCAAGAAATGGTAACAGCTCAACAGGATGAGGTGCGTCGTCCCCCCCGGGCTCGGAAAAGAAGGGGGGGGGCTGTAACGCCTCCGCGAGACGTGAACCAGCCAGGGCAATGGAAAAGATACCATACAATTCTATTGGAGCTAATGGACCATGTACATGGAAGAGTGGATGAAGGAGGAGACGATGGGGATAATCGATTTCCAAATGATACTATATTCACGGACGAGCAGTTGAGTATTCTAACACCGGATCATATTTACAAGTTCTTTGCAAAGAAAGCTTTTGGTCGCGAGGATCCTGGTGTCGATGATAATCCTACTGAAGGAAGGAGTTCCTCCCTTGTTTACTACAAGAAGGCAATATCATACTTCTTCATGCCAAACAAGCTTCACAAGTGGACTGTTATTGGCGGTGTTGGCAGTGGAAATCCTACTAAGTCCCAGCAAGTGAACGATTTGATATCTGCTGTAATCAAGAAGGAAACTAGAGGACTTGGACAAGCAAGCAGTATGGATAGGGCTCTTACGAAGGATGAGTTCTTGCAAACGCTTGAACTAATGGGGAACCATGGACATCTTATTAAAAGACTTCGATACCTTGCAATGATTAAGTTTCAGTTTCATCTGATTGGCCGGAATGATGATACAGCACACGTTGGAAAGGACAGCTTGGAAAGATCTGCTGAATTTCCTGGATTCCTTACAGCAAAGATGAAGTGGTCTAAGAA